CCGGGCTCTCTCTCCGAGTCGAGCCTCTTCGAGCCTATCCCTAGACTCTCTCTCTTTACTCCTCCCCTAGCCTCTACCTCTTTTCCCTATCTTTTATAGAGGTTTTCCCCTAGGGTTTTTACTCTATAAAAGATACCCACTCCTTTACCCAATACTACTTCTTAATACCTATTTCTTTCCTTCGTATTATACACCGGCTCAGATCCAACTATTCCTTATATAACCTTACTTTTATCTTAACTCTACACCCCCTAGTTAGTTCTTTAGATAGAACCGTCCGTTATAGTCTCAGACTGCATATAGACGTTAAACGAATCAATTAATCAATTAATCAATCATCGATGAATTTAATACTATATAGGACGCCTTTCAGCACGACTACGCTGAGCAGCAGCAAGGCCTTATTATATATATTACGAATTAGTGGATGCCTTATAAGGAGGAGTAGTATCGTGCGTAGATTGATAAACACCTTAACTTTAGCAATCGGTAGGACTACCCTCTACCGCCTTACTATTGAATAGACTAACTACACGTAGTATGACATCGCTCGTAGAGGGCTCCTATAGCCGTACAAAGTCCTTTCTTAGCTACCGTAAGCAGAACTTTATTAGCTTGAAGGATAACCTCCTTCTGGCGATAGGTAACGAATGGCAAGATATTTAGAAGGACGAGGTAGTAGCATTCGGGCGTCCTCAACACTAGTTTACTTGTGAATACCTGCTAAAGGACCTCGTCGGCCACGTGTTCCCGAAGGCCCTAAAGCTAATACTCCGATAAATTAACCTGCTAAGGAGTAACACCTACGAGCAACTCTGCTACGGTAATTTTAAGAGCTCTATAGGACTGCCCTACGTCCATTCGCTGAAGTAAATAGTTACTAACGAGTAGTGGAGGATCCCTCTTTACTAGGTACACCCCTATTAGCGCTTTCAGAAGCTACTTAACGATGAACCTCTCCTAGGTGTAAAGGACTTTATTTAATACCGCCGCAAAGGCCGTCCGCGTGCTTAGCAGCAGCAGTAGTAGTAGTAGTAGTAGCAGCAGCAACAGCGTTCAACACCCGTTAGCACGATTACTAATACGTAGAGAGAACCTTCGTAGTTTAAGGTTGCCCAGCAGGCCGATTAGGCTACTTAGTAGAGGGCGAAGCGTAAGAGGACTGCTAGAGGGAAGGTGACTACAGAGTCACTAAACAAGAAGGTAGAGAATATGTAAAAGATGCTGGTACAGCTTATTCAGCAGTAGTCGGCCGGGCAGGTGGTTACTACTACGACTACAATCACACCAGCAGCCCTACGGGTAGCTTCAGCAGCGAAGAGGGCCCGCCGTAACACCACCAACACCTTTAGCAGGCAGCCTAAGCAAGTTACAATCAGTAGTAACGACGACGAGGACAGCGAGGAGGACAGCGAGGACTGCAACACTATGGAGGAGGATAGAGATACTGCCTTCAGTAGTAGTGCGGCACCCTCTGTGAACAGAGAGATGCCAGCACGTGAGGGTCGTGGTACGAGGAAGGCTCGCTACGGTAACTGAACACGTGATAGAGCGGGCTGCGGGCAGGCGGAGGAGCGAGTAGCTGGCGGCGGAGGACGCAGGAGCGCTCGCGGGCGCGAAAAAGCGACGTTTGTAATATGTAATAACTCTCCTCTTCGCGTGCCGCGCTGTAACAGTGAGGTTGGAGATATGGAATTTTTTGGTTGATTTTTGGTGTAAAATGAGGGGTGCTAGTTCCTGTTCCTCACCTGCGCGTCCTCGCGCGGCGTCGCGCGAGCGACTGGTGCGGGCGGGTTGTGCCGAAGGTAGCTTTCTGCCGGGTTATTACCCGATTAGGCAGGCGGTGGTGGAGGGGTGGTAGGAAAACCCAAAAGGGGTGGTACAAATATACGGCGCCCCGAACATATAACTACTCTAAAAATCCCTGCAAGATGCGGGATCTTATAATCACTCAAAACAAGAAACATGGGTTCTCCATTCAGCAAGTTGATGGGCAGCAGCCCCACGGCTAACACTGCCTCATCAAACACCGGCACCATGCCGACCTCAGAGGAGAATTCTACGAACCACGAATATGCCAGCGGCGGCAGCGATGTTGCTGCCATTGTCGAAGAGCCGTCCTCTGAACCGAACTCCACGACCGGCGACAATGCCATCAGCAGCAATATTGCTGCTGCAACTGCTGAACCACTTGAAGAACCAGACAACGGGTCTACGGGCGAAACTGGCCTTTTGGACACCGAAACCACGCCGGAGCCAGCTCAGACCAGCACCACGTCCTCTAGAGACAATGGCAGCCTTGCTGGCACGAAAGCCAGGCTGGTTCAAGATCAGGCAGCGCCCGCAGAATGACAAGCAGGCGCAAGGACAAAGGCAGCGACAAAGAGCACAAGAGCGCGCAACAAGGCGGAGGCAAGGACAAAGACGTCCTCAAGCGCACCAGCGGGAGCAGCCGCGTGGAGAAGCCCAAGTGGAAGCCGCGCAAACCGAGACGCAAAGTGCGTCTCATTCTCCCGCCTTCGCCTAAAGGATCGAAAGCTGCTTCATCATTCCCCAAGCAGCTAAACACCACTACACGGACCCAGTCTATCCGCCTGGGAAGACCCTTCTCGTCAAGAGGAAGACCGGAGCGAAGAATTCTATGGCGAGCAAAGACAACGAACCGTCTAGACGCTCGCCTGCGCCTGTCGAGCAAGGTCAAGAAGCTGCGGCACCTACCCCTACGACGCAGCCGGTCACTTCTGGAATGGAAGCAGCACCGAGTACTCCTACGCAGACGGCCACAACGGACACCGTCCCGTCTCCTGCCTCGGAATCCACGGTGTACAGCCCAATCGAATCTCCCTCCGACCAGGCAAACACCGCCGCCTATAAGCCCAACACCGACTTCGGCACCTTCCTCGCGAGAATAAACGGCGACGGCCCTCCGCGTATGGACCCCACCAACTCCTTCCTCGCTAACGACCTCGACGAGGGATACAACTTCGCGCACCCCGCCCTCGCAGGTCCAAGCCCATACTCCTTCCCGCCACCCGCGCAGTCCGTCATGGCGGACATCACGGCGTCGAAGAAGAGTTAGTTCCCATGGAAAGATGCCAACACCTCGTCGCTGCCCGGCATGCAGCCCTATATCAAGGGCGATGGATGGAGCGACGTCGAGCGCCACTGGAAGAAGCAGCTGGCTGAGCAGGTCGGGGAGAGCAGGAGCGTTAGGGAGTGGGATGAGAAGGAGGTTGGGGACGAGGATTGGGGGTTCTTTGATGATAAGAGCTCGTTGGAGTTCGACGATGATGGTATGAGCCCGGCGGAGGATGAGGCCGAGGGTGGTGGGGAGAATTCCGAGGAGAATAGTGATATCGAGATCACCGGATGTGATTGAGTGTGGAGCTGCTTCTTTCTTCACACCGACGCTGTCCTCCTGGGGTTCGTCCTCAGAAGTTTTCTTTGTTGATGGGTGTCAGGGTCTTGAAACGATGCGGTTCCGACTGTCTGGGCGGCCTACTGCTTTAAAGTTATTGCGTTGACCTGATTCTTCTGTCTTGAGAGCTCTAGAGTTAAAAACAAACAAACAAAAAAAAAAAAAAAAAAAAAAAAAAAAAAAAAAACAAATAGAAATAAGAAATGCGAACTTACTTGCCTCACTTGACCTGACCCAAATAGTGCTTCCTCAAAAGATGAGAAGAACAAAGCAATGATTATCCGCCTTCCTGGTCCCATAATAAAAAGACCAAGGGTTCAGTGCAAGCACTGCTTTGCCCGAGTTGCCGTTTTAAACTCAGCTTCAGCTGCCAATGGGTCTTGGCTTCGTAGTGCTGTCGCAAACAAAAGGCATTCCTTCAATCCCCAGCCAGTCGTTGTGTCACGCATTGTTCATGTACAACGCGCTCATTGTTCTTCAAGGTGCGTGCGTACCGAACCTTGCAACCAACAACAAACGCACGCGAGCGCGCCGTCGCTGCTGCAACCGCCCCAACCCTCTTCTTAATATTCTTCTACACGTGCGCCGTGCTCAAATCACCGAGTCTCTACGGCCGCGCTGGCGCGAATTGCGCGATGGTTCGGGCGTGCGGCGTGCCATGTGACTTGCTGTCGAGCCGAGCGATAGGAACGTCGATCAGTGCTTAAAAGCGGGGTGGAGCAGCAGGGCACTGTTGACGCCAGTGAATGCATGAAAACGGATTTGGCAGCCCGGTAAGGCTGGTCGCGCTCACGACAACGCAGTGCTTTGTCCTATGCGGTTGAGGTTGTGAGACGACCAGAAGGAGTTGGTAGTTTGCCAAATGCAAGTGTCCCGTGTGTTCCTCTGTTGCCATAGACCGTGCTGGAGCCCCGATACTGCCCCATGTTGGTGTAGCCTTTCGCAGGTTCGAGAACCGCTTACTCGTCCTGACTTCAGATTTTCCACCGTTGTGTAGTCGGAATTGCCTCCAACTTGCCCACTCGAAAATAGCCTTGAGGTGGTATCTGAAGCTAGGAAATGGTGAAGACGGAATGTTATAAGTGCGAGGTTAGTAAGAAGGTTGTCGTTCCCAATGACAATCAAGGATGAGGGGGCCATTGAGAAGCCTTATGCAGGAAATACGGAAGCAGGTGTGCTGCCTCTCCAGGAACGTTGCTGTTGTTCGGTGGAAGATTGTGTCCCAAGTGGAATTGTTTAAGCAAAACAGCAAGGATTTGAGAAATCGCCCTCAAAACCTCGTCGATTTCATGTGGCGCGGTGCGTCTGGCAAGGCTCATTATCGCTACAGCAGCCAGCTTTGCATATGCCCTAATTTCCAGAGCCTTTTGGATAGGGTCGAGAGGCTCTGGCTACTGGCTGGTGCAAGTATGTATGGCGTTCTGCGGAACTCTTCAAGTATGTCTACTGCTCCTCGTGTCTCCATGGGACGTAGCCAGGGCGGTGGCGTACAGGTCTTGAGCGGCAAGGGGAAAGTCGCGAGATCTGAGACTACCGAGGAGTAAGCACTTGCGAAGCGGAAGCCAGGCGAGGGATGATGTTACTATCCCCTTGAGGGTTGACCCTGTCGCGCCTGGCGCAGTGAGCGAGCAAGCCAACGGATCCCCTTTGCCCAGTGCCATGTCTGGCCATCGGCCATGAGGGTGGTGGCTGGTATCGACGTGGATTCCGGAGTGGGGTGTCATGAGGGGGAGTTTTGCGCGGCGCGCCCAGAGAGGGATCGCCGTCAAACGTCGCTTGCAAGGATGCCGGTAGAGAGGAATGGCTAAGGCTGAAGCACTATTGAGGCTCATTGCCGCTGTGGCTCTGGGAAGTAATACAGTGTAAAGCTGCCGCGCCGTATACGTTAGGCTAACGTGTTGGGGCTGCTGCGGAAGTGCGTGGCCGTGGAAAGCTCCAAAGCCGCGAGAGCTGCGTCACGCGTGTCGAGCTAGCTGCGAGCCCAAGACCCAGAAGCTAACATCTCAGACAGCGAAGCAGACCCCGTCCGCACATGTCTGCCATAACATCTCCCCAGAAAGACACCAACACCACCATGGCGTCTGCAGCCTCCGCAGCGACCAAGGCACCAAAAGACTCGCATCAAAAGAAGGATCAAGAAGCAGCGTCTTCTTCGCAGCCCCAGCAAGCCGGAGACAACAATGAAAAAGCGTTCGCGTCAGCCCGAAACAGTGCAATACGAGCGACACAGTAGCAGCGACAAACCCGAGCAAAAAGCCCGACCGCCGCCGCCCAGGCCCAAAAATCATTTGATCACGAAGTACACCGTAGTGACGTGCCAAGCGATTAAACTGACAGCAACGAACACACTGCATTTAGATCTAAGCCAAAAGGCAAAGAGAACTGAAGAAGAAAAGAAGAGCTGTGTTAGCTGGGGGGGAGAGCGTTTATATAGGCGTGAGGGGGGGCGTGGGTGAATGAAAGGAGGCCCGTGTGTGCGCGGTGGAAGCGTCGAGAGTGTTCTACGAGGTTCTGGTGGGTGCGGGGGCTCGTCATGGGTAGGCTTGTGTGGGGAGGGGGTGCGGAGGGCGGGGTGGTAGGGCTGGGTGCGTGTACTTGGTGACTGAAGCCTGCTGTGCGCCTATGAGAGCCAATTGGCGTACGATTTTCTCAAAGGCAAAGACCCAAGGACAGTCACTATAGCAGTCGTAACTGTGATTGCGTTGTTTTGCCGACGATTCTGCTATCAGTGAGCATACTTCCAAGTTCTGGAGGCAGTGCAAGTATTCACCTACTGTAGGGGCATGGGGAGCTCTCATCGAGAGCTAGCTGGGAGAAGGCTGATAATGTACGATCTGAGAATCAGCTGTCGAGGGCAACTACAGCGGAAGCCTACATTATAATTATTGCCTCAGTGAGAATCAGTAACAGTGCAGTGAAGTTAGGATTTGTGGTTTTTTCCCGGATCAAAATACTAACGATCTTTTTACCTGCTGTTTTGTATCAACCAATAGGTATGAGATGTCCGAGATGCAAATGGGGCCTTGAGAACAGTCCAGCAGGCTAGTCAAACCAATCCGTCACCCGTGGCCTGCAAAAGCATACGATTGGCTTAGGGCGGGAACCACTTCCTACAGAAGCCTGATACCTGGATGTGCCTTGAGTGCGGAGTTTACTTGGGGCGGCGCTGAAAGGTCTGGTAGAGACGTCCAACAGAGAACTTAAATCCAAGATTACCAGGTGACGACCATGTATCACGATGGCGGCGGTGGCAGTCACGCCCCCAGCCCACGCAAGGAGAACCATCTTCTAGTACCACGTTGCATGCTCTCATGACACGGCAACTTGAGGATGAACTGCTCAATGGGGAAAAAATGACTATCGGAGTGCTGGTTGTGGGTTAAAACCAACAGGATCACTGAAACGCTGTCGCATAGCTGCATATTGACTGCTTCGTTGGCTTACGAACTACCTCGAGCATGCCGAAAAGAAGCTTTGTTTATGCCTCGTGATACGCTCCACGCATGAGCCTCTATTGTGGTTATGCTCGAGCCCATTGTAAAGTAGCAAACAACAAGACAGTGTTCATGATACAAAAGCTCCATTGAGCCCGCCGCGAATGGCTTTATAGAGATCAAAATTCCATAACTACGCTCCTGTCCCTCGCGCAACCTGCAGAAAGGCGGAAGAAAACATTAACATACTCCACCCCGATCTTAACATATATTAGCTGCACATTACATCAGAAAACCCGGACTGGCACAAATACAGTAACGACGATTGCCTTCACACACCTCCTCGCTAACCGGCATAAGATTTTGCCCGGCCGAGATAAAAGTCCCGCCTCCTTCGCTCCACATCCTTCCTTCTCCACCAAAGTTCAAAGTTCTTGAATTTGACGATTTTCTCAGCTCTCAAGCAACGTCATCGCCAACTTTCAAGATCACCTTCACAAACTCACTCCACAAACGTTCAAGCTCTTGAATTTGACCACTGTCTCAGCTCTCAAGCAACATTGCCAACTCTCAAGATACACTACACAAACCCTTCCAATACAACCGCAAACATGAAGAACTCTTCGTCTCCCCTCGTTGACCGCGTCGCTAAGACCGTAGCCTCGCGCAAGATTGCCAACCAGCAGGCTCGCAACCGCGAACTCAGAAAGCGTGTTGACGAGATGCGCCTTCGCGGTAAGTTTCCTTCCTTTCCTACTCTCGCAAGCTCAACAGGTCGCTCACGTCAAACAGACATCACCAAGTCCGCTCGCGGAAACCGCCAGACCGACACCACGCCCGCCATCATGCCGCCCAAGAAGGTCGTCCCGCCCAACGAGCAACCTACCTACGATGCCTGGGCCGCCTATAAGGCCTGGTCGGTCGACCCCAAGCGCGGCACGCCCAAGGAGGCCATCACCCCGCCCTGGCGCAAGTTCACGGAGGAAGGTCAGCAGATCTTCGAAATGCTCCAGAACTTCCTTGACGACACGCGCGCGGCGAACTACCTCAAGGCCGAAATGGCCAAGATGCCGAAGGAGTCTCCTCCTTCATCGCGCAAGCTCGGCTTCTACCACACGTGCTTAGCGACGGAGGAACGCGATCGCCTTGAGGCGGAGTGGCAGCCGGTCAAGCGGAACCGGATTCCTCTTGAGCACTACCTCAAGAAGATTGAGGAACGCGAGAAGGCGATGGAAGCGAAGAAGACGACTGCGGTGAAGCGCAAGGAAGATGGCGATGTCGCGCAGCCTCAGAAGAAGTTGAAGATCGACTACACCATCGTAAAGAAGCGTAAGGCCGATGACATCGTTGAGCAGCCGCAGAAGGTTGCTAAGGTTGGCAACATTGCCACTGCCTCCATGATCTCCGGCAGTCGCCCTTCTTTGAAATTCACCCACAAAGACCAATCCGTTCCAGAGCATTCCACCACGACCACGAAGGCTCGCACTCCTGCTCGCCCCATCATGAAGATGCGCGAGCCGTCCAAGGCTGTAAAGCAGCCCATAACTTCCAAGTCTCGCCCCACCGCGGCCGCAACCCCTTGTGCCGCACCTAACACCACAACCTCCACCCCGTCCACCAAGGACACGGCATCCACCGAGGTTAAGTCCGCTTCATCCCGCACGACGTTCACTACACCCTCCTCTGCGCCGTCTTCCCCAACTTCCACCAACAAGCGCAAGCGCGCTCCTACCACCACACCCCCCACTGACGAGGCTCGCCCGGTCAAAAGCGCTCGCATCTTGGAGATGGCTTCACCGACTTCTTCCACGGCCGCTAAGGAGACGTCCCCTCCCATCTACAAGAACAACGCCAAGCCCGCTGCCGAGAACACCGCCGCAGCTGGGCCCAAGTCTCCCGTCAAGAAGACCTCCACTGCCGCCGAGAAGACAGCTTCCCCTATCACGGCCACCACAAACACGACCACCAACAACACCGCTGCCGAGAATACCCCAGCAGCCTGTTCCGAGCCTCCCATGAAGAAGGCGTTCACGCCCGCCAACTCCACCTCATCTCCCAACAAACACAGCACCAACCACGCTGCCGAGCACATCCCCGCAGCCGATCACCAACTTCAAGTCGAGAAGATGACGAACACCACTGAGACGGCGTCTACCAAGACGAACACCAACAACAAGGCTGCCGAGCACACCCCCGCAGCGAACGCCGAGCTTCCAGTCAAGAAGCTCAGGCTCAACAGCAAGAACATCGGCGCATTCAACCGGAACCGTAAGCAACATGGCTTGGCCCAGACCCTTGCGATGATGAAGGGCGCGGACGGAGATGCAGGATCCGTTGGTGCGACGCTCTCTAAGCCCATTAATGAGAAGGCTTCTGCGTCCGAGCCTGCCGCCGAGACGCACCAAGAAGGCGATGGAGAGAAGCCGAATGCAGCCACTGAGAAGGCTGCTGAGAAGTAGGACACCGAGAAGGAGCCTTCTGAGAAAGAACCTTCTGAGGTCGACAGGATCGTGCGCGCCTTGAAGGCCGCTGCTGAGAAGACGACTGCAGGTGTCGCCGCTAACACGACCACTGTCGACCATACTGGCCATTAGGCGTTTGAAATACACCACGCCCCATTTACTGAGGGCACTGCCGAAGAGCCCCACCAACAAGGTTCTCATGGCACTGAGACGAAGGCAGCCGGACTGTCTACCCCCACAACTGGCACTGCCTCCACTTCTGAGAAGGCTGAGCCGGCGAAAGAGGTTAACGTTAACAAGAAGGGCTAAGTGGCTTTTGAGATGCCGCGTTTGAACGGGTACAAACGTACAACTGCAGTGGGATCAACGGGTTTTTCTTTGTCCACTTTTGAAGAGTAACAAGCTGAAGCGGGGCATTTTGCGAAGGCGCCGACGAAGTTGCCAGCGAAGGCATTTGACGAGTAGGTCTGCACTGCATTGGCGGAGATGTAGTGAAGCTTTTATGACTGCGACTGGGATTTGCTTTTGCGTGTGGATTTTTGCGTCTTCGTCTTATACCCTTAGTTTTTAGTATTAATTATCTTGCCTTCTCTTTATAATAATGAGCTTGGCTGGTGCGACATGCTATTGTTTTGAAAGTTCTCCATCACAAAACACCCGCTTTGAAGCGGCGTGCGACAAAGCTGATTGCACACATGGCGGGACCTCTGCAGTTCGGGATTGCGATATGGGTGCGCACGACCGCTGCAGCAGCCCGCGACCTTTGATTTCTTTGTTTAATCCCTTGTCCATTACCCGCAGCGTAGCAGCAAACATGCGCTAAAACGTTCGCTTTCCGTGTCCCCCTTCCGCGCCAAATAAAGACATGCAGCTCAGGCCGCCCTACCACGTTCATCCTGAACATGCGCTTCAAAGAAGTCTAGTCAAAAGTCCAGGACTACGGTGACCCAATCTCGCAAGCCAGATCATGTCGCCTTCCCCAAGTCCATCCAGGTCAATTCCTCGCTTTAGACAAATAAAAATGAAACGTCACTGATCCCTCGTTAGACGTTGCACGCCCTAGTGTAAACAAACCCTCCCTCGACATCCCACAAACACTATACTAACAACCAGCTATAGATCCATCTTCCGCTGCGTATGTCCGCTTCATGGATATATACAGCACCTGGTACCACACTTATAGAGATGCATTTGGGGACGTACTGAGCGCCTTGTAGATGCATATAAGGCCGCGAAGAGCCGGATGGAATAGGAGATGCTGGAGAGGGTTGTTGATGCGTTCAGGGGATTCGATTGGAGTGCGTTTGGGAGTAATTAAACGTGTATAGGGAGATTTGTTGGGGTGTTGTGGGCAGGGTTTTGAATGGGTTTAGGAGGACGAATTAGCCTATGTATAGGCTCTGATACTGCACATATAGAGATGCGTTTGGGGACGTACTGGGTGCCTTATAGATGTGTATAAGGGCGAGGAGGAGTAGATGGATTGGAAGGTGCTGGGGAAGGTTGTGAATGCATTTAGGGGGGCTGATTGGGGTACGTTTGAGAGTAGACAAGACGTATATAGGTAGATTAATTAAAGTATTTTCAGTAGTATTTTGAGCGCGTCTAGGTGGACGGATCGGAAGAATTTCCGGAGGGTTAAAGAAGTGTCAGGGGCGGATAATGGTGTTGTAGCAGGGCATGTATTGAGATTCCTAAGGATATAGAGGTCACTGAGTGCGTGCGTGTAAGGAGTATGGCCGAGGGGGATGTCGGGGAGGCTCATGAGATGGCTGATTGCGCCTGGAGGGGGATGTGGAGAGTGATGACATGGGGGCTAGAAGGGGGCGGATAGAGCTGGTTGAAGTAGATGTCTGGCTGGATACTGAGCGCTGAAGCACGTCGGAAGGCTAGTTTCTGTATATGCGCTCAGCGATCCATATATGTATACACTGTCTCTTGCGTTGTACGCAGCGCACTGCCTTGAGCTGTTGTAGCTGTATTCTGCGTGCACAGCAATATGGAGCTCGATAACTACATAGGGTCCAAAGAACAGTACCCCTGAAATAGCTACCGGCCCCATTGTGCACTCACTCCGGTCTAAATGTCTTCCCTGCGCACGAGCCACCCACGGTGCTCTTCACCTGCCGACCCTCCTCTTCTTCCTCTCCTCCTACCGCGACACCTCCCCCACCAACAACAACGACAATGGCGCCCATCACGCGTAGCCAGTACGCCAGCAACGAGCGTGTCCCTCGCCTAACCAAGCGCTCGCGGTCCCAGAGCTCGTCGCCGCCTCCCGCCCCGCCGTCGACGCCCCGCCCACGCTCACCTTCGCCAGACACAATCCGCCGCCGCGACCTCGACGAGCTCATCGAGTCTGTCAAGAAGCTCGAGGACCGGGAGTGGTACAACAAGTGAGCTTCCAGCCTGGCATCCCGCCTACAAGTCTCAGCTTGAGCGCATCACTGACGCGTTCTAGACTGCGAGCCAGGCGCACCATCACCCCGCCACCTGCGCCGCGAATGGCGCACATGGTGCTCCCTCACCTGCGTCAGCCCGAGCTGGACATGACGTGGCCGCCCAAGAGCCGCGCCGCCTACTTCCCACTCGCAGAGGACCCTCGCCCCGGCTACCCCATGCCTACGGGCCCCACGACCCTGCCGCCGCCGGGCGTCGCCTACTTCCCCAAGCCGCTCACGAAGCCTGTCCGCACCGTGGCGTTCCTCGACAGCAACGGCCAGGACATCACCACGCGCCCGACGCCGCTCCCGCCGAGACCGAGCAGGTACGATCCTGCGTCCGCGGAGACCATGCCCAAGCTGCGCTGCAAGGTCGTCACGCGCAATGAGCCCGTCCTCACCTCCTGGGATGGCATGGAAGAGTACCAGCGCAACGCCTTCGCTGAGGACACTGCGCCTTTGTCGTTCGATGAAATGCGCGACATCGGCCGCAGAGATATGTCTGCGCGCTTCACGTCTTCGAGGCGCGTGCCCAGCCAGCGCCCGGAAATCACTCCTTCCAACCAGCGTATCCGTCCTGTGTTCAAGTCCGAGGATTCTCCTACGCGCGAACCCGAGCCTCCCCGCTTCGACATGGCGCCGGCAGTCGACTTCCTGCCCAAGCGCAAGCTCGACGACGTCGATGATGCCGACGACAGCGCCAACAACGGCGTCTCTGGCCCTCTGTGCTGTGGTGGCACCAACTGGCTGAGAGGCCTGGAGAAGTATCATGAGTCCAGGAAGAGGCTGAAGAGGGACTCTGAAGATGAAGACGGCGAGGACGGCACCAGGACCTCTCCTCCTGGCTACAACCAGAACGTCATGCATCGCTGATGCTGTGTGGCGTACATTCTTTACCTTCTCGACATTGAGGCATGAGAGCTTCGATTTCGGTCTTGTCTTCACTGCAGCTTCGATTGCTCCTTTGTCTTTGGCTGGAGGAGCACTACGGTAGATGGAAGTGGACAGCTCTTTGGGAAGTTGGATGGATAGTTTCAGGGCGAAATGTGTGTTGTGGAACTTTCGAAACTCGTGGCAGATTGGATGGAGGGAATTGTAAAGTAGTGAAAGCTCTGAAGACATGCGAACTGGTGGAGGAAGGGCCTATCTCGTACAGCTTTGAGTAAGCCTAGAAATGCCAGATAAACACCTCCATACACATTGAGAATACGCAGTGACATAATGTCTGTAGCGAAAAGTCCGCTAAAACACCAAAAATTTAGAACAAACCATTCCATCCCGCTTTCAATATATCCAGCTAGCTAATCAAGCTCTTCTCGAAGCATCTGCACGAATCACGCGTGGAAAACTATGCTTTCAGGTAAACACACACACAAGCGCCCCCACCCCACCAGCCCCGACGATGCGGAGCGGCTCTTCCCACGCGCCTTCACATGCCTCAACGCCTATCTTAACACTCCGCAAAGCTTCACACGCTCGTTTATCTCTAAATATAAATATCCTCTGACTCTGCCATCTCCTCCTTTTCCTTCCATCTCTCTACAACCTCTTCTTCGACCTGATTCACTCGTACGCTTTGCTCGGACCTTTCTTCTTTACCTGACTGACCTGGCTTTTCGATAGTCGACTTCAGCAACCCCACCAGCAAGCAATTCGAAAGCTTCAAGCTCAAACAACCGAGAAATACAAACATTCGCTCAACCGATCTGGAACCAGCAGATACGATGGCAAGCCCTACTTCCAGCACCTCGAGCCCTTGGCCCTCTCTGCCTGGCTCGCCTACTCTACTGGGCTCGCCTTCTCCGCCCGGCTCGCCTGATCTACTTGACTTGCCCCCTCTGCCTAGCTCGCCTATTTCGCCTGCTGGTGCTAGCTCGCCCTCTCCCCCTGGCTCGCCTGCTCTGCAGGGCTCGCCCACCATGCCCACCACGCCTCCGTTCAACGAGATGACGCTCCCTTACCGTCCGGGCGTAAAAAGCGCCCCACCGGCCCCTGCTGCTAACAGTGACGATGATTCTGCTACGAGCGACTCCGAGGACGACAGCATTGCTGACCCCGTAAACGTTACAGGTTCCACACGCACGCGCTGGGCTCCCAGCTTCACGGTTATTACGAGCGACCGCACCACGATCACCTTAACGCACTTTGGCAACGAGTCCAACGCGGACGGCACTACCAACATGGGCACCACGACCCCAGCTCCAACTGCCAACCCCGCCACGAGTGCTTCCGACCCCCACCCCCGCGCCCGCCGCACCTTCGACAACTGGTTCGACAACCTGCCCTACCCGAAGAGCCCTCCCCGCGGACGCCTTCCCGGCCCTTCTGTTAGCCCATTCGCGAAGACGCCGGATCTTTCGCTGCCGTTTATGCCGCGGAAGCGCCCGCACGAAGTAAAGATCAAGCAAGAGCCCGACCTTGACGTGGAGGTCAAGAAAGAGCCCGATCTCGATGTCAAGGTCAAGCGAGAACCAACTGGCTCCGATGGCGAGATCAAGAACGGCACTAACACGGCCGAGCAGAAGAAGCAGCAGAAGCCCAAGACCGTGGAGGCGCTTCTCGAGATGTTTGCCAACGAAGCCGAAAACGACTCGACCACCGACTCGGGCTTGCGCGACAAGAGACCTGGCGACGACGTGCCGCTCTACCCCATCCTGGCCGAGAAAGACAGCGACAAGAGCGCCGCCACGAAGCCCCCTACGCTCTCCCACTTCGGCACAGACAATCCGGCCTTCACCATCACTGCCTCGAACAGGAAGGGCAAGGGCACTGCGCATGCGCCCTGGCTTGCCGGGCTGGGAGAGGCGTACCGCCAGCGTCACATGCTCGTTATGCGCCACAGTGCTGCTGGCAAGGACTTGGGCAAGGTTGTTACTGCTGGCGTTGCTGGCACCCGCACTGCTGGTGGGAAGATGAAGAAGGGCTTGCCTAGTGGTGATGGTGGTCGCGGTGCTGGTTGCAGTGCTGGTCGCGATGTTGCTCGCCGCCTTGGAAGTCTGCGCGGTTCGACTTGGAGGGTTGAGAAGGCGAGCAAGAAGATTAAGGTCTTCCGTGATGGCAATGCTGGTGGTAGTGGTTCTGGATGCGGTGGCGGTGGCAGCGGTGGTCGTGGTGTCTGAGGCTTGAGAAGTTGAGAGTCTGGCCTGACCGGTCATTGATGGTTCACTGGTTGGTTTATGGTTGGGATGCGACAAATTGGTTTCATGAGAGTGAGACAGGTTTGATGAGAGGGCTGAGAGAGCCTTTAGATAGTTTTCTTTGTTTTTGGGGTTTTTGGAATCAGGTTGCGAGATTTGGGTACCGGCTGCCACTGGTATTCAGGACTTGAAATAAAAGACAGAAATGGAGACTTCTGGCTCCTCAAAATGAATAAAAACCTTGTGTATGATTCTTTGTCCACTCTTCTCTGTCTTTGAGTTGGAGTTTACTTTGAGCTACTTTAGCAGCGCCGAAGCAGCCTACTACGTGCCATTGCGGTGATTTATAGCTGCTAAATGGTTCCAGGTCGGCATTTTATAAGTGAGCAGAGAGATATTGGGTCTCTCTACTATTCTAGCTTTGTAGCCATTAAGTTCATTATCGTTGCTGCGCGTTCCCATCACTGCTGATTATCTTGCCAGTCGCAAGCTGTGTACGCTGAAGGAATGGATACCTTCGAAATCATCTGGAATCAACATTTACAATTTAATCCCCCGTAAATATTATTTTGAAACCAGCAAGATTCGGCAGCTTCTACAGCCGTGCCCTTCGCCGGCCTGTCCCAGCGCAGCATCCGCACCCGCACCCGCACCTGCCGGAAGGGAAGCCACACACCCCAGCGACAGAAGGAAGGCGCTCCCTCTCCCCACCCGATCCGGCTTAGCCCTCGCACACACACAAACGATTTTCTCACCTCTCCGCTATCCTCTCTCCTCCTCCATCCCACGTCACCAAACATCTTCAACCACATCCTCTATTTCCTAATTTCCAAGATCTACATCGGATCACACACGTCTCTATATTCACGTAGAGGATGCCCTGGCCCTTCTACCGTGAGTCTTCTTCTTTTTCACTTACAAGTGCGATATTTCGTGTCTTTAAGTCTTTAAGATACTAATGTTTAAGCAGCTTGGCCGGGGCATTCCGCCAACCTCAACGACCACTCTGAGTGGGTGTCCTGGCCCCTCTACTGTGAGTTTTTGATATCGAGCTACTGTTGTTGGGTCCGCGAACTGATGGTTTCCAAGTTTGGCTGGGACACCCACCCTCTCCAGCCTCAATCGAGTGGGTGCTCTGGCCCTTCTATAGTAAGCGCAATTGTCTCGAACATTAATGGTTTATCGGGCTAACGTTTTCCTAGCATGGCTGGGGCACCCACCCCCTTCAGCCTCAATCAAATGGGCCCCTCTATAGTGAGCTCTTCTCCTGTATTCCCTCTGGTCTGCCGAACTGACTCTCTTCCAGCATGGTCGGGGCGCCCATTCCATCCACAACCAACGGTGCGCCCTCTCGCCAACTTCTCCCCAAGAATGGACCGTCCATCCTGGATACATTATCATAATGAGCTGTTGAACAGTGCGAGAAAGCTGGACACTGCTGTCGCATTAAATTAAGTGAAACTGTCTGCTTAAATACACGACTTCGTTGGGTAGAAAGGTGACTATCGTTCCACTAATAGGAGAGAATGGCATGATGTTGAAAAAGCAAAGTGATGACAGGGTTCGTGCTAAGCGAGATAATATAGTTATGGTGGTGATGGTTGACATGAGCTCACTCGCCATCTTCGTGGATCTGATCTTTGCTAACTCGCACCAGTTTCTTGCAGCCAGCAGCCCTGAACACAAGCCCATTGTCACAGTAGGGCTGCCCGCTGCCCCGCACCAACGCCACGCCATTCTACGCGAACGGCCACGAACCCTCAGATCCCCGGCATCCCATTCCAGGACCTTCGTTCTCGACTTTCGATGTGGTCGAAAAGAAAAGACTCAGGCACTTCATAAAGAATTGTTGGACGTTGCTGATTTTGGAGGCTATTGGTAAGTGCTCTCAAATCCACTCTCCTTGATTGTGTTCTGACAGACGTCCGCAGATGCAACGTTATCGGGCAGCAGTGTGTGTTGGTGCGGGTGCGAATGCGGGCAATACTGAAACATGCTGGAGTGTTCTTTGGCTCTGAAACCTTTGTCCATAGCAGCTCAATCATCACCGCTCTCTCGATTCTTTGTACCTGCTACTTTGCCGTATTGAATCAAACCAAAAGTGCGCATAAAAACAAAATCTCTCGTCCTACCTGACGTCCGCGCTTTCGGGCACTGCTGTCCATAACATCCTTGATTCCTTACTACCGAAGTTTCCGTCGCCGCCGCCGCCCACCAACTGCGGATTCTAGCGCACTCCTAAAAACCGCACGCATAGCGAGTTTTCGTTGCTTTGGGTCTTGTGTATTGCTTTATGCGATGGCGGCTAATTGGCTAGTCGGTTCAAGCTAGCCCCCCGAGATGTATTTGCTGGCATTTAGAAGGCTTGGGACTGGTATAGGCTTGTGTGAAGCTGGGCGCGAGGAATTGGACGCCGCTTGTCCCTCTAGATTACTACTACCCATGGAGGTATATATGCTGCTATCTAAAAGAACATGTTTTCTCTTTAAGATCCTTATTCCCTTGCAGTGGATAAACGTGTGGTGTAAGGGGTAAGGCTGTAGTGTAACAACTGACTGTAATAAGGCTGAAAAAACGAGAGTTATTGGAGTGATCCTGGCTGACAAAATAAAAATAAAAAAAAAGAAAGGAAAAGAAATCTTTATTCCAAGACTAACACAGGGATATCAAAGAAACCACAAAGGACTTTTCTACTATACAGGCTCAAAGAGAAAGTTATAACAAAAGAAAAATAGAAGAGAAGAGAAAAACACAGGACAAAGAGCAGCTACAGCACAAGCCGGCACGTACGCAACGCACACACACACACTCAACCATCCACACGCTCGCTGTTTTCGACCTTGCTCTTTTCGAACTCGCTCTGCTCGATCTCGCTTTCCTCACCCTCGCTCTGCTGGACCTCGCTCTCTTCCGCACACACAACCTCATCTGTACGCGTCCGCTTCCATAACGACGCAGACGTAGAGCAACTCCATCGTAGCCGATCCATCTGCTGCTGATGCTCGTCCTCCTCCTCAACTTCGTCGTGAACGACGCGTTTCCTCTTCTTACTCTCGCTACCACCACCACCCACACCCACACCCGCCCCCCCAACAGGCGCAGCCCATACCCCCGTCCTCAGCCTCCCCGGCTTCTTAACAATCCGCTCATCAAGGCCGCTCTCCGCGCGACCTTCACGGTTCCAATGATTCTTGACCGCGTTCGCGCCGCGGAAGACGCTATGCGCAGCCGCGAGGCGGGCGGAGACGAGGTCTTAGCGCGCGAGCGTCGTTATGTTTGGGTGCGAGGCGAGGGTGTGCTGCATTGCGGTGGCGCAGGCGGCGCGCTCGGCGGGGGACCAGGGGGGGTTGCGGCGGCGGGGGTGGGGGGTGTTGTTGCTGTTGTCGGTGGTAGTGGGGGCAGAAGGGTCGGTAGGGTTGGTTCCTGCGAGGGAGGGCGATGGGGAGTAACAGTGAGGGACATTCGCCGCGGCCGTAGGGAGCGAGTCGTTGCTGCCGGCCGTGGAGATCGTGGCGTCGCTGCCGGGAAAAGGATCTGGTTCCACGTCGGCACTGTCTATGGTATCGGCCGCTTCGCTGTCTTCATATGAAGAGGTGTCGTCCTTGCTAGCAATTGGGGCAGATGCCTCGCTGTCAGCTGCGGAAACGGTCGCGGCATCCTCCTCTTTAGTGACGTCGTCGAAGATCTCGTCGCTGCCTGCGGCCGAAATGGTTGCGTCGCTGTCGTAGCCGGCTGCAGAGGTAGTGGCGTCGTTGTCTGTGGTAAAGTCTATGCTGCCGCTGTCATAACCAGAATAGCTATCTCCAGCAGCAACTGTGGCGTTGCTGTCATAGGCAGACTCAGTGGCATCGCTGTCGTAAGCAGAGACCGTGGCATCGCTATCATAAGCAGTGACAGTCTCATCGACATCAACAGCCGAAACCGTAGCGTCGCTGTCGTCGACATAGTCCTGGTCTGGGAGCGGGAACAGGGGCGGATACATCTCAGGATGCAGGTGCCTGTGCTGGGCCTCTTGCAGGACGGACAAGGCGGGCGAGACCGACAACGCCTTGATGGGCGTCTGGAAAAGATAGTGCTTGCTGGCGACGGCGGTGTTGCATTCGACGGAGGGAGCGCGCTGAGCGCGGCGCAGCGTCAGATACGCTGCGGGGCGGGCGGGAGACAGGGTAGATCTTAGGCTGGTGCGGCTGTAGTAGTCGGCGTACATGGCGCGTGCTAGTGCTCTGCGGAAGCCCGTAGTGACGTCCGGACGCGTCTTGGCTGCTGAAAGAATTGCCGGTGGATGCGGACGATGTGGTGGGAGGGAGGGGACGTTGGTGGCAGGGGAGCGAGGGCGGGAGAAAAGTGGCAGCGGCGCCGATGGTGGATAGAGAGTTTTAACAGAGGATGTCGCCGGAAGAAAGATCTTGGACACCCATTTGGAGTGCTTGTTATTGAGAGAGCGAGTGACGTCGTCACGCAAGGTCCGGTTTGCTTACTCATCACGTGCAAGTTGAGAGACGCGACTATTCCTACTCTCCGCCCTTCGCTCTCCCTCCTTCTTCTCTTCACTCCACTCCACTCGCGACGACCCACTTTCAGCTCAGTATACCAACAATAGCATCGTGTCTCCGCGTTCTCTTACAACAATATACACCACTTCAGTAAGTTAACTGCCACTCCCTCTCACAATAGGCCATTGAAGCTGATTGTCAAAGCGAAAATGAACGCGTACACCTCCACGACCGAAGTCTCGACGCGTCGCCCTCGCGGTCGCACCGTCCTCACTCGCCCGTCCACCCTTACCGCGTCTCTCAAGGCGCTGTGTTCGTCCCCGCTCACCCCGATCACGCCGTCACCCTTCCGCGACGCGCCTATCTTGTCCCCGTCGACGCCCTTGCTGCCTGCGCATCCACGGAACCCCGTCTCCGGCTCCGCGTCTCCTATTTCCGGCTCTAGCACGCCCAGCAACTCTCACTCCGGCCCAAGCACACCGCCAACTACCCCACCGACCACCCCGCCATGTTACAGCCTCACGACTCCGCACAAGCCGAAGCGGATACAGACGCCGTTCTCGCCGTTCAAGGTGCTGTCCGGCTTGCTTAACGTCGTGCGTCTGAGCCCGACGCCCGCTCCTCGTGCGACTGCTGTCCACTCTCCTCCTGCCTCGCCTGTTGAGTCCTTCGTCTACCACTACGATGAAGAGACGGGTTTTACGCGCATCTTCAGTGAGCCCGACGACCTTACCAGCATCTTCGAGGCGGACGACGACGCGATGGAGCTCGACTCGGACGAGCACCCCGAGCAGGACGTCAGCCCTCTGCCCTTCATCTGGGCCAGGCCCGCCCCCAACGCCCCTGCCGCACCCTTCACCGACGACGCATCTCTGTCCACGGACCTCTTCGCCCCTGCCGCCGACCACGGCCTCGGCATCTCCTGGCCCGGCATGCAAGCCTGGACGCTTCCGTCGCCACCCCCGTCACCGCTGAAGCGCTGCAAGCGCAAGCGCAGCGAGGACGACGCGTACGCGCATGCGGACGCAGTGAAGAAGCTGCGTGCGGAGGAGGCGGAGTCAGAGGAGGACGACGACCCGGCGTCCTTGTGGTCGTGAGTGGCAATAGCGTGGCTGTATGGTTTGGAGTTTGATGACATGATGGCTCGGTGAGTAAGTTCTCCCGCCTTGCTAAGAAGAGAGCTTGATGCTGACGGTTGTAATACTGATGACAATTGATGATGATGATGCGGTTTGGTTTTTTGTTGACCCTCTGCAAAGAGTTTGGAACTTTGGACTGGGTTTGCATAAATTCTTGAAAAGACGGTGATGATGGATTTGGTTACTTGTTATGCTGCATGCATAGATAAGAATTAAGGTATCTTACTGTCGCCTTTGGGTTTGGGTTTGTGCTCGTGATCCTGCTTTCTTTTGGTCTACCTACTCTTGTTGGTTTCGTGCGGCTTTGTTGACGCGGTAGCGCTTTGTGCTTGCAATAAAACATCTTCCTTAACGGTACGGCACCATCGCTTCCGCATCTAAAGATTCATTCGTTCTGCATACATATAAAACCCCTCAAAAAGTCACTGAAGCCTACGTTTTTATCTGTGTATTATCTGTGTATACTTCCCTATTCAGATTTTAAGGAGGTTTTGCGGCGCGTGTGCGTGCGTGCGAGTGTGTGTATGTGTGTATCTGTACGTAAAAAGCTAATTAAGACTTTACACCCTTAAACCAGAACTAATGCAATCCACACGCGCGCAAATGGCGGGAGAAAAAGGATTCGAAGAAGGAGAGAAAGAAGGTATACAGCATGCTTATATAGTTAAATTCAAATCAACCACCTGCGCTCATATTAGACGAGACGGGATAATAAGTAGTGCTTGTTGAGTAGAAGGCGGGGCGTTCACGGAAGCAGATTGGTTTTGGGTCTTTGCTTGAGTTCTGGCTTGGCTTTTGATGGGATTGTAGGATTGTGGATTTGTAGTGGCGGTGGGGGCATGGGGGTAGGGTCCGTAGGAACGTATAGATATAGGGGCTCCGGCGTCAGCACGCACAGCGTGCTGCGCGGTTGTAGGTGGTAGCATGATAGTAAAAGCAAAAGTAGGTTGCCCTTCTCCGTTTTCGTTAGACTTGCGATCGGGTATCACTCGTTGGCATTATTTCTCAACTAAATCACTAAAAGCCATTATCATTGTTTTCAAATCTCCATTGTCAACTTGTCTAAAACCTAGTCTCAGTCCCATCTAAGCACGGTAATCAACAATCTACGCAAAACTCTATACCTCCTATAACCAAATCAAGTATGTAAGCAAGTGAAAGTCTCAGACCAAGCCATCATAACTTATCCGCCCTCACCAGCGCTCTACCCGGTCCTCCGCCACGTATTCGGCTCCCCAGCCCCAAGAAACTGCCCATACACCCACCCCTGCGCCCCCTCCGCCGGCTGGCTGAAGCGGTAGAGGTCCATGTTCCCCTTCCGGGACAAGCAACCATCTGCGTGCCGCATCCACAAGTACCCGAATCTTTACTCCGTCAGGTCCACGGTCTCGCCGATGCGGTGCGCCAGGATCATCCAGCTAGGGTTCTCGCTTGGGAGCTCGATGTCTGAAAGCTGTAGCGCCGTGAGCGTGGTGTTGTGTGCGGCGATGAAGGTTGTCAGAGCGTCGGGGTTGGTGAGGGCGAGGCGTAAGAGGCGCAGGGTGTGGAGGTGGGGGAGTCTCAGGTTCGCCAGGACGACTTCGAGCGCGCCGTTGAGGCCGTCGTGCCGCGCCATGAGGCGGTGGTTCAGTTCTTCGTGGCGCGTGACACCGGAGATGAAGAGCTCGGTGAGGGAGGTCGGGGCTTGGAGGAAGGATGTCAGTGGCCTGGCTGCCTGCGCAGGAGAGAGGCGGGTGTCGTAGTCGTTTTGGCGGTACGCTATAGCGTCTGAGAGGCTGATTTGCAGCGTGGTCAGATTCCTGAAGCCCTGCACAGCGCTCGCCTGGAGGCTGTCGCGCAGCAGCGGCGCCCACAGGCCCAAGGAGCCTATGAAGTCGCTGCTGCCAATCGTAAGACTTTCCAGACTCCCACACTCAGACGCCAGCGCCGGCACAATTACCGACACCGCCTGCGAGACGCCCAGCCCCTTCGCCAGCTCTGCATAATCTTCATTCGCCACGTTCACCGCAGGGTTAGGGTAGAGCATCGCCTCCCTAATAGCAATCATAGCATTCGCCTGCTCCCCCACCGCCATAGCGGGCCACTCACCCTCGTTCCTTACACCGTCCAAGCCCGCCGCATATGGCGCCACGATGGCGCCCGGCATGTCCTGCAGCGCCTCGCCGTCGACGTGGGAGAAGCGCTGTTCGAGGCCCTGGTCGCGGTAGTCGATGAACTGCCAGCCTTTGTCGCCGGCGATGGTCAGGTGTGCAGGTTGGTCAGGTTCTGCAGGATGGTGGTTAGGACGGCTTCGTAGGCGCCAGTGTCGAGCATTGCTGTGTGCTGGTGGAGGTATGCGCCGTAGAGGTCGCGGAGGCGGTTGGGGTGGTCGGGGTGGGCGTTGAGTAGGGAGGGGGTGGGGACGCTGTAGTAGTGTTGGACTATCAGGCCATGTTTCTTCATGCATTATCCTCTATATTCACTTTACTTTTTCGTTGTTTCAACACCCTGCTATCCCCTGCTACTTTCTACTAGCGAGCACATGACTGCTCTGCCTCTTCATGTATATAAAGCTCGCTGCCAGCCACTCATTTACAATCAAGCCGCGTTCTCTCTTCACTCGCACGGTTTCAACCATTCAACCCAACAAGTAGGTTCTGCCATAAGAGCTTATGGGCATGAGGAATGGCTTGTAGTACTATTCGTAGAAGAACTTGTAGCCGGGGCTCTGGTTGAACATTTCTAGACGCTTGTCCAGCACCTGCATGCCATATTGGTTGGGTACATCGACAACGATCTTCAGGTTCCTGATCCGCGGAGCAACGAAGGGCAGCTTTGAAATCGCTGCCAAGCGAAGCATGCCCGCGGGCGTGAATTTGGCGACGTGCCCCTCCTCGTCTCCGGTGGCTGTGGGGTTCGCCGGGTCAGTTTTGAGCGAGCGGATGATACGCTGCTCGAAGGTTGGCTGCAGCACTTGGTGGAAGCCGCGACTTACGCTCCTTAAGGCTAGGACGTCCTGGTGCTCTAGGTACGTCTGGAGCTCGACGAAGAGGTCGAGCGGTAGGGATTCCAGCGTGGTCATGGTCGTGGTGTTGTTTGTGATGTTGTTCGCCATGCCTTGAGTGTGTGTATGATGAAATGTGTATACCGCGTGGAGAATAGAAGTATATATATAAACGTGGGAGTGTAGTTGTTGGCGAACTATACCCGGCTGCCAAATGGTCTTTTATAAGTCAAATCATGGTCCTAGAACAAACACACGAAAAGCAGAGCAAGACACCCAAAATAGACATAAAATTAGTTAGAGCCTGGTAGTTGTTTCTGAACAAAGAAGCTGTTCTCTTCAAAGGGCGTGCATTAGCAAGCCGTTTTGCTTGTTTTTGGAGACAATGCAGTGTTTACGGGTAGCTGGTTGTCTTATTTTCTTGGCAGTTGAAAGCGAAATCCAAGGCCAGATGGCAGCCAATCACTAGACGCTTAGACGCTAGCTGCCAGGCAGCCTGGTTTGTTTGTGCTTCTGTTTGCGCCACGTCTCGTGCAATTTTTTGTTTGTGCACTGCCTGCCCAGGTCAACGGAAAACAAAGCGCGCAAGCCACTAACCCACCCCCACTCCCACCCCCACATTTACTCCCCAAACACTCACCCCTGCAACCACTCACCCCCAGCCCTCCTATTCATTCACCCCTACCCCCTCCCTCCCCTATATAACCCCCTTCCCCCCCAGGCCCATTTACTGGCCTCGCATTTAGTCAGGCCTGCGCACTCCAGGTTCGCCGCAAGGCAAGCCGGAGAGCGCAAGCCCCGCGGACGTGGCAGCGGCCGTTGGCTCGCACGCCGCCTTTGGTTTTATACGCGTTCGAGAGTGATGTGCACTGTTCCTGCCTTTTGGCCTTGGCGCGCTGGCGCTTCTGTGTCCTGTGTGCGCCGGGGTCGTGGGGAATGCTACATATGTACTTTCATAGGTAGATTGAATTGATGGTTTTTCTTTTTATTTTGGTGATGTCAGTGATGGGGTTTTGTGAGTTGGGCTTGGGTGAGTTTTGTGGCGGTGGTTGTGAGCGCGTTTGGGCTTTGTCGTTGTTGCATGCTCTGCAAGATGTGATCGTTTGTAGCTTGCCTTACGTCTTCTTTCTCGCGCTTCCACTATAAGCTGGTCGCGAGAAGTACACAAATAATCATATAAAAATTCCCAGCAGCGCCTGTTGTGTCATTCAATCAAATTAAAAGAAACCAATCTACTAGACCAACCACGCAGTCAATCAGCCCGGAGTCGCAGCCTAGTGAACGCTCAAACCGCAATCCTCTGCACGCCCCTCGCACGCGCAAACACCCTCGAAATAAAGCGCTGCACACACCCCTTTAGCAAAACCTCCTCCTCAGACCGTCCCTCCACAGCCGTACTCTTAGCAGCGCTATGTGCTGGCGGCCGGAACTTGTGCCTGGTTGTAGGCTTTGTAGATGTGGTTGAGGGCGCAGAGCTCACCCATGATGCGCCCCCGTTGCAGGAGCACGGGCCAGTGCTACTCGATGTGCTAGTTTTGCTTACATACGGTGCACTGGGTGCGGCTGTAGCTGACGAGCTTGTTAGGGTCGGCGCCGAAGTAGGTGATGCGTAGGAGTATGCCTATGGTGCGCTGGGCGGCGAATAGCTCGAGCTTTTGGATGTCGATGACTTTTGGGGCTTTGTAGGGGGCAGCGGAGATAAGATGGGTGCTGCCTTCTATCAGGCAGAAGCGAAGGGCTGACCGTCAACTTTCTGGCGCGCTGAAAGAGTCCTACGTGGATGTGAATATATCGGTTTTAAAGTGGGTTGGAGGAAAGACACTTACATGGCATCGATCTCTGTATGGCATTCGTATGGATGCAATGGGGTGGAAATATCGGGCGCAGCAGCACCTTGCATGAAATCTAGATCTACCTGTAGATCTTCTCCGTCGACCTCGAGGAAGAGGAAGTCCTGCGGTTGTTTGAGAGCTGGTTCAACAGGAGCTTGAAGGTGGTTGCCTGTGGGAAGGTTTGATGTTGGCGAACTATAAATGCTGTCAGGTACGGACAGAAGGCCTTAGGTGCCAACATACAGTTGGTTCTCGATAAATTGGAGGTCTAGAGGATCTTCCTTTATATCGGTGACCGGGACCTCAGCGTGCGGTAAATCTTCCTCGATTGGATGAACGTCAGCAGGCTCTGCAGCACTGGTGAGGTAAAAATATCAGCAAGAAAACATGGGTAAAAGAACTTTGCGCAACAAAGAGAAGAACATAAACAGAAGACAAAGTCGGTTGTTCTAGGTCAAAGGCTTTCTTCTAGAGGTTCTCTTTACAGCGTAAAGCTGGGATGGCAAACTGCATATGCAAAGGAGATGTTGGCTTTGTTGAGACAATAGTTATTGGTCGTGTTGTGCATTGATTTGTGCGCCACAGCAGTGAGAGCACTACAAGGATAAAGAGCCCATTCTCTCTGCATCAGTATTACCTTCCGGAATTGCCATCGCGTCTTTTATTGAACGGTGGGATGGCAAATGAGGGTTTGTATTCCGTAGCAAGAGCAAGATTCTTTCATATGTTTGTACAGCGGTCGCAGGACGCATGTAGCTGTCACGTAGCTTTAAGTATGGTCACACACGAGTGGAACAAGGTATTCGCATGCCGGGTCCTCACACGGTTGCCCTCTTCACAATCGCCTGCATCGGTCGTTTATCCATGTAGTACTATACTAACGGGGGATACGGCATTGGCAGCAGCAAAAGCATTTGCGTGGCTGTAGCTTACGCTAGTAGCCTAGCCGTAGAGCCACCAAACTATCTCACCCCAATTCACTGACCCTCTTAAGAGGGGTTATAATTTTAGAAAGCGAGACCATCTTTCGTCCCTGGGGCTCACCCCCCAGGGACATTTGGTCAATTTGAAACGATACAGAGAAGATTAGCATGGCCCCTGCACTAAGGATGACACGCTTAATCAAGGAGAACTACCAGTTTTTTTTACCGTTTTTGGAAAACTCACAAAGGTGGGTAAGCCGGTGTTCGATCCTCGCTGTGGCCCGCTGGAATGGGAACTTTCTTTTTTCACAGCGTTTCTACGCACGCAGCGACGGTTTCTTCGCCTCCCGCGCTCCTTTCCCAATGCGCACGTTCATGCTTTGCCCAGACTGCCGGCCTCCCTACGCACTGCAGACAATTGCCCAACAAGTGACGGCGCCGCCTTTGCAGAGGTCCTTCTTAGCCAACGACATAACCCTGCTCCAAGACGAAGTCGTGCTTCCGCAGCTGCAAGTCGACTTCAAGGCCGGCTTGTCGCCCTTCCCAGCAGCGTCACCCTTCCCGCACCAACTAGCAAGGAATCAACTAGCCACAAACAACCTTTACGCCGCTTCAGCAGCCAGCAACCCCACTTATACCCCTATAAACCCCAAACAAACGACCGCGCCGAGATCTGCTTCTTCGGCAATGCCCCGTACAGCCTACAACAACAGCCCCGCTCAAGACCATGCCTATACAAAGGCTTCCTTCAGCTTCAGGTAAGGCAACACTGACGTTCAACCTTCTGGGACATGACACTGACAGCATGACGGTGAAAGATATATGAAGCAATTTCCTCACTGGATCCAACCGCTTCACAGACGCCTTGTCTGCGCGTCCGCGCCGCCGTAGCAGCCGCAACAGCAGCTAGTAATGCTGTCGCGCTCTTTGCGTTTCCTAAGTCCACCACTGCTACTTGCCTCTCTGGCAACGACTATGGCACCGCTGCCACTAGCCTCTGTGAAGACCACGCATCAACAAGGAATCCAAAGGAATTTGTCCTGTCGATATTACGAGATGCGAAGGTCGAAGAAACTAAGGACATATTTATTTCTAGAAATACTGATTTCAAAAGCAGCAACTCAGAACCAGGTTAAGGAAAAGACAATGTCTTCAGCTCACAACTGGACGTGATAATGGGCGAGAAAGAACCTGGGGGACATAGATTTTCATTTTCCTCACGAAAAACAGAGGATTGTTTCAAAGAAGCTTCGATGCAATCACTCAGTTTGACACCTGTCTGCAAAGATACCATTTCAAACCCCAAGCCACTCCGAGGCTCCAAAGCCGACCGCCGTGCACCAGGACGTCAGTCAACTCCCAGTAGCCATCGACACCAACGCTCCACCAGCCCACCGACCTGCTAGCACGCACATAGGCACCACAGGAATGGAAATTTCACCCAGCACGAGCTGCATAAGTTGTGTCGTTAGGTCTGCCGCTCGATTGACATTTACCGCACACACAGAACTCACTTCGTTTCAAGCAGCTTTTCACACCAACTTACTCCATCCTTCCAACAGCCTTCAGCGGCGCCAATATCAGCAGCGATGCGAGGCACGCCCGCGACGTACCAACGGGGCGCCCACGTGGCGCTCTAGCCATCTCTCTCGTGTCGCCCTTGAGGGCCGGCTGGGCAGGGAAAAGCCTTCGATGATAGTGACGCTGCAGTGTAACCGGGTGGCGGAGGCAGTGCTATCGAATGGCGAGGGGATAAGGCGCGAGGGCTATTAGCAGCGCTGATGCTGGTGTTGTCGTCGTCGTTGTTAGCATTGTTGCAGGCTTGCGCGTGCGTGTCGCCTCCGCGCTGAAAAGGTTGGTATTACTCGCGGCCGGCGCCGGGCACGTGGATTGGACACGACCTTATGCAGATGCCGACATCTACCGACAAACACTCGACCTTCACAATACCATAGGGCGCAAATTAAGCTAGCAGCACCATACTACAGCACTTTGGACAGCGTCACCGACATGTCATCTCACCCGCCCAGGACGAGTGTCATACGCGCAGCTCGCATGCTCAGGACTTCCCGACAGGAAACCCGACAATTAGCCGCAGGGACCAAACACGAGCAGCGCATCTACCAGCGAACACCCTCGACAGCAGCAACTTGCCCCAGCATTTACCCTCCCAGGTTCACCCAGTTGCGCAAAGGCGCGCCAGCGGCCAACCACCCCAGCAAGCAAGCAACCAGGGCCAAATGATCTGCGTCGCACCCATTTCTTCCGCTCTAAAAATACTCACCAAGCACCAGCACCACCCACCACCACGTCTTTCCACCCCACGTCTTTCCACCAAGCCACCACGAAATATTTTCTCCCTCCCCCCTCAGTCAACAGCGCGCAACCTTTCCAAGTTGCCTCCCTTCACCCCCCTTCCCCCCCTCTCTTCTACGAAGCATTTTCCCTACACCCCCAACTACAAAAACTCCCTCCCTCATCAAAATACGCGTCACAGACCGACGTCAGAATAAGCTCCGCACCCCTGCTAGCGCGTCCGCTTTCTGCTTAGTCGATTGGTGCGAGTGTGGCTCGAGCTTAGCGAGCTGGCTTCCGGGTTCGTGGAGTGGGGGTGTGTGGGGTAAGCGCTGCGATTTTTATGCAGGAGCCGTGAGGTGGGAAATTACGGTCGGGTGGTGGTTGGATAGGAGGAAGGGTAGGGAGGAAGGGAGGAGAGGGGAGGGTTAGTGGTTGGTTATAGATGCCTCGGAGAGGTGGGTATGAACGTACTTCGAATTAGCGGAAATGAAAAGACATGATTTCAAAATATGAAATAGATGGAAAGAGTTGTAGGGGTGAAGTTGAGCGTGGGTTGTCGGGGTTGTTGTGCGTATGTGCGTGGGGGATTTGGGCGGGATGATCGGTCGCGGAGGGACCTTTTGCTAGGTTTGGCAAACTTGTAGACAATGAATAGCACGTTGAAAGATGCTCACCAAAGCGATCTGATCGGAAAACGAATCTTTGTGCGAGTAACTCATTAGGGATTAATTATAAAGAAGACGCAAGCAAATTCGCAGTGGGTATCCGCAGAAAGGAACGCGAGGAATCCAAAAACCACCCATCCACCTAGCCCAGCCTCCTCATGAAGGAACTCCATTATCGTCAGAACGCGAAGATTACTCATCTTCCCTGGATTCGTAAGCGTCGCCCCACGCCTCCTCCAACTGTCGAACGCTCACCTCGTACTCCCCCATTCCCACCACCTCCTCGTCCGCCTCTTCCGGCACCTCGTCCTCCACCTCCGTCTCCTCATCCTCCTCCATCACTGCCTCAGGGATGTTGACAGGCCTGCCAGGCCTTATTGGGAGCTCCCTCGGGCTGACAATCCGGGCCCTCGGCGGGTTTACCCACTCATACCGTCCCCACCACTCATCGGGCTCGCTGAGCGGCAGCGGCCGTTGCGGCGTCTTGTACGGATCTCGGAGGTAGTTCTCCGGCGGGTACACCTCGTCGTCAACAGGCTCCGCGCGTTCCTGCTCCCGAGCCGGACTCTCCACCCACGCGCCCGCCGACCTTGCCTGGATCTCGAAGAAGCGCCGTCGCTGCGGCTCCTCCATCACCTCATCCTTCTCCTCCACCGGCGGCGGGAAATCCGCGCCCCGCACCTCCCCCTCCGGCACCCCAGACGGCCACGTGATTCTCCGTCCCCCAGGGCGCTCCCACCGCCGCGCGTGCGCGACCTGCTGGTGCGTCGCGTTTTGCTCTCGGGTATAGAAGAAGTAGGTGCACCCGGAGTGCGCGGCCCAGGGACAGGTGATGGCGTCGGTGGGTATCAGGCCCTGGAATTGGTGCTGATCAACGGCGTGTTGGCGCGCGGCGTGGAGCGTGTCGAAATATTCGTAACACGCGAGAGAGGAGCGGAAGGGGCAGGCGACGAAGGTGGGGTGGGACTCCTCGACGTGGATGTCGCTTTCCAGTTCTGTCGCGAAGACGTGCGCGCACCCGGTGAGAGATGCGATGGGACATTCCCATACGTCGATGGTTTCGGGGGCGGGAGGAGAGGGGCTACTGGCGGCGGTGGTGGTGGAGCTCGTGGAACCCATACCGGGATTGTTGTGGTTGTTGCCGTCGGAAGCGGTGCTGGAGGTGCTGGGCGCAAAGCGGAGAGGAAGTGCGATGTTCGTAATCGTGTTCTGTAGGTGGTCAGTGTTGATTTATGCATTGCGGGTGATGGGCGGGGCTTTACCTGAGACAGTGCGCGGAAATGTTGAAGAAGAAAAGGGAAGGGGGGAGGATCCTTGGTTGGGGATGGGTGTTTAAGTGCGGCTGAAGGCCGGTAGCCATGGTTGGGTGTGGCCCACGTGACAAGGGTTGTGTTTGGGATTTGGCTGGTGCTGCCGACGCACCACACCAATTTCAGATGCACGTATCGATGTACGAAGGGTCTGCCGAAGGCTCCCTACGGAGAGATCTTTGGTTTAGAACTTTTAAGGCTAGGTATTCGATGAAAAAAGAAATATATTTGCGCGGGTTTTGTGTCGCCGCGTCTTCGTGCTGCAAAGAAACTATCTCAACATTTGCGACAAGGGATCTGCCTCTTTATAGGGATTTATGATCTCGTCTTTGCCCTATCGTTTTGTTTGTATATTTTCTAGCAAACGAGCAGCACAACCATTTATAGATTCAAGATTTGGCATGCTGAGGATGGTACTAGCAAACAACGTGGTCAGCAGTTTAAGATTTTATTATTACACAATTGCTACAAACAAAAATTCATCACCATAGATAGGCATCTTACTTGGCAAAAGGATCAGGCGGCCAGTTCATCTGTGAGATAAACTGTCACATGTGTTTGGGAAAATATCTTTGGAAATACTCGTTCATTTCAATCTGATTCTAATTCAAAAGGCCTCCCATACTGAAAATCAACCGTAACGCACAAAACTACCAAAACCTAAACTTCCATTGTCAGGACGGACTGGGCCACCTTCAAGTGCCAAGACAGACTGTGCAGACATATGCCGAGTTTTCAACCGAAATGCTGCTCGGCGGTCTCCCTAATTGCCGTCGGAAACAAGCCACCCCGGATCCTAGCCCAGAGAGGATCATCTCCGCCAACCAGATCCGTGTATTCGAAGCGGACAAGACGGCTGTTATCATTCATGCTCTCCAAAGCCGCGCTGAGGGAAGAGCCCGTAGGTAGATTGGAGCGTTCGACGTTGAAGCTGTCTGAGCCGACCGCATAACGGTTGTCCCCTCCAACGCTGGACGGGGCCACATTAACCACCTTCCTAATGTCAGCATAGAACTGAATCATATACCATCCTGCTTCATCTAACTCAAACAGCTGCTTGAAGTCAATTTCGTGAAGATTGCGCACTTGGCGTAACGTGTTGAAGATCTCTTTCCAGCGAAGCCCACCCAGGTACTTGTCCGTTATGAGGCACAGTTGGATTAGGCCGACAGACTCCAGAGTCTCCTTGTGGGTGAGGACAAAATGGACCATATCCGCCGCCTTCTCAATTGGAAGCGCATGAAGGACGAGGTGACGAAGATGCGAGGCCTTCAGCTTCCGGAGAATTGGTCCGAGGGTGTTCGTATGGAAGGCACCCGTAAGTGAACCTTGCAGTACCAGCGTCTCCAGCAGTGGCATGGAGCACAGAGCCGACGCCAGGTTGTCACCGCTCTGAGCAATGTTCCAGTCGTCTGGAGCGCTGCTCACTGACTCACTCGACAAATGGAGAACGAGGGTCGTTAGCGTTGCGGCAGACGCCAGTGGTTGAACGCTCCACAAGGCCGCTGCTCCGGCGGTATCTGCCCATAAGTCTGCTTTAGCCCATTTCAGTGTCGTAGGTTTAGCCTCGCTGGCATGGATCGCCTTCCCTAAGGACCATGTGAGTCTCGACATGGCTGTGGTCTGGGCCTTCTCGAGAGGGCGACCAAGGATCCTATACGGAGTGGGTACACGCCTCGGAAGATACCGGAACCCTCCTTGGCATACTCGAAGTGGTTGAAGTCGGCGTCCCCCGTCGCTATGATCTCTTGGTAAGGGACATGCTGAAACTTGTCGTAGACCATTCCCTCGTATGACATCACATTCTCATTGTCGATAGCTGTAAGATTGCGAAGGTTTCCAAGCGCAACCGTAAGCATCCGGATGTCGTCATCGGCAGCCATCATGCTCTCAAGCTCAGATAGCTTCTGCTGGTATTCCTCGCACTCCTTGAAAAGCAGTTCAGCACATTCGTCCAGGGTCTTTTCCGCCCACTCCTCACGTTCCGTCCAGTATGCGGGCTACGACATCACGTAACGGAGAAACCGCCGGCGGCTCCTGTCCTGTCCCCACTTCATGGCGACGTACTTTGTCGCAAACTGACAAGCCGAAGACGTTTGGCGGATCAACCCTGAATCTGATCGTTGTGATCTTGTCCGCGATCTTCTTCCATGTTGAGAGTTCTGCAAGGAGGGCAAGGCCATCGAAGGTGTATGGGATCGAAATAACGCTATTTCATATGCGTGGGATCATCATGTCCTGCATGCGATTGTGAAGGTGGGAGTCGAATGTCCTGGATACTGCCCGCAGGCTGAGGACATCTTTGTACTCGAGGTCGGATGTCACAAGACTGAGTAACTCTTCCGGCAGGCTTTCTAGGCGCGAACCCCGGATGGGTTGGTTGACCGTGGAGCCATTGCGGTTAGCAGGGTTGCAGGTAACTGGTTTGCGCTGTATGTCATGAAACGCTTGCCTTGAGAGAAATTGAGAAGGTGTTGTTGAGCTTTTTGGATGCAAGCAGGTAGAATTTGTACTGGAGGGATGGATGATGGAATAGGAAATGTAAAGTAACAATGACGTTGCTGCAGTGCGCCTGTAGCAACCGACCAAGTCCTTTTAACAGAACGATGCTGAAGGTGTTTCCCAATAAGGATAGTGTATCGAAATAATGTTCGGCCCTTGGTCAGAGATCAGGTTTTTTCGGAAATCGTGGCTCCCGGGGTTGGCCACGATGGCTTGGTTGCGGCTAAGAGATTGCCGCCAAGCATTTTGGGGTGTTGCTGCGTCGCGGCATTGTGGGCGCCAACGACAGGCCATACAAGCCTGCCCATGGAGCCGTGACATTGCTGCAACGTAGAATCAAGTGCCGCTTTTTTAAATTGAGAGATCGGTGTATTTGTAAATCTTTCAGCTTTAGGATCAGGAAGAAGAAATTTTCAAACTTCAAATATATATATACTATGGCTTGCGAAAGCTGGAGTGGTTATAGCGGCTCTCTGGGGTATTTATAGTCCGCACGATACTTTGCTACGGTGCTTGCTTGTTTGATTTTTGTTTGTGATTTGATTTCCTCAGTCTCAAACCATAACAAATTCCTTTGTGCACGCGTTGTTTCATTGCGATGGCTTTGAGACAGTCGCAAACTAATTCACAAATATGAGCAAGTCGTCTTGAATACGACAGCTGCTAATATTTCGGATCATTTAGTTTCTACGGGCAAGTCACATTGCTTTTTTGGGTTAACTAAGCATATCAGGCCAGCTCTTTGAGACTCAATTGGCGTGATTCGATCTTTCAACAAATGAAGTTTCGGGACATGCGTCTGCAGACCACGCCTTCCACACCTGCAACTGTCAATTGATCATTGAGTTTCATTTTAGTACCTACCGTGGCTAAACCAATGCCCTATTGTGCAAACTAGGCAGGGCAGGTTAGAATGGGCGCCTTGAGAATCGAAGGTAGAGACTACACGCACGCGTAATGTACTTCTTAGTTATTAGCGAAAGCATTTTTTATTAAGAATAATCGTTTTTATTATCTACCTCAATGATTTCGCAACAAAGGAAACAAAAGAAACCAACTGTACCCCAAAGCCCTAAAGGCAAAGAAACCAGCAACCTGCCAAAGGAGAGCCATTGAGCTCGAGAACCAGATCATGGAAAGGAGCATTCACAACCACCAACGCCAAGCCCACACGATCCAAACCAACAATCCCCAGACCATGCTGATCCAAGACTCTCGAGGCACATCAACGACGGCCGGTCTACCCCAGGGATAGTCCCACACCGGATCATTGGGATCTAGAGGTTCCACCCCGCATTCCAAGTCGAAGTCACCGCAATCCTCATCACCAGGCGGAATCTGCAATTCGGGCCCGAACCATAGCTCCTCGAACCTGGCAGGGGGCGCCGACGCTGGGTCAACAGTGAGAGGTATGGCGATGTCCGTAGACGGTCCCTGGATGTACTTGATGGCGAAGCCCGTTATCTTCGCGGGTAGACCATCATCAATCATGTTCCTCTCGCCGTATAAGCCACTTCGTCTCGTGTGGTAGTTCACCATCTTCACCAAGGTAGTCTCCGTCACCTCGCGGGGTGCAGGGTAGTCGATGCTCAAGCGTCGGTGCTTTTGACCCTTGAGATTGGTGGAGCGGTACCACCGACGGTATCTATCGTCGACAACCTCGGAGAATGGGAAGACGATGGCGTCGTAGGTAGTTCGCTTAAGTTCGAAGAGGTTACCGACTTCTAGGGCCCGGAGCTCTTCGCGATCCAGCATGCTTAGTTGTTTCTGGAAAATTACCTTCCAACCAAGGACATTGCCCTCGGTGATTATTGAGATGGTTGTAAACTTAAGGTCTACGAGAGTGTTCTCGTGCCGTGTGAGGAAGCTGAGAAGATCTGTCGCTCTGTCTATAACAAAATCGCGCAGATGGAATATCCGAAGCTTGCTTGATGTCAATTCTCTGAGCATGGTGGAGATAACCTTGGGGCCGAACGCAGTTCTTGGTCCAGCACTGAGACGAAGATCCTCAAGGACCTGTGAGGTTAAGATGACGTTCGTCAAGAGCGAGGCAGCTTCGTCCTGAGACCGGCTAGGGAACCCATCTTCTGAAAGTGTAAGGCTCAACGTCTTAAGGTGCGACATCGATTGACCGAGCGACTGGTTCAGTTGTAGTGGCAAGTCGGATGCCCACAAAGCTGCTGTATCCGAGCTGATATAAAAAGAGTCGAAAGGAGCTATGTCGATTTTTTCGAGTTTGGCCCTGGAGACCGCCACGCCGTGCAACACAGATTGAACAAGCTCTGTTAACGTCTTGCTCTGGAGGTGTTCGAGATGTCGGCCCGGTAGCTGGTAGCCGGTGCTGTTGTGGCTTTCTTATCCGAATTCTTCCTGGTCTTCCTCCGGTTCAACCCAACTGAAGCGCTCCATCTGCCGAAAACATTTCATGAAGTTGTCGTAATAACCGATGCAAAGTGCCGACAGGTTCGGGAAACGTCCCACAGACTGAGTGATGCTACCATATTCAAGACAGTGGAAGCACACTCTCATGGCAATGAAGTACTTGACTTCCATCCGGGCGCGTTCAAGTTTGCTTAAGTCCGAGAGTTCGTTCACGCCTCTGTCGTTCATATTGAGATAGACCATGCCGCGCCGAGCACGAACCGCGCCTTCGACAATCCTTTCGTACCAGTCGAATGCCGCATGCTCTAGTTTGCGGCACATGGTGCGGAGATGTACCATATCGGACGTGTCAAGGTACTTGAAGATGTCATCCAGTATCTCGTTCGGCAAACCCCACAACGTAGGCGTTGCCGCAGACATAGTTGTCGTATAAGGATTGTACTCGTGTGTGGGGATAAGACTTGTTGATATATTGTCGAACAGACCGCAAGTTAAGAAGAAGTTGGCGAACGACGAGCTCGGAGACGCCCTCAGGTACGCGGTAAAAAGGAGGGAGTAGTTGTGTGCGTAAGAAAGGCACACGGGCGGGGATATTTATAATATTAGCCATGACATAACATCCAAAACGAACGAGTGCGCGGGCCCGACGCCGATGAAAACGCACACGGAAAGCTCCGGCCATCCAGGGGAGTTAATATCAGCGTCGTTGCTAAGCAACCATTCATTCACCCGCGCCATGATGACCTTCCAATGCGGAATGGCTCTGGCGCTGGCTGCTGCACAGTTAACATATCATGACGTGGGTTTTTATAGCCGATGATAGGCAGCTTGTCAAGCAACGCTTGATTTTGTGGGAGCCATAGCAACCGGCAATTGCCAAAGGAAACATTGGGTCACTCGCCTCACTAGGGGCAGCACTAATTGATAGTTTTTAGGGCAATGTCGGCATCAAACAACGTCAAAGCTGGCATTCTAGTACTTGACGTCAGCTGTTCAATCTCAATTGGGTAACGATGCGTGATGATTGGAAATGAAATCATATAAACATGGGAACACGTGCATTATGTCCATAAATACTCTTTGCGCCTTAGCGTCCCCAGAATTTAGTGAACAAGATGATAGTTTCTCTTACAGGGGCTGATTCCACGAGTTGCTGCCAAAAGTGTATGCCTGTTAACATGTTTTCCCCAAAGAAGGCAAAGACAGGCGGTCTTGTGTCCGCTCGTTCTCTTCAGTAGGAATCTTTTTGCAACAGACCATTTACTGTTTGGCGCTAGGCAATGTTGAAAGTCTGCGCCGATGAATGCAGTTTCCTCCACTTCGACCTTTTCTGCAATTCCTAGCTCTTTTGTAGTTAGGGGCTTGCCAACATGCAGTCCGTAGAGCATTTCCTGTCATCTTTCACAGTATTACCATTGAGAAATTCGAATGGCAAAAGAGCCCGTGCCCAGTGGTTGACCATTCAATGCTGTACATATCCGGGAAAGATGTTAGCATAGGCATAATATCCGGAAACGGCCAGCAAGTACACTATAAGGTCAAAGACATACGATGTTTTTATTGTCTAGCGGTTCGATCGGCAGCATTAGAGGGCTATTTATGACTGATAATGGGGAAGAGTAGCTCTTAGGCATTATTGAGGCTAGGTGATACCGCTCTACAGGCTGCGGTTCACTCATACGTACTCTTTCACAGGCGCTAACCCTTTTCGGAGAGGCCGCGCCTTGTCTTCAGCAGCACTCCCCGTACCCCAACACCTTCATCTGCCGCCAACGCACCCACACGCTCACCCACATCCGTACCATTAACCGTACCTACAACGACAACCTTAAGCCCACCACAATGTAAGCCCTCCGCCCCCATTCGTACTAAACACACACTAATCTGAAACCTCCGTGCAGGCCCACCCGCGCCGCTGCCATCAAGAGCTGGTGGCAGAATCAGCACGCCCGCTCCCGCATCACCGCCATCCACATCGAGCTGGGCCACCTGCAGCACGTGAAGGAGTACCAGCGCAAGCAGGCCGAAATGGACCATATCTGCGCGATGGAGGAGGGCTTCGCGGAGGTTATGGCACTGATTGAGAAGGTATGTTTCCATTTACTATATCGTCTTGAAGCACTGTTCGTGATGTTGGAGTGGTGCTTATTGTGCGTAGATTAAGGCGGACTCGGTGGCGTAGAAGAAGGGCGAGGCGGAGGAGAAGAAGGCCGCCGAGTAGGCGGAGTAGGTATAGTGTTACGGGGGGAGTGAGTGAGGGAAGGGGGTAAATGAAGACGAATTGCGTGTCCTGATGAACGTGCACAGTGAATTTCTGCAGGTGATATGTGTTGATACGAATATTGTTTGCTACATGCTGTTTCAGAGACATTACTGCTAGCTTGAGCTGCATGTAATGTATTTGAGATATGTTTGCTCAACATCCATTTTGGTAGCAATTGGAAAGTAGACACATGGATATTTAAAACGCTTCTCAACCGTCTACACAGACATGCCATATTACAATTGCACTACGTAAATATGTATAGGCGCATACACCAAGAGAAGAGGCGCGACCGCCATTGAGAACCCACCCCAAAGCTCGACCACAGGCGGAAGTTGGTACTGCGGCGGCACGTGATAACCCCTCGCTTAGTTCATACTAGCGTTGTCCGTAGAGTCTTTTTCCTTCCCCGACAGACCACCTCTCACTTCTCTTACGCCAATCTCTCTGCAGACAGACGCCTGCTCACCTAAAGCTGCTGCCTCCGAGTCCTGACACCATGAACGGCAACCAAGTCAACACGACTCTTATCAACCGGACCCCTCCCCCTAGGAAGGGTCTTAACTATTACATCGCCTACTACTCTCTCGCCATTATCTGCTATATTGTTGTGACGATTGGCTACTTGATCTGCGTTTCCGAGGATCCTACTTTCTCGGACAAGGTAACATTACACTTTTACTTTCCGACCTCCCAATCCTTTACTAACTTGGCACTAGATGCTCACAATCGTCTTCTCGGTCTCGACGTTGGTTGTGACGATAGGCGTCGCTTTTTTCACCTACGCCTCCCGTCGCGATTGCGCCTATCACCTCCATACCTGCCGCTTCAGGGCCAAGGCCGCAACCAACAACGTCAAGGGCGCCGTGAAGGACTTCTTAATTCGCTGTCGCTTCCCAACTTACAAGCGCCCTCGGGCCGGCTCACAGAACGGTGCCGCTTAGCGCAACGTCGCTGGGACATTGCCAACTAACACTTACCCTGAGCGTGTCTTTGAACCTCGCTTGCACGTCGTCACCATCCATGATGTTGCAGATGTCTAGCAAGTGAGGCTGGGCTTACAACTGGACGACACCAAATACATCGCGCATCCACAACCTTGCAATTTGTGCACTTACGACTTCACGATCAAGACACGATGCAGGAAACCCATGGATGATGGGTCATTGGAGGATCTGGGAGGTGATTGAGAGACATTGGGGTTCGGTCTACTGGGCACACATGGTATTGGAATTCTTAGTCAACGGCGACTACTTTATGGCCTCACTCGTTGGATATCCGTCGTTATGAATTGTCAGCCAGGATCACTCCGATAACTCTCGTTTTTTCAGCCTTATTACAGTCAGTTGTTACACTACAGCCTTACCCCTTACACCACACGTTTATCCACTGCAAGGGAATAAGGATCTTAAAGAGAAAACGTGTTCGTTTAGATAGCAGCATATATACCTCCATAGGTAGTAGTAATTTAGGAGGACAAGCGGCGTCCAATTCCTCGCGCCCAGCTTCACATATTTTTATTTTTTTTATTGTCTGTAAGTTATGCATGGTTTCTGTTATGTGCTTTGTGTGGGTTGTGTTCTTTAGGGTTTTGTACTCGCTTTGAGAGAAATGAGGCTGGTATGCGAATGCGTGGTGAGGATGGGGATGGTGCTGTAGGTATGGCTTTGGGTGATGGGTGATGGGTCTTTGAGATAGATGGTGGTGAGGTGGGATGGCTGTGGAATTGTGGAATTGTTGAATAGTTGTTGGAGGCGGGAGGGGGAGGGAAGCGGTGTCGGTCGCTCGCGGGCGGGTGAGCGAGTGCGGCGTAGCGGGACTTGGAAGTGCCTACTGCCTACTTGGTTTGATGCGTTCACTAACAGGCCTGAGTGATGGGCGAGAGCGCGCGCGGCAACCTAAAAAGACCTCGAGCACCGTCTTCCTGCCACTTCCTTTACGCCTGTCGAGTACTTGTACCTCTAAATAACTGTAAACACCTACAGCCCCAGCACAAGCAGTAAGCACTACCGAGCAAATTCGCCGTACCTAGTATCTATTTTCTCGCCTATAGATATCAAACCCGTGAGACTAGCTTTCGTCTTTAAATTTTTGGTCGGGTTTAAACGATATAGAGAAGCGAACATCAGAATCATAATATTTTTGCCGTGTTCGCCGTTTTAGGAATTGTTGGGGTTTGGTGGGCGGTGGTGGGTGGTCGAGTCTGGGCTGGGGAAGGGGAGGGCGGGGGGGTGTTTTTTAGGTTGGTTTTTAGAGTGCTTTTTCACGACCGCGTGCCAGTATGGATTGTGCTTGCTGCGGGCTGCAGTTTGGGGCCCGTTTCTTATGGTATGGTGGTATTGTTCTTCTAAATGGAATGCTCTTGCTAATGCATTTGCGGAGTTCCTGCCAGCTGGGCTGGGTAACGCTGGGCAGGCTGTGCGTGTGGTTTGTAGTTTGCCTGGACCTTGAGTCTAGGACGGCCGAATAGCGTGCAGCTTCATAGAATGTAGTAATCTCTAATATTCTTGCATCGTCGTCAAATACAAAGCTTGCTTTTCCTTGTATATACATTATTATCAACCCATTACACTCTCTGCTCCCCGTCGATCGCCGCAGCCTGCTGCCCTTCGCATTTCCGCTACATATGCAGTTAATATGTTTCCCTCACGAATAGAGTTTTAAGTCTTCGTTTCGATTCCAGCAATACGTACGCATTTCTGCCCAGCCGTTTGTATGCTGAAATGGCGCTTAGTGAGACTATGAGACGGTGATGTACAAACTAATCTACTAACTAATCCTTTAATCCTCGATCCAAGCAGGCGATGCCGTCGCTAGTGGGCAGGCATGCGGAGTCTGCCCAACAGCGCAATTCTAATAAGCACAGAAGTCTACATATACTCCTCCCCTTCCTTTCTCCCTTAGCACAGGGCCGTCCGTCTCTCAACGGCACCTTAGCGCGTTGCTGTATTTACGTGTATTCTATAGCTGAGCAGAAGCTCAGGGTCTGAGAGTATTTGTGAGACCTCTGTAGCGGCGCTTTGGCGCTGCCGATTCTGCTTGCTGGATTTTATGGATTCTGGGTTGGATTGTCTCGCTACAATGGGTTTGTTATTTGATTTTTGAAAACTTTGAGGTCGCTGCGGCTTGAGTGGCTGGGAGAAATGCTGCTGTTGAGTATTGCGAGCGTAAAGCCAGGCAAACTGGTGGTCATTAGCTTTGTTGGTTGGAATAGGTGTGTACCGCCTTTGTTCTAGTAAGATTTTTGGGTACTGGTTTTTGTTGTAAGCGTTTTCGCGAAGAAGTCCTCACAATCATAGTTTTCCAGATCCATGTCGATATTTGCAAATGATTTGACCCTGGGTTTGTAGGGTCGGGTGCTGGTGGCATATGATAGATGCGTGTGGTGCTTGCACCGGCGTAGAGCATGGAGAGAGATCGCCTGACGGATCTTTGCTCTTTTCCTGAATAAGTATTATATAAGCTCCTACAGATGATTTGTGGAATAGCTATTACCGGGAAGCAGCCCTAAAGGCTCATGACCACGGCCAAGATTCCCCATGAGCCGGGGCTGAATGTTGGGGAGCTCCTTGCATGGCCAGGGACGTGGCTGTGTTGGCAACCCGTAGACGCTAACCGCTTTTGTCATGGGAGCTGCCTGTTCTTGCAGTCTTGCCCTCGACCTTTCCTTTTTAACCACCTCTCCCTCTGCCGACTTCTCAGCATCTAACAACACCTTCCTCCGCCCGCTTTACAGTGCAGCGAGCTTGCGCCTGACACGGTATCTCTGAGCTATCTCTTTGCGGTACCAACTACAAGCTCCAGCAGTGTCTTTGATTGCCAGAGCATCTACTCTCGCACCTACAGCTCCGGCGTGTTCTTGACGCGATCATACACGACAACTCTACCCACTCCGTGCGCTGGCGTGTGTCTCAGGCTTTCCACTCACAGACTCTCAAGTTACAAATGTAATGACCCCCGACCCTAATTCAAGCTGAAGATTATCCTTTTCTAATTTAACGGTCGGAGGTCGCTGCCAAGCATCATAGTCAACCGTAGGCTTTATTATACAACAACATCGCAATGGCTCCTGCAACGCCTAACCTGGCCTACATGCCAGAGGAAATTCTTTGCAAAATCACAGCGAACTTTGGCCCCACCGAGTATGACTTAGATCGCCTAATGGCTCATCGGACACTCCCACCAGCCTCATTCCTACCTCTTCGTCAGGTCTGCAAGACCATGGACACGCATCTTTTCGACCGCTTCGTCGCCTACGTCAAGCAAATACTCATACATGCCAGGCCGCACAGGTTGGATGTCTCCTACTCGCCCCGCGGCTTGCGCAGTCTTCACGCTATACTAAGTTTCGAACCTCTCCGCGGACACTTCCAAGCGGTCATTACGAGCATCGTTTTCCTGGCCGACAAGCCTGCCTACTTGCAACTCTCCAATCCTCCGAAAGGGTACCATGAGGATCTGAAGGAATACAACGACATGATTGAGTCCAATGAAGACCTGAAGTTCGTGGAATACATTCTTGGTCAGCTCACTAGCGTGAAGAACCTCTACGTCTCGACAGGGGTCGTTAAGAGTCAACACAAGGATGCTCTTGATAAGGATTTCTTGGACAGTTTCATGCCGTACAAGAAAATCCTTATGAGGCCGGAAGGCCCTGACGTGTTCGATCTTCCGGGATTACCCCTTCAGCGCGTGCAAACCGCTGGAATGTCGCGAGCAGCCAAGGCCGTAATGAACGGTCTTGCGAAATCGACCATATCGCTTCAAGACCTCGAAATCCAAGGCATCGGACCGGTTGCCAAGAGGAAAAACACGGGGACAGCTACGTTGTGGAGCTTGGATCCGCCAACACCCCTTGTCTCGGCCTTTGCCCAACTGAATTCGCTCACGCTCCAAATTTCCGACAACGAACTCGTCGCGGAGCCTGAAAAGTGGCAAGGCTCTACTCCCGAGACGAAGTCGCCGCTCTTGGGCTTGCTCAACGCAGCTCCATGCTTGTCAGAGCTCACTCTCACGGCAAGTAGTTTCAGCTGCTTCGCGCCAGCCATCCTACGCCGGTTCCTTCTCGAGTACACCGGTCCGCTCCTCCGTTTCATCGGGCTCTATGACTGGGTCATCGAAGACGCGCAGGACTTGCAGGCATTCCTGATCAGACACTAGGTTTCCCTAAGCGCCGTCCACATGTCAACAATTAGCCTTTGCAAATCCGGACCAGGCAGTGCCTGGCAGCCGATACTCCACGACTTGCAGTACGAACTCGACTTGGGCGAGCTTGGTCTCCCCTCGCTCTTCGAGCTCGAACGGGATACCTACGACGCGGTCGTCTTTCCCCTGGCAGAGAACGATGTTGATGACGAGGGTGTCAATGAAGACGAGAACGGATATGCCTTGTATATTTTTAATGACGCACGCACGCTCCTATGGTATGAAAGTAACGAGTCCTCGGCCGGAGGCGATGAACGCAGCTTGCTCAAGGACCGCCCCTCAATCGCATTCAACACGGTCAAAGCCAGATATGGAGAGCCAAGCATGATTGTGAGTAGCTTCCTGCCGTATATCTGCCCGCCCAACAGCCTTTCCAAGTACTAACTCGTAGTAGCACCATCATCTGCCCACCAAGGTCGCTGGCTTTGCAGAGAAGTTCCTGGGCAGCCAGCGCCCTGCGCGCTTCACTCACTACTCGGAGAGCTGGCCGTTTGATGATATCAAGATGGGCACGCGCTGGGAGGAGCTTTGGATTGGGATGGACGGACATGGCGATGCTTACTAGGCTAGAGGGCACATTGAAAGCGCCTCCGGCTCACAGGCTTCTTTCTTTTGTTTCAGCGGGCTTTGGGTTTCCTTGCTGCTCTCCGCATAGGTCGGTTTCAGGACAATGAGCAAGGGCTTGTCCGAGGACCTACGTCCGTGGGACAATACGGCAGGCAAAGGGAACAGCTCCAGCGATGATTCTGGCTTGTTTAATAGTTTCTTACCTCCTGTGAAACACTCAGAAGCTCACAAGGTTTTTCAGAAAATCCATCACGGCTTTCAAAATCCTCACCACCCACTGGTACAACGCAACAAAGACGTCGTTAAACACGATTTTATATCTACACTATAAACTAATGCCCTTCTAAAGTATCAGGTTCCACAGCAGCATACGAAACGTTGTCCTGAACCCAATTATCGACGCTATAACCTAGAAATATCTTTCTACAAACATCCCAAGCAAGCCTTTACAATACAAACCAAAGAATAATCAAAAAATGATTTAGATTCCGTAATTACCACAAAGAATAATAAAAAGAAAGTGGTGTTTCGCAACTTACCTAAAACTAAGATGGCTACTAAAGCCAGTGGCAAAGGTATACAATAAATAGGTAAAGAATACCGTAGCTAGGAAGACGCGGTATGGATTTTAGCTTGTTTATTTAAATTTTTTAGATGGCGGCTGTATCATCATCAGGCTGTACATAGGGGAGGAAGCTGCTGGCGGTTATAACTGCGGGGTAGGTTAAGACGCAAGAATTAACAGGGACCTAGATTAGTAGTATTTCCGAGTTTATTACGTTGCATTGTGTGCTTGCGGAGCTGCATGGTAGAAAAGAAGAAGCAGAATTACTTGCAACAAAAGACTCTCTTTATCGGGCCCAGTGTACGCCCGAAGCCCGGAGTCTGCGGCGGGCGGGTAGAGTGGTGGAGCTAGCTAGAAAGAACAAAGGAAAAAGGAAAAAGAAAACGGAACAAAGGAAAAGGAAAACCGGAAAGGGGAAGATGTGCAGGGAATTAGGGGAAGAAAGCCGCTTTGTTGCTGAAGGCCGCTAAAAGAAACACAGAGGCAGCGGCAAGCTACGAGCGCTTGCGCTTCAACACCCCCGACGCCTTCCTCCAAGACCCATAAGTCGGGAGCAATGGATCCCTACGGATCCAGCCTTGACGCTGTCGCGGCCTATTACTGTCAGAAAGTGTCCACGGCCATCCACACTCAGAATAACTTACCCTACTCCTCGCGCTTGCGCAGCCTCAAGCGGATCTTGAAGCCCGACTTCTGCTCCTTGTCGACATATCTGTCCTGCTCGAAGTCGACGGCGGCCTCTCGCTCACGCTCTTTGGAAGCCTCCTTCTCCCTTTCCACCGTCTCCTCGGCCGCCGACGCCATACTCCTGTCCAGCGCAGCAAAGAGGTCGCGATTATCAAGGCGGACCTCGCTCAGCAAGTCGAGCTCCTCTTCGTCAACCGCGCCCCTGAGCCCCTCCCTACGCAGGCGATACAGCATCCTGCGGTCACGCTCCGAGACGTGCGGGCCCCTATCGCGTTCACGAGCAGGGTCCTCGAGCCAGGCGAGCGACGGCAGCGTCTCCCCCAGCCGCGGCAGGTACACCGGCACGTCGTGCAGCTGCCAGTACAGCGTGCAGCCGCGGATCGGGTGCGCCTCGTCCGGCGGCGAGTGCGCGAGGTTGTGGTTGTGCGGCGCGGCGCGTGGGACGGACCGGTAGTCGTGGTACTGGATGCCGGCTGCGGCGCCGGGGTCGACGATGCGCAGCTCCTCTCCGTGGAATTCTCTGGCGGGGGGAGGGGGGAAGGCCACGCCGTCGCAGTAGCGCGTCGGCGGGAGCAGGTTCGCGGTGTGGATCGTGGGGCGGCGGATGGGCGGGCCGGGCGGCGGCGAAGGCGGCCACCGCCGTGTGGTCTGCTCGTCGTCGTCGTCGTAGCAGATGCTCATGTAGGAGCCGGCGTCGCTGGGGGAGGAGCATCGCTTGGTGGATAAGGGGCCTTCCCCGAAGCTGCTGCTGCTGGTGTCGCTGAGCGACGACGAGTCCTGTTCGTGGGCGGCGGCGTGGAGGTCGAGGCGGTCCAGCTCGTCGTTGACGCTGTGCGTCGTGGAGCCAGAGGAAGGATCGGGTTGGCCGGCCTCGTATGAGGGCTGGCGGCGGAAAGAGGAACGCGACATTATGGTGGCGCGGGAGGGGATTGTTAGTTTTTTGTGGGGAAGAAGGTTCGCGGTTGTTGTTGTTGTTGTTGGTAGGTTGTTCGTTACGCAGGGTAAGAAAAAAAGGCCCCGTTGGAAGAGAAATTGCACCTTTAACTGCACCATCCCGGGTAATTATACGCCCGCACGCAGCGCCGGCATTTACCCAAGAGGCTGCATTTACAATCCCCCGAGTACACTCGTTGCAGACGTCATAGTAACATGCAATTATACGCAGCGGCAGTAGTAAGTTTGTTCCGCCTCCCTCTGCATATCTCCTCTGTGTGCTTATACGCCTACAACGTCTTGTTTTCTGTGCTATTCTTCCGTTAATGCTAGAATGTTCAAACCCGTATTGCACGTCCAGCTCAGCATGGGGATATGAGCTAGCCCGCTTCATATAGAGGTCTGTTCTTTGTGCTTGTACGCCTCTATTGTCTTGCTTTGTGTGCTCTTCTCCTATCACTGCAGGAACTTTCCAACCTATACTGTACGCCGAGACCAACAAGGGAATAAAGAGCCAGCCCGCTCCCTATAGATGTCTTTTATCCGTGGTTATGCGTCAACGTCGTCTCGCTTCATATGCCACACAGCCATGATCTCGAGAGCATTCCAATGCAGAACGTACACTGCGCTCAGCATAGGGACAAAGAGTGGCTCTTTATCATGCGTAGGCGTGGGATTGAGCATTGTACGGCGAAGATTCAAGCAGTGACTCGGTGACAAAGCGTGTGCTTTCAGGCGTTCGTAGTGATTCATTTGGCTTTGTTTCGAGCGCCTTGGGGCTGATTCATGCGGAGAGGAGGAGTGGTAAAAGATAGATGTATAAGTGGCTTTGACTATGCTGTAGACCTCTTCGTACATGCCCACAAAAAGGAACGAATACCTGTTGCCTATAACACCAGCCAGGGGTACAAAAAAACGAATCCCCACTATATATTTTCACTATGCATCCTTATACAAAAGCAGATGTACACATATGCACACATCCCATTAAAAACTCAAAATCAAACCAAATATTTCAATATCTATCTCCCAAAAACGCCCCTAACGCCTATCCAAGTCTCTACGTGCGGGAGGCAAAGGCAATAGCATAGCCTACCTCTCTAAAACATGCAATCATCGTCCTCCTCATCCTCAAGCTCCTCCTCATCGTACATCTCCGCGTACTCGTCATACTGCTGCTCAACGTCCACCGCTCTGTTAACGAAAAACGCACCCAGTTCGATCCGCAGCGGCGTCTCGCGCTGCCTGTACCGCCTCGTCGTAATGTCGTAGGTTGAGGCCTGGTGGGCGCGGAGGGGTGTCGATGTCGACGTCGTGCGGGGAGGAGAGGTGGGGCGGGCGGCGGCAGTAAGTGTGGTCTGAGGGGAGGAGGGGGGCGACGGGATGTACTCATACGCGCGGGACGCGGTCGCGCGGCCGGGGTGGATCGGGGTCGGCACGAAGCGCGCGTCCGGGACGGTGTCGGTAGTCTCGGTGCTGGACTCGGGCTCAGACTCCGGATCGCTGTCGCCGGACTCGCTCTCAGAGCTGCTGATGTCCATGTCGACCTCCTCGTCATCGGTGCCTTCACCCGCGTCGCTGCTCGAATTGCTGTCAGAGTCAGCCTCGTTAGAGCTGATCTCGGCGGCGTTGTCGCTGGTGTTGTCGCTGGTGTAGGACCTGGAAGTGCGGATGGAGTAGTACCTCATCAAGGCGGCCTCGGCAAGGGCGTGCGCCTGGGCGACGTCCTCTGTCGTGCGCATTTCGGTGTGCGGGTCTGAGAACTCGCTGTCAGTGTCGCTGGTTGTGAGGCTGAGTCTGTAGTACCTGGTAAAAGCAGTGGATGCGGCGGTTCTGGCCTCAGCGAGCGCTTGTGCAGTGCTCTGTTCTGCGTTAGCGTTCGTGTTCGCAGGGGTGGATGCCATGTTTAGGGACTGGTTACTTACGTGTCCTGCGTAGGTTGCTAATGTCAGCGTGTGGAGCTTGAGCTGGTGTACCTAGTGCCTGACTTGGTTTAACTGGTTGCTCTTGCTGCGTGTGTGCTGCGTTGGATGGGGGGCTGAATGCGGACGATTGTTGGCTGGTTTATAGTTGAGATACGATGCTTTGTTCAGCTGTTCGATGTTGGTTACAATGTATTGTTGGTGTTGTCTGGGAACAATATGTATTCGGAGAAAAGGGTTTCTTTGGGGTCGCGGGAATTTTAACATTGTTTGCACTATTTGATTTGTATGGTCAACGGTTTTAGCCATTTGACCTGCAGGTCTATGTTAGTGCTTATTCTCGTCCGTATGCATGAGCTCGCATTGCCTTGGGCTGTAAGCTTTACCAGCGGCTGCATTTTATCTTATATTGTTGTCGTCCTTTTCATTGGCACCCTGCTATGGGTCCATGATTGCTGTTCTTCTGTGCGTGCTTGCGAGTGCCTGACCCGGTGGGCCGATGGGTCTTAAGCGGTCATTGTGTGGTGTAGTCTGTCGCGGTAGTCTGATCAAGTGTTATGCTCATTCTTCTTGCTACTCTCTTAATATTGCCCTGAGAGCTTATACAGCGGCTTGGGCCGTGTCTGAAGGGACTGTTGGACATAGCAGCTCGCGTCAGCAGGTCTAAATCCCAGCGAATGCGGGTGGATGGCCTGCACCTGCGAGGCCCTCCTTCGGGCGTGCGATGAGCAGCTGGGGACAAGAAAGCTCTTGCGACAGTCGCAACTTGCAAAGTCCATAGTTCGTATATGGTCTGACTAAATGGCAGCAAGCACGACCTCGAAAGCTTCCGTAGCGCTTCCTAACTGCAGGAGATCCAGGCATAGCGACTTCCTGTCCAAGCCAGCCATTGCGGTCCACTCGACCGGAACCCGGACATGCGTTGCAGTTTGGCCGTGCCGGCCACAGGCTTCCCAAGACAAATGCTTCTCTAGATGATCCTATTGATTGTTTTGGCCGGCCCGAGGAACCCGGCCTTTGATCGATTTGCTTGTTCCACAATGCAGGCGCCAGGCACCAGCCTTATTCTATGCCCATGGCGAGACATAGCACAGAAACCACCAAAATATTGATCCCAAGCCCCAATATCTCCATTAGAGATAAAGCGCAAATTGAAAGCAACCGCACAATACGGCTCACGTGAAAGCAGGTTTGGAACGAGTATGTTGATGTACTTCAATTATCATTAAGAGAGCGATATGAAACAGCAAAGAATCCAGCAAAATATTAAGAAGCAATCGAGAATCGCAACGGCAAACAAGGCAAACATGCCATTCGACTACAAAGCCAAGCAACTCAGTGCTTTCAGAAAACCGTGTTCGCAGTAATATCATGTACCGCAATCCAAGAAAAAAAATAGCCAAAAACAAAAACCAGAGTCTGCATCGAAAACTGCTGATGTCGAATGCCTCCGTAATAAAGAGGCGGTGATCATCGTCGCAAGATGCAATTGTCGTACATTGTGAAGACTTGTTGTTGCAAAAGTGCTGCTCAGTCCCGTCGGTCTGTGGGTGCTGTGACTGGCTTTTCATCCAACACTGGTGGCACCGAGTTGACTTCATGTACTTCAGCCGGCTTTGAGATCATCCATGCGGCCATGTCGTTCAATTATTCATCGTTGCCGCGTCCGTTTCCTTTCCGTGTGTCTTGCCGTTTATATTCGTCATTCCTGTTGCGCCGTCATGTTGCTCCTCCCGATGCGCAAAACTCCCGCCCTCTGCAATCGCATGTGCACTAAGATATACAGCGCCAACCAGCCGAGGCCATGAAAACCCCGCCGTGTCAACATCCGATGCGACACCTACTGGCTCGAAGATGCCCCGTCGTCCTCCGGCGCCGGCTGCTCCTCAGACGCCGCAGTAGGCAATGGCGCGATCGCCGCCAAGTACCTGGTCGGCGACGCCATCGGCTTCCCCCGAAGACCCATAGCCACCATGTCTTCCTCAATCTCGGCCTCCTGCTCCTTCTTCGTCTTCAAGCCCTTCTTGCTGAGCTTGAGAGCAGGGAACTCCCCCTTCCTCTGCCTAAGGTGGCCTCTCGCGTTCTCGAAGGCCGAGGGAGGCAATATCCTCTCCATCCTCTGAATCTCTCTCTGGGCATATAAGAGGATTTTCTCCATGCCGCGACTGGGGTTAATTGCGCTGGCACGGGCGCGGGAGGAGAGTGTGGGAGTGGAGTTGACAGAGGTGGAGGCAGTGGGAGTAGCCTCGGTGGCTGTAGCCGCGAGTCTAGGAGAAACAGTTGATTGCGCGAACGCACGAGCACTGGTGCGCGTGCCCCGAGCGGCAGCAGTCCTCGTGACCGGTGCGGGAGTAGAGGAAGAAGTTGCCGCGGCGGCGACGGTGGGGAGAGCACTCGCTCTGCGAATGTTTCTCGCGGAGCGTCTAGGAGTTCCCGAGGTAAGGTCGCTGACTGGCTCAGGGATTGGAGCCTCTCTGGGCTCAGTCGTCTCAACATTGGTAGGCCCTTGCTGGGGGCAGACTTCGCCGTGCCGTCAGTTGGAACGGTAGTGGGCTCGACGAGGGGCGTTGCCGGAGGCGCTGCCATGGGAGTAACCATCGTTGTGGTAGCCGTTTCGACATTAGCAGGTGTAGTATCGGCAGCGGCTGTGATGGCAGCGGCAGTACGAGCTCTTCGGTCAGCTCTTGTAGAGCGTGTAGACCTGTTTATGGTAGTGGTCGGGGCCGCCTTGGGCATCTGAGCGGGAGCCTTTTTGGGCTCATGCTTCTTGTCATCGGTAGCCTTTCGCTGAGGAGAAGGCGTCTCGGCCTTTTTCAAGGGCTGCGCTATCTTCGAGGGCTTCACCATCTTCGGTCGCTGCTCTGGCTGTACAGCAGCAGGAGTTGCCATCTCGGTCTCTGTTTCGAGCTCTTGAACACGCTGAGCCTTGGCCCTCTTGTTGGGGCTACTGGTCATGTCATTCGTGTCGTCACCACCGAGCTTGCGCTTTGTAGCTGTAGGTGGCATGGAGCTTGTAGTGGCGTTGTTCTTGATTGTGGTAGGATTCGCGGCTCTCTCGTCTCCACCACGCTTCTTCGTCGACAAATAAATGGTTGTCTTAGGACCCTTCCTTGTGGCCTTTGCGCCGGTGGCAGTCTCAGCAGCGCTTGATCCCTTGGCGTGGGTTGCCTGCTTGGCCGGAGTCGGACCCGGTTCTTGGCCCTTGATCTTGAGCTTGAGTCTGGGCCCTTGCGGAGTTGGCTTGGTTAGAGCGGGAGGATCGATAGGCGGGATGTTTAGGTTGAGCTTCAACCTCGAGCCTTGAGAAGCAGGCTTTCGAGTAGATGTTTCTTGCTTGAGTTGCTTCGGCTCCGCGTGGCCGACTTGGGTGTTGCGGAATTTGAGGAAGATCTTCTCGCCTTCCTGTCTGGCCTGGGCGTTCCACACTTCACGGGGAGATTCTTGAGCAGATGTCTTTCTCACTGAAGTCTTAGCGTTAGTGCGATCACTCGCTGTCGAAATGGCGCGCGCGCCGCTGTCGATTTTGACTCGCTTGCGAGCGGGAGCTTCGGCGGATGCACTCGAGGGGCGCGAGATGTGTGAGGAAGGAGTTGTTTTTGAGGGAGGAGATGTCTGGAGATGTCAGTTTTATGTGACGGTAGTTGAAGAAGACGTTACTTACGTGGCCTTCGAACTGCGCACGAGATCTTTTATTTCCCGCGGAAGGCATGGTTGATATATATTCTCGTTTCTTATTTGTTCTAGTGTTTTCGTTTGACTGTGGGAGAAAGTCTGAGCGATTTCTGGTGGTTTCAAGACGGGCCGACGCGTCGCAGGAAATGTGCTGTTGGTGCGGTGCTACGCGTATCTTGCCACAACAAAGGATGGAGATAGAGTGAGGCGGAACCTTGAAGAAGCCGGCGTCAAAGTCTTTGAGAAAGAATCTGTTCAACAAATTCGTCAAGCGTGGCAATCTCACAGACCTTCTCGACGTCTCAGGTGTGGGGTAGAAGGAAGAAGAAGGCGGCACGCGACGGAAGAAACTATGAAGCCCGCCCTCGTGTTAACCCAGGGATGTGTTAAGATTAGCGAGCATCGTGGCAAGGCATCGATGCCCTTCACACAGGATTTGCGCCTGCATGCTACGCAGACGTGCCTTGCAGGTCACCGTAGGAGAATGACGGCTTCTGAATAAATGATTTATATACGAACGGGCAAGGAAGTTCCTGCTGGGCTGCTCTTTCTCAGGTCGTAGAAAGGTTTTATAGGACTGTTATTTGCTACGCGTCTGTCACGAGAAGGTACGCTATGCTTGTGGATTTGGGAATGCAAGTGTCGCCAATGTCATGCGCCTGCTTCCAGTATTTGCTGGGGAACAAGCCTGTCCGATGCTGGCTTCGTGATGATTCATTGCCATTTGCTACTTCAGGTGTTTCCAGTTCGTTCCAGCCTGAGAAAGCAATTTTCTATCAGCGATCTGTACCAGCAGAGGCAACATTCACACTCTGCTTAGGGCGGCTGGCAAGCAAAGATACATAATTACGTGGTCAGCATGATCTTGAGATTGTCCAGTCAAAGCTAGGAGCCAAGGCTGAATAAGAAATCGCTTTGTTTGCATGTAGACATTGCGGACCATACTGGAAAGTCCAGGAAGACTGGAGCGATGCAGGGACGAGATCCGGCTTTGATAAAGACAAGCCGATATGTATGTTGCTATGTACGGGAAACGATGTCTTGCGATTACTGCAGCGCTAGGAGCGCGATCAGAAGTGATGCTGCTACGACAAGACTCAACGTTTTGCTTGCTTGGAAGACAAGTCAAGGATGTCAACGCCTCTTCGAGAACCCTCTAAACCAGCCAAAGATATGCCGCTAAATGTGGCTGGATTGTCTCAGACCGCGTCACAAGGCAATAGGGTTGCATTATCTGAGGACATGTCAAACAAAACAAAGACCCGCAGAGGCTAGGACATAGACCTTGTCGTTCAGGCTTTCTGCTTAGTTCAAAATCTGGTACACCATTGCAGAGGACGGGATATTCAATAACAACTTTCTCCAATGCCAGCGAGATGGACTCAACTTCCAGGAATGTCATAAGCTTAGACCCACGACCTAGCATCCCATGAACCGACGGCGGCTTTGGACATGGAGGGAAGAGTATAATAGCCATGGAATCACAAGAGCGAATGCAACGATTGCGCAAGTTCTAGAAGATAAAGCATAGCAAACCATAGCACAAATCAAAAGACCATAGCAATCACTGCAGCATATCAAACTTGCCGTCTCAGCAGGCAAAGCGCCCTTCAGAGAACCGGCCAGAGGCGTCCGTAAACAAGCAAATACCCCGTCACAGGGCCGTCAAGAAGCGCGTCAAGGCAAACAGCCCGCCAAAAAGCCACGCTAACCCAAAGCAGACGCGGTCGGATCTTAGGACAAGCTCTTCCCCTCACCCTTAAAGCCTGCTCCACTCCCCAGCAACCAGCAACGCGCGCCTACAGCCTCTTCTCACGTATACAACGCCGCTTTGCCTTGCTTCCTGCGCTCTTTCGTCAAGCGTCCTCCAATTCCACTCCTCATTCGATCACAGCATCAAAACATTAAAACATCTCAACCAATCCCCGCGCGCTCACCATCATGTCCACAAACACTACCAACCAGCACAGTGCCGCCTTAAGCAACTCCGGCGACGTACGTGCCATCTCTACCCCTATTCTTCATATACATACTAACAGTTCAGCAGGAAGCTCCCGGCCCGCACAACTCCCCTTCCACGCCTAGCTCGCCCGGCTCGCCCGGCTCGCCCGCCTCGTCCACCGTCTCGTCCTCTAGCGACTCCGACGCTTTCGACCTCACCATCGACAATATCCTACGCCTACTCGCTACGCGTGCCCCTCCCGCCGCGCAGCAGCAGCAGCAGCAGGTCGCGAGCAGCGCCGCGCATGTCACACCGGCCGCGACCATCGTCCCCACCATCACATTTACCCCCGTCACGGCAGTAACCACGGGCACGAACCACCCCGTCCCTACCGCTGCGAGCACGACGTCGACAGCGCCGGCTCCAGCTCCAGCTCCGGCTCCGGCCCTCCCCCCCCTCCCGCCCCGCCCCAGTGTCAGCCCCATCACGCCGCTGATGCCGTATCTCACGCCCACGGGAGTGCACGACAGCGACAGCGACGTCGAGGATTTTTTCCTCTCGCATCATGATGACTCGCTTCCTCACCCTACCGAGGAGGGTGTGCAATACCACCATTACGACCACCACCACCACCTCTCCGCCCCCGCCTCCGCCTCGGCGCCCGCTACTACTACGGCGCACCTCGTCTACCCCCGCGCCCGCGCCACTACATCCACCCCACACGCGACGTACCCCTTCTCAGCCGCGCAGATCGCGGCCGCGCAGACGTACGTAAGGGGCGTGCTGCTAGCGCGTTTGAGGGGCTTGGTGGGTAAGTAGGGGTATACGTGCTTGCTGCTGCTATACCTAAGGGGGTAGCGTACGTAGGGTACTGCGGAGAGGTACGGGGGGATGTAGGGAGATTTAGAGTAGTACGGGGGTTTTTTGAGTTGGGGTAGGTAGTTTGGCTTTTGTTCGTGCGGGGCGAGGGATGGTGGGGTTTATAGGTTCGTTTATGCGGGTTTGCTGAGGATAAATATACGCGTAAGCTTGCCCTTCTTAAACGCTATTAAGACTTCTGCGCTTCCTCCCGCCTTGCTACTTCCTGTGCTAATATATCTCTTCTTCGTTATCTTCCGGGTCGGTGATATGCGTGCAGTATAGCCGTTAGGAGGAAGTCCGCTATCTACTCTGCGTAGGGATAGAAAGTCCTTTCCTCGGCTAAGGAAAAAGGGCGTCGGGGGTTAATATTGCTGGTGCGGACGCGGCGGGACGAAGTAATTTGTATACCGCTGCCGATTGTGCTTCTCGAGGCCGAAAGATCCTACGGGCTACTGGGCGTGCTGCTAGGCAGACAACTCCGCTCCGACGAGGGCGCAGTCCGTGCCAGCACCACCAACCCCCGGTCCCCATCCCCCGCGCCATCCACATCCGCCAAACCACGCAGCTCCCTCCTCTCCCTACCTAGCCGGAGCCCCCGCTTAACCCCCCTCCACTCCCCCTCCCTCTTAAGGTCGTTTTTCCACGCATACCAATACCTAATGCACTCACTCGTGCTCCTCCCCCCACCCACCACAGCAGCAATCCTCTCAAAATCCTTCCCCGCGTCCCCAACCGCGCGGACGAAGCGCGCGTGCTCGTCCTCAGAAAAGGTGTCTTCGGGCGGCTCGAAGGCGAAGGTCGTCAAGGCCGCGGAGGTGGGAATAAATCTATGTGGTGCGGGTAGGTTGGCCTGGATGGCGCGGATGGCGCGTTCGCGGGTGAGGGGGGAGGTGAGGGCTTGTGGGAGGAGGAGTTGCCCGGGGGGGAGGGGGGCGGTCTCGTCGTGTGCGTCTTTGGCGGCGTCTTCTTCTTCTTCGGCGGCTGTGGGTGTGGGTGTGCTGCCTGGATTTGCGGCGCCGCGCGGAGGGTGCTGTGACGGCGAGCGAGCGCTGCTGAATGCATGCTGTGGCCGTTCAGCCGCGGGTTTGGCTTTGAGGCTGCGCAGCCCGAACGCGACGCGCCGCGCGTTGTCGCTTAGGGGAGGGGAGGGCGTACGGGCCGGGGTGCGGGGAGAGGGGGTGCGGCGGCGCGTGGTGTAAATGGTGTCGTCGAGGGAGGCGGCGGTTTCGGCGTGTTTTCTTTTATTATTTTTTTGGCTGCTTGGAGGCATGGTTGCGGTTGTTGTGATGATTGTGCTGGTTCTACTGGTGGTGGTGGTGGTGTTGTCGGGCTGGCGTTGGTTGTGGGCTGAGCTGGCGTTGGATGTAGGAAAAATTTAGTATGGGTGGTTAATTGTTGGGTTGGAAAGGGTGGTGTGCTATGTTAAGAAAAGGGAATTTGGACTCGGCAATTCGTGATATCGTTTTTAGACAAAGATCTTCTTCCGCGGATAATTAGGAAAGACTTTTTATATTTTTAGTGGCGCTACTTGCTTATGTGCTTTGTTTGCTTGTTTGGCTCTTTGTGCGCGGCGTGATCTTTGTCTGTAGTCGTGTTCTGCTTTGTCTTCTGGCGTGACTATTGGAGAAATGATTGTAGTTCGGATATAGCCTGGTGGGATATAGCCTGGTGGTTCTGTACGAGTAGGTGTATGAGAGAGAAGGAGGGTTGGGGGAATGATTTTATTTGGTCGTGGTCTTGTGAGTAGACTTTTGGCACTGGGATAGGTATCTGTAACTGTAAGTTCTGTTGGAAATGGTCTTTTTAAAGGCTGAAGTGCTGTTTCATATGTAAGTTAAGATATATCTCCATGTTTGGAATATATTTTAACCCCACGAAACATGATACCTTCTCCGTGCCGGTTCGAAAAACATGGTATAAGTATTTCTGATTTAATAGTGCTCGAAAGAAGTTGTTGGTGTCTCTAGCTTCTTTCTGTAAAATATTAAATACTATCTTGTGTTTAAAGGTATCCCACAGGACTCGCAATGGCATATTCAATAGCGTATCTACAAACTCAGAACGCGCATCATATCATCAAAAGTAGCCACAGTGCGGCACAAAATCAAATTCTCAAAACCAAATCTTCATTCGATCGCGCTTTCCAAAGCGTTTTTCTATTTCAAAATGCCGTCTATAATGTACGCAAATACTTATCAGTCCGCTCTCGTTCTGCGCCAAGTCTACTCCAGCACCCCCCGACAAGCAGGACAACTCCGACTGCCATCAACCCACCTCTGCAGTTCCTCCCTGCAGAACAAATGGCCACAGTCCGTGACCACAACCCCCCCCGTCGGCACTTCCTGGCAGATAGCGCAAATCTGCTCCTCCGCATCGCCCATATCGACGTCGCTGTCTCCATCCTCGTCGACGAGCCATTTCCCGACGTCAAGAGGTGGCAGGGGCGGCGCGTCCTCGTCCTCGCGCTCCTGGACTTCGAGTTCCCACTCCCCCCACATGTCGCGGATGTCGTCGTCGGACTCGTCGTCTAAGTCGATGTCCTCGTCGTAATATCCGTATGCTACTTCTTCCTCCTCCTCGGAGTCGGAGTCGGACGACGATTCTTCTTCTTCGTCGTCGGCGCTGTCTTCGCTGACTTCGATGATGATGTCGTCCTCGTCTGAGTCGAGATGCCGGCGAGTGATGTCGTAGCCAGTGGCGAGGGGATCGTCGGCGTCGAAGAAGGTCTCCATCTCCTCGTCGGTAATGACCCTCCTCCGGCGGCGAGGCTGCGGCTCCGCAGCCGTGGCTATGTTGCTGATGCTGCGCGCGTGGCTCCGGTGGGTTTGGGATGGGGCAGCTTCCTCGGCCTCGACCTCGGCCTCCGGGCGACGGGGCGGCGCCTCGATCTCCTCTTCAATTATTATGCCGTAGCGGCGTCCGAGGTGGATTGCGCGCGCGAGAGGGATGTAGATCCAGATGCTGAGGAGGGATTCTCCGATTGGATCCCTGAAGGCCCGCTCCAGGCCAAAGAGGATGAGGAAGCAGGCGATTATTTTCCGGCCTGCGGTGAAACTTGTGGGAACGCCGTAGATTTCCAGATGGTTCTCGATGAGATACTCGAGGCGGTCGATGATGCGTGCTGCCATCGTTGTTGCATGGCTTTCAGTGATCGGCTGCAGGATGCGATCGATTGCCTCGTTGGTGGCAGCGCGATCGAGGTCGGTCTCCGTGAACTGCAGGGCTGTTTGTGGTAACTGGCGGCCTCTGGTTGGGAGCTGCCTCTCGCCCGAGATGTATGAGGGCATGGTGATCTCGTCAGGGTAGCTGGGTGGTACTTCCGTCAAAGGGCCGCTCCTCGTGCGCTCCATGAGCTGGATAATGTCGCCAACATAGGGAATGTATCTGACGGGAAGCATGTATAGTATCATCATGTATGCAAGGTTTCGGCTCCTACCCGCCGGGTGCATGAAGATGCGCGGGTAGCGGGGGATGCGTTCGAAGTCCATTGTTGATGGTATATACTTTTCGTGGAATGGATGAAAGTATACTGTTGCTCGTGGATCGGTGAGGGTTGCTCGCTGTTGTTGTAATGAGAGATGAACAGGCACTAGAAGTGATGCGCTTGGTTCTCGGTTTGAAAATTGGTGCGAGCGTTGTTGGTGAGGTTGATCCAGGAAAGTGTTGTTGTTGAAGAAGGGATTGGAGTCTTTGAATGTAGTGAAGGAGAGGAAGAACAAGGCGGTTGTTATAGGACATTTTCAGTAACCACCGCTAGCGGGGATTTCAGCGTATACTGTGTGAAGAGAGGGAGGCCGTGTGAAGATTAGAGTAATGCCTTTGCCATTTCGGAGGGTGAGCGGCCGCATGGCAGCTCCTTCCCACCGTCAACAAACACCAAGTGAAATTTCCAGAACCGCATCTTCGCAACGCCTTCTCACTCTCTCAATATGCGACCCTTCACCGCACGTCTGGAGGCGACGACCTCGTACTTATACACGCCTGTACTGACGGAGAACATGCTAGCAACTACCAGTGAGGAATCAGTGATTCAAGTCTGCCTGCCAGGAGCACCTTCTCGCCCCTGCTTGCTTGCTATCGTCACGCTGCAGGCCCTTGTTTGCCAACCTGTCTCGCCCAAAAGCGCGTTTGTCTTCACGCACACTCACCCAAACACCACGCAACGCGTCCGTGCGCTCCTGAAGTCGTTCTTAGGACAGTCTCCAGCCCTCGAGTCTCCAACTTCCGAACCTTCTCGTCTACTTTCCACTCCAAACACCAACCACCACTCGCCGACGTCGCCTTCGTCACCGAAATCCTCCATGACAGACTCAGACATGTCCGGCACGGTCATCCACACCGTCCTCTCCAACGCGGCCGCCTCTGACGCGCACTCAGCGTCCGTGTCCGCCTCGTAAGTCCTCACCTCTCACCCAAGCCACCACACCAAAGCATTGTCCGCTAACAAGACCAGGGCCCTCACGAGCACCTCCATCCGCATCGATGTCGGCCAGGGTCCGAAGCTTCAGTCCTTCCACGCGCACGAGGCCATCCTGCTCGCCCACAGCGGCTACTTCCGCAGCGCGCTCAAAGACTGCATCGAGGCCGACATGGAGTGGGACTCACTTCCGGACGCCGACCCCGACATCTTCGGCAAGGCCCTCGTGTGGTTCTACACAGGCAAGCTGCCGTCCACCAACGACAAGCAGCATCTCTACCGCGACCTCTGCCGCGTCTGGGTTCTTGGCGAGATGCTCTCTGCCCCCGGCCTGCAGGACCACGCGACCAGGGAGCTGCTGAAGCTCGAGAAGCTCGCCATGCCTTGCCCCCCGGACGTCCTGTACGAAGCGTACCACGACACCAACCGAGGAAGCCCGCTGCGCAAGCTCGTGCTGGAAATTTTTGTCAAGCGCAACACGGGCGGAGAGGCGCTCGAGAGCCTGACCAGAGGCTTCTTGAAGGAAGAGATTATGGCTGATGTCGCCACTGCGGCGCTCAAGAACATGAAGGACATGAAGTTCATGGGCAAGGATACTCAGTTGAAGGAGGACGACTACCTTGTTTGCTCTTCCAAGTAGCGCTGCTGCGCTTTCTCTTATGCCGCGCTGGATTTGCTCACATCTCAGTTGTCTCGAATGGAAGGAGGCTTAATGACGGGTTTTGCTTGGGATAGACTGTAGATCTACCTCTTGGCTTGCAGCTATGATCAATCTATAGATCCTGAGCATGCTTAGGGTTTCTCGTGAACATCTGCTGCCTGTCCTCTTGACTTTCCACAGGCCGTCCGTCAGTGCATGAAGCATCTACCCTGTCAATTCGTGCTTTCACAGCCGCACATCAGCACCACCCGCCATAATAGCCTCTACACTACCAGAAAAGCAAAAGCTGCCCTCTTTAGCGCCTCATTTCCTGTTAACGGCCTTGCACGCAGGTTCCCGCTCGAAAAGCCCATCCACAACGCCTCCACAACCTACAAACACCTTCGAACAAATGCAAAGAAGCCCTATCAAGACAGCGTAGAAGTCCAGCACATCCGCCTCTTCACCTACCCCAACGCCCCTGTGCTATGTCTCCACATACGCCACCACAGCATGATCCAGAAGAATACATTCCCGACCACGACAAAGAGATCGAGCCAGTGCCATCTAGAACTTCAACTGGGCGGCTGTACAAGACAAAGAAAGGCTGGAAAGGCCGGACAAAGCATATTTCAGGAACAGCGAAAGATAAAACGGAAGAGCATAAAGAATCAGACAGACAGCGACAAAGAGCCTGCAGAAGCCAAAGACTGCGCAGACAGTGCCTTGTCTGGTCTTAAGGGCAATGGAAACGAAAGATGGCACCCGCACAGCAAGGTTAGCTTACGTTTTCAGACCTAGAGCATAAGCAGCAGCACTGCCACTAATCCCCGTCTACAAACCCTCAATACTACAGTACCAAAACATACCGTACATCTCAGCGATCGCCCAACCCGACCTAACCGCGCACCCTTTGCCGTAGAGACGATAGATGGGAGCGGAAGAGTGAAGACTGGGGACTGAGGTGGTGTTTAAGGACGGCTTGTGGCTTAGTAAGGTTACTAGTTTGCTGGTTCGGGTGCGGGGGTTTGGGTGGTTGGTTATGGTGTGGGTGATTGCTAGTGCGTTTGAGGGGGAGCAAGTAGAGTTAGGTGTGCGTGGCAGGATGAGGAGGCGGGTAGGTGTTTGTGTTTGCTTGTTGCTGATTGTTATAGACGGTCTTATGGCCTGGACTTGCGGCTGATGGCTCTAGAGGGTGGTATAGCCGCATGGTTTCGGGGTAGTGGGATGGGGTGTGTGTTTGATGGGGCATGTTTGGCAGAGTGGTTGGTTGGATGGGCTGCTGGGTTGTAGATGCCGCCGCTGGACCTTGTGCATGCGGCCGTATCTCGCGTCCGCTTCCGCCGCTATGCAGCGCACTGTCGAGGCAGGGCACATCCAGGTCCGCGATAAGAGCTCCCGTCTTGCGAACCTACCCAACTACACGGTATCCGGTCATTCGCTTCCTTACTCTCTCTCTCTCTCTCTTTCCTCCTCTATTATCAGCATCGCCACCAGTCTTCCGCTGCAGACAGCGCTACCCTCGCTACCTCGCATCAACTCCATAGCGAGGTGCGCTCGCCCTTGTTCCTTCCGCTCGAGACGCGATCAACCACATCCCACAGCGCCTTCCTTCCTTCCACCACTACCGCATTTAAGCAGGAACGTTAGGTAGTCTTAACTTCTTTACGTGGTCTGGTGTAACAGTATCGAGAAGGCGGCAACGACAAGACTTCCAGATATTTCTTCCACGCCTCTACGGTTCTCATCAGCATCGCATCAATCATCCACGGCAGTTGCCTTTGCTGCACGAGCTTGCCTGTTCTAATAACAACAACAACCCAATATTTTCACCCTCAGGCACGAATCGCACCCATGAACACGATCGAGATATCGCTGCTTACGCGCATGGTTGGCCGTGATAGAGCATTGAGGGCTCTCTGTTGGTATGTCCTGCTCTTCTCTTTGTCTGCGGAAACTAATTTCTGATGTAGCAGGGCCCTCTATTCCGGTAGATGCAAGTGGACTTCGACCACGCGATAACAATACACTGGTCTACATACAGAGACTCCCGAAGTCTCGCTCTTCCTCACCGTCTATACCACAAATCAATCCCACCCATCCTCAACTACGCTCCATACGAACATTTGGACGAACCGTTTCTACTCAGCAAGTAGCAATACTTCCGGGGCGTTATCCTGTTGCCTTACCCATACTAATCTTCCTTACATTACCGCACCCATACCTTTCAGAGCCGTGCAGCTGCGCAGCATCCATAGTCCCGTCGTTCTGCGGGTCGAGATTCGAGAAACGCCCCCTAATACTTTACTGGAAGCGTGCGTAAGACGACCACCGGCTCGAGCCCCAATCAGCCCCCTTCGGACGTAGCGGCGCCATGCACCTCTCGCTACTCCGAGGTCAGGCTATTAACCCTTACTCTTCGATCTTCAACGCAAGTCCGTAGATATGCTACCCTTAATAATCCCGTTGTCCTACAGGTCAACAACAATCCTACACCACAATGCGCGTCTCTCTCCAGCATAGAGCGTACAGCGTCGTTTACTCTTCACTCTTCGCTCGCGCCGCAGTGTCGAGCAGCCGAGCGCGAGATCCAAAAGCTTGCATATGGCGACATTTCCGAAGTTAGCCTCATCCGGGATGGGTTAAGGGTTTTCAGATCATATTCACGCTCCTAGGCTACGCAGTATGAGTCCGCGCGCCATGTTGTCAGACCCGCAGGGCAAGTTTATCGCGGCGGTCCCAGTGGATACCGATATCTTCGCTCCACGGGCTCGACTACTCCAATTTCTGAGGTTTAAGCAGATGCCTTACAATTCTGGTTTCGCCTTCAAGCACCGAAGGAAAGACCGGTCTTGCATTCCTCAGGACCCTGACAAAACCAAGGCGGCGAAACTTCGACACAGAATCATAAACACCTTGGCCTTGGAGTCACATTCTACAGACACCCTGGCTTGGGGTTTCCCGTCTTGTCCTCCATGGACCGCCTTGGATAATTCGTTGCGGCTTGGGTCAGCTCGTGCCGGAGCATTATCTGATGCCAATGCATTGCCGCACTGCAACATTCACAACAGCTTTGCATGCTCTTGCTGCGCGTGCACGGTACGTGGAGTTCATATCTCCTTCTTCCTCAAGTGCGCATTCGGGACCAAAGTTGCGTCTTTTTCTTCGTCCAAAATGACGGGTGGGCAGCTTTTCGACCAAATTCTGTTGCAAATAACATATCGGCATGCTGACTGCTGCACTAGTCACACACACCAACATGCTCCAAACAAACACTGCAGTCCGTCCAAAATCAGCTTCTACCTCGCTGCTCCAGAGCCGACAATGTCGCTGGGGCAGGAGCAAACCGTGCACGCTCTCTCCTCCCCACACGCACGCGGAGCGCAGGGTGCCGCACAGCCCCTACAATGAAGAGAAAAGACATTAAGCCGGAGCTGGGAACGTCAAAGCCGTATGCAACCCCTTCCAAGTTTGCTTGTCCGAAACTTCTCTCATCAAGCCCGCCTCAAGCCCAGCCCCCTCCATCAGGACAACGTAAACAAGACGAGCATGTCTCGCAACGGTATTGAGAGAGCCTGGCACTCGCTGCCGGAGAACCCAATCACCCCCACAGCCAAGCACTCCACCAAGATGACCCTCCCCGAGTCCACCAACCGTAACCTCCGACGCATCCCCCACATCAAGACCAACCCGTCGCGAGCATCAGCGGCGGCATAACCATCCGCGGCCGCGGTTTCGCCCGTTTTCGCGCCATTCATGCCCCGCCACACACGCTCACAACCAGAGCAGAGTGCGCGCATGCGGCGCAGGCAGCAGGAGTGGCACGACCTGTTAATCTTTGTATTTGTTTCATTTTTTTTTTTTTTTTTTTTTTTGTCTGAGCCACCGCTACACTAACAGACAAAGGAGCGGCATATATGCTGGCTCCCATCACAGATGTAAAGAAGGCAGACTGCATCAAGCAAGAGATTCTTCCTTCAGCGCCGGACCACCTCCGCGCCGGCCCAACCCCCGCAAAAGTAAAACCGCAAGCAAAAAAACCCCCAGAAAAAAAGTCTGCGCATTTCCGCCAGACGCAAAAAATACCGGATGCGCGACTTGAACGCGCGACCTTCAGTGCTCGCAAGATACGATCCTGTTAGACTGACGTGATAACCAACTACACCAACCCGGCTTGTTGTTGAAATAACCATTCGTTGTTGTACCTATATTCCAACACCAAGACCACCACACCACCCGTCTCGACCACGCCCTTCTCCCAAACACACTCCCGCCGCACCTCGCAGTCTGCAAAAAATCAAAAAGCCCATTAGAAACGCGGCGCCGCACTTCACCGACCGAGCCCGCCAAACGGGCGCGCCCGCCCATCGGCCCGACCCAAGAAAAACTTCGCAGGCAGCCCACGCCAGCCTGCGCACCGCACACGCAGCACCCACCACCAGACAAAACGAAAAACGAGATTTCGCACTGTCATTATTTGTGTGTGCGGAGCAAAAGCAAAACCAACGCAGCAAAAAATTAAGAACAAGAAAGTTAAACACAAAAGAGATAAAAGACAAAAAGACAAGGTCGTGCCCGGGATCGAACCGGGATTGCGAGAATGTTCCGAAGCTCAGAATCTCGAGTGCTAGCCATTACACTACACAACCGCTGTTGTTCTGATTTGATGGTGGCAAATTTGGGGATTGGGCTTTTGTAGTGTTTGGGTGGGAAAGTGCAGGGGGAGGGGAGGGTGGTGGTGGTTGTAGTGGTAGTTAGAGAGGGCTGCGGGTGTTGCTTTTAGAATTGAGCGAGGGCGACATTTAGAAGAAGTTGAGAGTGCGAGTGGAAATATGTAGGCAGGGCGAGCAGCCAAGGCCGTTGTACGGAGTAGTGCTGTGCTGTCTCTCCCAGATGTTCTTGGTCCTGCATACCCCGTAAGCATCGAAGGGAACGCCCACCAAGCCGACGAGAATGAAATATCCGCATATGAAAATGAACCTGAATTAGATAGGTAAAACAATTTACTTGTCTTAGCCGCTGCAGTTTGGCAGAAGCTGATCTTCCCGCACTCAACAGCCCAGAACCGCAGATGATAAAAATAATTAAATGCGAGATATCCACAGCCACAACCACGTCCCCATCTACGAAAACTACAAACTCTCTACCTTCCACCCACCAGCAACCTGCTAGCCCTATCCTTATCCTTCCCCGATCCTTCACCCCCTCTTTACCCCTCGTGGAAAACACAAACCCCGAAAAACAAAAAAGAGAAAACTCCACGCACCAAGCTCCCCCCCCCCCCCCCCCCCCCCCCCCCCCTCTCCAAAACCAACCCACCACAAAACTCCCCTAAAACAAAAACAAAAACATACAACAGCTGGGATTCGCTAGTGGTCACCCACCTAACTACTAATCAGCCGGTTCACAGCTTAAAGATGGCAGAGCGGACGGGATGCCTTGTATTCTGTGACCTATGGTCGTATGTAACAGCAAAATTCTTAGTATTCCCTCATATCCCCCTCCAAACACCACCATTGTGTCGAAAAAGTTTCAGCCGTGGCTCGGCGTTAGCCCGGCATTACTTGCTAGCTCGCTAGCTCGTTCGCGAAAGCAAAATCAAAAGAAATTTTTAAAAAGGGATGGAAGGAGGATGAGAGGGGGGATGGCGGCCCAGAGAGCAAAAAATGCATCAGCCGCGAATCGAACGCGGGGCCCATCGATGGCAACGATGGATTTTACCACTAAACCACTGATGCTGTTTGATGTTGATGATGAAAATAATTTTGGCTGCTAGGCTTATGATTTGAAGTATTCCTGAGCCCAGGGGACAATGGACGGCGAAAACCCTGCTGCGAAAGAACTTCTTCTCCGCGCAAGCAGCAGCAGCAGCAGCAGCGTTGACTCCAGCAGAAATTTCGCGACTCCGGCGTTTCTCTAGCCTCGGCCAGCGTAAGCGAACAGCAGGCCACAACGCGCTAAAACCCCCCACGCCATCCATCTATATTGCCTTGATGCTCTTGACAAGAGCAAAAAGAAATGCATCGCCCGAACGGAGATCCACGCGAGCCACGGAGATGCTTTGCCGTGCACCGATAGGAACCCACGCAAACCCCAACGGTTGCGCATCGTCGAAACATTCTGCGAAAAAGCAAAAAGAATTCTGCGCCGAACGGGAATCGAACCCGCGCCTCTTGCTTGGAAGGCAAGAATTCTACCACTGAACTATCGGCGCATCTTCGGAAATTGCTTTGGCATTTTGTCTTTATGAAGTGTGATCTTGCCGACTGAGCAGGGGCCGAGGGTCGTGCGAAGCTTGTGTCGACGTCGTCTCGTCGGTCGGTGGTGTGCGGGGAGGGCGCTGCTAGTGATTTTTCGTCGGAGTGAGGCCCTGGAAGATGGATGACTATGTTTCGGTGCTGTTAGATGCCGTTGCAGGATTGTTGGCATTGGGGGTTTTTGTTGTGTTGCTGTCGCTTTGTGAGGGAGGTGTGGTATGGAGCATGTTGAGGCGAGAGATATAGCTTCTAAGCATTGGTTGTAGTCCAGAAAGATTTTTTAGTACTGTTGTGTGTGTATCGCGATTTGTTCAATGCCAGCGGGGTTTCAGCCTAACACAAAGCTTCAAACCGACCGACGCAATCGACCAAGCGGATTGCGCTACTATGTTCGCTAGTATGCTGGTTGCTGGTGCGTTGGGGAGTTTGCGGTTTGCTGTTTTCGCCTAGCGTGGTTTTAGAAGGTTGGACGGCTGGGCTGCTCGACCGTCGGTCGGTCGGTCGGCCTGTCGGGCAGATAGTCGGTCGGTTTGACGGTCGGTTTGACGCTTGGGCTTTGGGCGGGTGGACGGTCGGTCGGTCGGATTGGTCGGTCGGATTACCTAGCCTAACATGGGTATGAAGTAGTTAAATGCAAAAACTCTGAAGTAAAATAAATAGACAAACCATGGAAGCTGAAGAGCTTGGTGAGTCCCATCAAATATGGCTCTTCGATGTTACGAACGGTGGGCATGGGGGCTTGGAACCGTCGCGCAAAGCCTGGAGCATTTCGAAGCTGGCTTCCTTCCCGCAGTAGCGGCCGGCCATGTGCGCGGGTGCCTGAAGCTCCGCCTCGGGGAACCAAAGTCTATTGAGTAGGCCGCTTCCAGTTTTTTCGATCGCAGAAATCAGTTCTGGCGCTGAGCTTTCGGGCAGCTCGATCAAAGATCTCGGGCAGAGGAGACGGGATGAAAGAGTGTTACTCGCGGCAGCCGTGAAACATCAAAAAATTGGACGAATTACAGCATCGGTGGCCGAGCAGAGTTATTCAAGTCTAGCAACGCTGTGCCTCGAGGGGCTGAGCATGTTGTATGTCCTTAAAATCGCTTGGCCTGGACATTGACCAAGAAGTTTTAGGTGCAAAAGTATTCAGGGCGATATACTGCATTTCCGAAAGGAAAGTATAAGCCGAAGAACCTGAAATGGAAGATTGGCCGTGGATATACCCTAAGAAAACCGACCCTTGTACATCCGGAACGAAAGACAGACTATTGGTGCGCTTGCCTGAGCGGGCTTCTCGTTGTGGCTCTTTCCCAAGCCTTGATAAAAGAGCCGATGGATGACTACCGCTCCCCGCAAATTGCCCTGAAAAACTGTCCGAGATTCGGCCTTGAAAGAACTTTTCAGAAACAGCATCATTTCCAGCAGTGGTGGGCGCGATGGCGTAGTTAGGGCCGAGTTAGTGACTTGGTGCCTCTGGCCGCTGCGAAGCGGCGTCTGGTAGTGTGTCTTAAATTTCTATCGTCGAGATGCAGTCATTTGGTGTTCGAAAGGGAATTCCCTTTCTTAGCACTGCGGGCATTGCAGCGAGTTTCTCGGGTGTTTCCGAAACTCCGAACGCGGTGCTTCGTCGAGAGCAGGCGGGCCGGTTGTTTCTGGAAATGTGGTATCGTCACCGGAAAACGCTTTCATCGAGAAGAACGTGTTGTCTTGCGTATGGAGGGCAAAACAACGCCAGCCGGTGCTGCATGGCCTCGGTGGCTTCGTCGTGGTTGGCTGCCAGCGGATCGGAAGGCATGGCGGCATAGGACAAGCTGGTAGCTAGACAGAAAGAGAGGCCTGAAGGCAGCAGCATGGCACGCTGAAACCGTGATGTTGATGGCGGTAGCAAGGCAGAGAGGTAGGTAAGCGTGGAAAGGTGCGTCGGCGCGCTCATGCTGCCCGTCTCGAGGTCACGGGAAAGCACGCTGCCGGGGCATGTTTTCAGAGCCACCACATCCCGCGCCCTTCCAAGTCTCAACCACCTTACCCGTCCGTACGCCTACGAAACCTCTATCTCCCCAACTACACGGCGGCGCACGTCTCCTCTCTCTACGGGCCACAACCACGCAAGCGACAAACCCAACCATCAGCGCACACATCACCAACTCCTCTCCACCCTACCACCGCCTTCACCATGTCCACCCACGTCGACACAGCCGCGGACATGATACCCGACTTTATCCCCACGATCCTCATGCTGTTAACCCTCCTCTACGTCATCTACATGTGGTTTCGGGGCGGCGTAATCATGCGCTTGGGGGTTATTTGATTCCCTGCTTTCTGCTTCCTCCTTGGCTGGACCTCTCGGCTGGTGTATGTGTGTCCTTGTAAGTGCTGTATTTTTGAAGGTTGGTACTCTGAGTATCACTGATGTGTGGGTGTAGGATTACCGGTACGTGCCTAGGGTTTAGGAGGTTAGTTGTATAGATAATGGCGGGGTTTGCGCGTGGAAGAGCGCTGAGGATGGTGAGAGGAGCATAGGGTTGTTAACTTGTTTACTAAGTACTACGCTTTGCTAGCAATTCTTCTGCTCTTTTTAGGGAGAAGACGTGAATCAAATCAAGTCCTGATATTATCAAATGAAGCCTTTTTCATTCGACCTAAGAGACGTTTCCATCATGAGTCGCATTTCCCAAAGACAATCCACGCACCACCCTACCACAGCACCCGCCCCAACCTTCCACCCAACCACCTAAAGCAAAACCCAGCTCTCCCCCCCTAAGCACCTCAACTCCGCCGTCGCAACCACCTCCTCAGGGCACCGACTCTCCTCCCTCCGATACGCACAAACCGCATTCCGCGCGCCAAGATGCTGCTTCACGTGGTCGGAAGCGCTGCTCCCCTCATCGCAGAAGAGCTCTTCGAGCTCTAGCCGGCGCGCTAAGGCCTCTAGCTCCGTGACGAGCGCTATAATATGCGCTAGGTCGGGCTTCTGCTCTGTCGGCTGTAGGGCGGAGCGTAGGGCGGTGAGGAGGGCGTATTGCTGGGGGGTCGTTAGTGTGGCCGTGCGGGTTGGGTGGGGGCCGTATGGGGTAGGAGGGGGGAGTTACTTCTTTCGTCTGCGGCTTGGTGGACAGAGCGGCGCGTAGGCGGTATTTGCTCTATGTGCGGTTAGTAATGCTCTTTTGCGCGGGTTGAAGATGGGACGGACTGAGATTGGCAGGTTCTTGGGAATGCGGCTGTTGTGAATCAGCTCGAAGTCTTCGCCGAGCGGCTCGAGGTCCTCTTTTGACGAGGCTTTGGCAAGACCGTGCAGCTCCTTGGTAGGCTGGGGGAAGCTGGGCATGAGCTCTGCATCGCGTGGTTCCGCAGATGGCTCAGCAGCAGGACGGCCGGCCGGCTCGGTGGCTGTGTCTGTGGAGCCGGGAATGCACTGCCAGAGGCGCTGGTAGAGTGGGACAGAGGGTGCAGATGCGGGCGCGGGGAAGCTGCTGGTTCGGTCCGCCATGATGTGGTGTGGTGTGGAGAAGAGAGGTATCGGGGGCGTGGGGCGTGGACGAGTTTAATGTTTCAGGCCTGACTTACCGGCCGAAAGAGTAGGGCCGAAAGAAGAGGTGAAACTGAATTGTTGGTTCAAATCATAGTGGATTTGCCGAACTTTGAAATTGCCATGCTGCCTAGAGGTCCTTGAAGGCGTTTATGTGTGTGAGAAGCTTATATGCGTCGGTTGTAGCATTCGAATTCAGATATATGTATACATATTCTAGTAGCATATACACATGATCCATTGCATCTGCTCGTATCATAGCAGCATACAACACTTCCCAGAAGCAAAGCGCCGCTACAAAAAGCACATCATTATCCAACAGAAACCCTTTCCACCTCCGCGCAAGGAGAGTGTACACAGCAAACCCAAGACGGTAATACATACCATGCAAAATAGCTACACCACAAAGATAACACACCATTCAAACAAACACCACACAGCACAGCACAACATGCTCACAGCAGCATCACGCACTACGCACGACACAAGCAGCACACGCAAAAAGCTCGGTTCAGCAGCCTATACTACACGCCCCTACATCAGCTCGAAGAGCATCCCCCTTGTCTCATCCTTCAGAGCGGGCGTCGTAGCCCCAGTGTCCTCCTCGATGTCGATGAGCTTGGGGAGGACAGAGACATCGATTAATGGGCCGCTGGGAGTGAATTCGGCAGCAGCGGAGTTGTGGGTGGTGGTGACGGGGCGGGCGGGGACGGTGATGTGGTTACCGCTTGTAGTAGGAGCGGTAGGAGGAGCCGGGGTAGGTGCGGCATCGGTGGTGGTGTGGTTGCGGGAGTCCTGTCTTAATGTCGGTAGCGCTGTTTCCTTTCTAGAGACAAGGGGAGGGTGCTTACGAAGAGAGGCGGATTCTCGGTGCCGGGACGGTAGCCGAGGAGATGCACGATCTGCTCTTGGATATACGTGCACCATGTGATGAAGTGCTGCGGTGTTGTTAGTGAGGATTTTAAAGACCGGATGTAGGGAAATGGGAACTTACATCGTCATCAATCGGCTTCTCTATGGAGGTTCTGGGGCGGCAGGTGGGGGCCGGCATGGTGCGAGACCGGCGTGGAGGTAGGCCCGTGGTGTGGGCGTTCTGGTGGTGGGTGTGCCCGGTTGGGGAAGGACGCCGAGGAGGGCCGTGGTGAGCGTTGGAGCAGCCGGAGTGAGTCATGGTGTTTATATGGTTGTCGTTCTATTGAAGATTGATGGAAAGAGGTGTCGCAGTGAGAGATGGACTCGGGAAGGCTTTTTGGTGGTGATGAAGCCGTGGAATTGAGGATGTTGTCGAGAAGAGATTGATGGTAGCGGTGGAAGAGAAGAGGAAGGGAGGACCGTTTGTGTACGAGGGCGACTTTCAGTGCTACGCGCCTGCTACGCGATAGTGCCGCTAATCCTCTTTCAGGAAGGTGATGAGCCGGGGATTTTTCCGTTGGCTGCGTCGCAGTCGCCCATTTTGCGGCCGCATGTTAAGTATTATCGAGTTCTCTTTCAAGTACTGCCTCGAGCTTGCATGTCTTTGTATTTAGTGCCCGTCTCAAGCTTAAATATCGAGAAACGACTCTCCTTTGTAGAAGATGTGATGTCTTTCGATTTATATCAAGAAATCACTTAGAGAGACCTTCCAGTGCCCTTTATAATTAGAGAAGAAGCACCAAACCGCATCACTACACCCGCATGCGCCGTACCCACGCAACCCCAGCCCAAAAAGCCCCACCCCCTAAGCACATAAACCCCCAGAATCCTCAGCGCCATCCACCAGCCCGCCGCAGAGCCGCCTACCCCTCCGCCTACAGCTCGTCAGCACAGCCCCCACCCTCGAAGATGCAAATACAAAATGCACAATCCCGCACCCACCTCCCCGAACACACCCACCAACGCTCTTATTTCCCCTCCCGTTCTTTGTACTCTGCCGTCTCGCCAGCTCTATAAACCGCAACTCCTGCATCCACATCTGTAGCTCCATGCCGCGGCGTTGCTCCCGCACCGGCACGCGCTCCTAGGTGGGTGTAAAGAGGATAGGGTCGTGGTCGAATAGCGGGACGCCGGTGCCGATGCCGTAGGGCTGTTTGATGAATATTTTTCGTTTGTGGTGGGTTGTTTTGGTGGTTGTGAGTTGTAGGAGGGTTGGGCAGGTTAGAATGAGATGGTTTTAGGGATGGGCGCGGTGGGTGATGGGTGTTTTACTGTGTTTGGTAGGGGTTTATAGGTTATGTGTGTTTGTCACTGGTGTTTATATTTGACAAAACTTTGTGTACGGGTACCCGTTATTCTGCTGGCTTGTAGAATGTTCGAGATATAATTTTGGCAGAGGCATCATCACTGATACCTACTGCTTGCCTTTAAAGCCAATAAGCGTCGTCTCATAGCTTTTCCACCAGAGCGCCCAAAAGCCCACGAAAATAACACCACCATACGCGCAATTGCACTCTCTCAACTCGCAAATTCCAGCATTCAATCCACCCCACCCCGCCCACCTGAAACCTCTCTCCTCACAGCCCCTCCCCACCCCTTCGTTCCCTCGCTAAGTACGACCCCAGAGTGCGAGCAGCACCTTCACGACGACGAAGGCGGCGCCCATAGCGACGTTGACCATGTTGTCGAAGGCCCCCTCCTCCATCAGCACCTCCAGCTCGAGCGGCGCAGCAGCAGCAGCACCAACAGGCTACCAGCGTGTCAGTATAGTTCGTTCTTCACGTGCATGCAGAGAGAGGGGAACCACATACCTCGACGGCGGCATCGTGCTCCTCCACTTCCTCCTCCGTGCGCGGCAGCACCAGCTCCTCGCCCTCACGCAAGACGCTCTCAACAAACTGCAACACACACAACCGTTAGCACAGCCCACACCATCACGCCCGTAGACGCTGGATAGGCACGTCATATAGCACTTACCGCGCGCACCCTTCCCTCCAACTCCTGCAGCCTCTCCCTCTCCCTTTCCCTCTCCCTCTCCGCCTCCTCCCGCAGCACCTCCGCAGCGTAGACCCACACACGCTCCATGATGCGAAGGGATAGGTTGAGCCTCGCGAGCGAGTCCTCCATCGCGGTGTACGTGGCCGACGTGCGCTCGCGGCGCGCGATGTCCTCGTGGAGTATGTCCATAGCGATTTGGAAGTGGCGGTAGTTGGTGACGTTGAGGCGGAAGGGGGCGGGGTGGCCTGCGATGTGTATGTGGAGGGCGTCGACGAATCCTTGCAGCTCGGGGTCGGCGGAGCCGCTGGGGTTGCTGGGGGCGCCGGGGCCGTTGTTGTAAGGGGAGGGAGGAGGGTTCGTCGACATGGTTGTTATAACCGCGGCTCCGCATCGCTCGGCTGCCTAGACACGCACTTCTATCCCGGCGGAGCAGACTTCTAAGACGAAGCCTACACCGGCCCCCAATAAGGGGTGTGTGTTAAGTATGGCAAACAGTCGCTGGGCAGGTGCTATGGAAGAGACAGACCAGGACGAGAAAACGAACTCTCCTTAGGTAAACACAAACCTGAACAAGAGTCGCTGGAATAAGAATGAAACTGGCGCTAAGGGCAAGAATTAGTTAAAGAAGTAGTTTTGCCCCTGGTAAAATCCCTGGCGGCTTGGAACGATGCTCCAAGTTGTTTTTAGTATTGAATGTAGTGTTTCTTTTTAATTTTTTGTTCTAGAGCATTGGGATAATTACTCTCTCAACCTTTTATTAACGGGTATTGCGACAATTACTTTTTCCTATTCTTTTATTAATGGGCTTGCCTCTAGAGCAGCGGTAATTCATTTTTTTTTTTTTTTTTTTTTTTTTTTGACATGTAGCCCTCGCTAGAGGCATGGCTTTACCTTGGTTGGTTTACCTTCTGTAAACGCTGATAATGAGACTGTTTAGATTTATAAACCTTTCTATATAGCGACATACCCCTATCCTCTTTCTAGACGCTAATACGAAAAAGGAGGTTTTCACGAGGACGTTCAAGGTTGCGCCGCGCACCTACCGCTACTAGGCCGGATACAGTAAGTATTAGCCGAGCGCGGGATAAATGCCTACCTCTGCCAGCTCCCTTCCCCCAATAACTACACCGCGTCCCGCAGATTCTCTCTATTTTAACGCTATCCTGCCTTCGTCTTTCATTAACCCGTCCAACTTCCACCTTTACTAAGTATTTAGTTTTCTGAAGCGAAGATGACTAAGAACCAACGCATTACGCGCCCTTCTCCATCCGCCAGCCCCACTAAGGACCACGGAAGCCTTCGTGGCCGTGGCTCCACGCACAGCCGCAGCGGGCACATGAGAACGCGTGGCGGTCTTATGACGGCGCGTGGCGGCCTCGCCACTAATCCGTACCTCGCGAACGATGCAGTCTCCAGTAACAAGGAGCTTCGCAATGCCAACAACTCTCAGCTCGGAAACGATTTCCAGCGCGCTTCGATTTCAACTCTTTCCACCGGTACCCAGACTGAAAACATCAGCGGCGGAAACCAGCCGGGCGGTTCTAACGATGCAAACTCTTACAGAGCTAACCCCGGCCACGACGTTCGTATCTCCAGATCCATTTCTCGCATCAAGATATTTTCTGACAATAATATAGCAGAGTGCCAACAGCCGCACTAACTGTAGTGCACTTGAGAAGCGCATCGAAGCGCTGGAAGCCCTCATGGAGGCTAGCAACTTGGCAAACGCCATCGGTGAGGCGCCTACCAGCATGAACAGTCCTGCCGCCAACGACGAGGCTTTCGAGAAGGGTGTTGAGCCTTTCCGTCACTCGTTTGGCAAGTATGTTCTTGATGTCCGTCGCGTCACTCCGGAGCCCGCGAGCAAGTCTGAGGGCAAAGAGTCTAAGCCTACTGTTGAACTCGAGGTATGTTCCATCCCCTCTCTTACTTCCTCTCCCTCTTAAAGCTTAAGCACATACTGACATCAATCAATGTAGCTATTGACAGAAGCTCGTTCCCAGAAGGACGTTATGGATGCATCCACCGAACCAGTGACTCCTGTTACCAAAGAGTCCATGGCGTAGACTATCCCGGTCGTTACAGAGACACTTCCCAGACCGGAAATGCCTCAGCTCGCCCAAGAGGCCCCTGCTCTGCCAGAGACACCTGATTTTCGCACCGTCGCCTATGCCGACATCCCCCCTCAGCGCTCCGGCCGCACGGCCCCGGCCCGTGTGCCGCTGGAACAGCGCGCAGAGAAGGGAATGGGTTCCTTGCCCAAGACGGACCCTAAGATCGTGATGGCGAGCATGGGCATGAGCCGCTAGGCAGGAAACTAGACAGGCCTAGAGACGAAGACCGCCGACAACAGTGCTGAAACTCCGCATTTCTCTAGTGATCCGGCCCAGGCCCCGGCCCAGATTCCGGCCCTTACCCCACCTGAACAGAACCCGGAGAAGAAGGTGGAGTCTGTCCCGAATAAGGGCATGGCAAGCATGGAACACAGCCGGTGGGCTATAAGCAAGGAAGACCTGGAGGCGAAGGCGAACTCCCCCAAGCCCAACAGGAACATGTGCAAGAGCCGTTGGGCTAGGAAGGACGGCCAGAAGGGCAAGAAATTTCAAAAGAAGTAGTTCTGCCCTTGGCGTAATTACTGGCAGCTTAGAGCGAAGCGTCGAGAGAATGAAACTCCTGGTTTCTTTCAGTGATGAATGGATGTTTCTTTCAATATTTTTTTCTAGGGTCATTGCGACAATTACTTCTTCTTATCCTTTTGTGTTGGCAGTCTTGCTCCTTGAGCGGCTATAATTACTTAATTCTTTTCTTTACCGTGGAGTGAGATGCGCCTTGAATGGTGGCTTTACTCAGTGACTTAAAAACCTTATATCAGCGAATGGCGAAGACCTGGTGCAAAATTTCATGCTTCTAGCATTTTTTAAACAAAGAATCCAACAGGCGGCAGCGGCGCAGCAGCAAATATATCCTTTGTTCTAGGTATTACTATAACGAGACAGTTTTCACCAGGACGTTCTAGGCTACGCAATCCGCCGCTAGGCCTAATATAGTAAGTATTAGCCGGGCGCGAGGTAAATGCCCACCGCCGCAGCTCCTACTCTCCTCCCCACCACTTCTTCGCGTCCTACAACTCCATTACTGCCACGTTTCCTCAAACTTTCATCCACTACTTGCTCTTCCCAGTCCAAGATGGCCGGTAACCAAGGCACTTCGCGCTTTTCGCCCTCTTCTTCCTCTCAGCAAAACAACCGCGGAAGCCTTCGCGGTCGCGGCTCCACGAACCGCCGCGGAGGGCTTATGTCGGCGCGCGGTGGCTTCGCAAGTAATCCATACGTTATAAGCCAGGCTATCTCCAACCATATGCAGCCCCGGCAGGTCAACCGCTCTCAGGCTTCTTCCAGCGTCCCAGTTCCGAAGGACGCACAAGCTCCTAAGGACGGTATAACCACGGTCTCCACTGGAATGCAGACCCTCGAAATCGCCAGCGGAGATAAAGTTGATGCATCTGGCCAAGATGAGAAAGGAAACAAGGTTCGTGTCTCCAGTTCCACCCATCCAAAGTTAAATAAGAGCTTTACTAACGGGTATCTCACGACAGACTTCCGACGGCCCTACCATCTCATGCAACAACTGCATTATTCTCAGGAAGCGCATTGTGGAGCTCGAAGCCCTCGTGCAGAGTAACCACAAGGTCGACAACGCTTCCAATGCTGCGACCTCCGCCGACACCGATGTCAGTAACCTCGCCGATGCTTTCGAGAAGGGCGTCGAACCATTTCGCCACATGTTTGGCGACTTTGTCATGGAAATCCGACGCATCAGCCCGGAATCTCAGGCCAAGAACGACAAGGCAGAGCCCGCCATTGAGGTTCGTTAAACCCCACTCTCTTACTCCCTTTCCTTCCCTTCCAGAAGGCCCGGCATCACAGCACGTACTGACACCAAGCAGGAGCAGTCGCCGAAAATGTCCAGTTTCCCCAAGGACACTATCATGAGCGAGTCCACTGAGCCGACGACTCTAGTTCCCCAGGAGTCGAAAGGAAAGAGGCTTTCAGCTTCCTCTCTAGATTCTCCCATGCCCGATATCCCGCAGCTCACCATTCAAGATATGGCGAACTCAGAGGTTCCTGTCACGACAAAGACAGTTCCTCGCACCGATGCTCACACCGACGCAACCCTGCAGCGCTCTAGTCGCTTGCCTCCTAATCTTCCTCTACCGGAGCAACGCTCCGAGAAGGGCATGGGCTCCCTTCCAAAAACGGACATGAGGACGGTCAAGGCCAGCTTGGACATGAGTCAATGGGCAGGGAAGAAGTTCCCCTCGGATGCCACGAGCGATAACACTGCTACCTCCCCGGAGCAGTCGGGTCGCCAGACCCCGACTGAGACTCAACCTGTCGGAGCCGAAGGAAGACATGGACCTGGACTCGCCTCCAAAGACTAACCGCAACAACAAGGGTAAGACAAGTGTGATGGGAAGTCGCTGGGCTACGGGTGAGACGGATGCATCTTCGCCTCTGAGTCCTGATAAGAGAAAGCCTAGCATGGGCCGAAGCAAGTGGCCCAAGAAGACCTGTCCGAACGGCAAGAAGTGGTAGGAAAAGTAGATAACTCTGCACTTAGCAAAGTCATCGGGGGGAGCATTAGAAAGATGAATGCTCTGAGTGGCTTTCACTGTTGGATGATGATGGTTTCTTAATTCTTTTGTTCTAAATAATTGCGGCAAATGGTGTTTTCTCATAGCCTTACTTCTTCTATTCTTCGACGGGGGTAATAATTTGTTATACAGCGAGAAGAAGCTTTATTAACGGCATAGCTTTCTTTTATTAACCATTCTCCCTAAGTACCTATTAAGCCACCGGCACTTTAAAAAAATTAACGGCGGAGGAATAGCAAACATATCCTTTTTCTAGGTATTACTATAAGGGGATCGGTTTTCCCAGAAGGCTCTAGGCTATGCTTGCCGCTGCCGCTAGGATCGATATAGTAAGTATTAGCCGAGCACGAGATAATTTCCCCCTACCTCTACTCCCTTACTCTCACCCACCACCTTTTCTGATCCCGCTCCCGCAGAATCCACCATCGCCAATTTTCTTCTTTCCCTCAACCTTTCAATAACCTTCCAATAAATACGTACTTGACGATCGAAGATGGCAGACGGAAGCCGCTTCTCACATTTTACTTTTTCTTCCCCGTCGAACAACGGTGGAGGCTTCCGCGGTCGCGGTTCTGGAAACGCTCGCGGCGGGTTTGCTCCCATGCGTGGCGGTCTCGACAACAACCCTTTCAGAGCATACCAGGCGGCCTCCAATGATGTTGAATTTCCCTGCACTGAAGCCTCTCCACCTGGAGAAGCTCCTCAGGTGACTGCGGCCCCGGCTACAATGCGCAACCAGATACCCACTGGCAACCAGGCCGAGGAAGCCCATCACGGAAATCAGATCGCCGATTCTAACAACAACCACTCCGCCAACGTCAGCTCCGGCGATACTGGACAAGGCCAAAAGGTTCGTGTTCGTGTCCCAGCTCCACTACATCCTACCAAAACGTCTCGCTAACAAGTATTACAGAGCATCGCACAAGTCCCCAGCAACCCATGCACCAGCTGCAGCGCTCTCGAGAAGCGTGTTGAAGCTCTCGAGCTTCTCCTCCATGCGCAGTGTAATATGCACGCACCTGCCACGCCGACCACTACGACCGCTAGTCCCGCCGCCCATGCAGAGTCGCCCGAGACCGAGGAGGGCATGAAGCCCTTTCGCCATGTTTTCGGCGACTACGTCCTAGAGATCCGCCGCGTCGCCGCCAACCAGGAGCCCTTAAACAAGGCCTACAAGTCCGAGACCACCGAGCAGGTACGTTCACACTACCATCCCTCTCCATTTTTTCGCTAAAACATGAGCACTACAGCACTCCGAGCAAGAGCAGCCGCTAACAGTGTCTCGTATTTAGCAGGATTGCATGTCCCAGACCATGGTTCCTACGGCTCCCATCCGCCAGGAGCTAAGTGGCGAGAGCATCTCGGTTTTCAAGCGGACCATGCCAACGCTGGAAGCGTCCCAGCCCGCCGCTCAGGAAGCAGAGGCCCTAAAAGCCCCTGTCACTTCTCAAGATGCTGTGGCCCCGCAGATCGTCGCCGTTTTCCAAGAAAACGTGGCCCTGCAGGTCCCTATCGCCACTCAGGACACTGCGGCCACGAAGGTTCTCGTAAACCCTAAAGCCACTGAGGCCAAGACCGTCCCTACCATCACTTACAACACTGCGAGCCCACCGACCCCTACCGCCTCCAAGTATACTATAGCTCCACCGACTCCCACAGATTCTCAAGACCTTACTGCCGGGCAGGTCGCTACCACCCGGTCCACCCCACCGCCGCAGCTCTCTTGTGCCAGCACCAACTCAGAGCCCACTCCACAACGCTCACGCTTACCCGCTAATCTCCCTCCGCTGGAGCAGCGGGCCGAGAAGGGTATGGGGTCGTTGCCGAAGTCTGACCCTGAGAAGGTCAGGGCGAGCCTTCTCCTCAGCCGCTGGGCGAACCCCCGCGAGGAGGCGGCTCCTTTATCGCCTCCGAAGCCGAACAAAGGCAATACGAGTGTGAGTACGAGCCGCTGGACCTCAGAGACGGACTCTTCTTCACCCCCAGGCTCTGAGACGGGCAGCCAAAATATGGGACAGAGCCGGTACACGCCCAAAAATGGTCAGAAGGGACGGAAGTGGAACAGGAAGTAAACTTGTGACACTAGGCGAATTCACTGAGGGAAGATTTGGGGGTGTTTCCTTTGTTTGACCCGGGTTTGCGACAATTGCTTTCTTCCATAGTCGTGCGTTTAGGCGGGGGTAATTACACAGTGCAGTGGGGTTTGTTGCCATAGCAGTACGGCTTTGCTCTTTAGTTTGTCTCTCTACAGTGGCTCCTAAAATGGAATTTATAGATTCAATTGACGATAACCTAAAGTTCATTGACTTGTTCGCTTCGCTTCCAGGCTTCTCTACAAACCTGTGCAGGCAGACACAAACAACAGACACTGGCTATTATAAAAAGCCAGCGTCTCTGCACTGTTAGATAGAACAAGTTAAATCTCATTTTCCTTCTAGGGTTTCCACACGGCTGGTATAAATGGCAGAACCAAGTGCAATGGTTCGAGCTACTGCCACTGCGAAAAAAATGGCGGCTAAGGATCAGCAAGCTGGTTTCCATTCTTGAAACCACTACTAGATGCCAGAATCTCCGTCATTGCCGCAAAATCCATTCGAACAAAACACGTATACTTGAAATTTCACAAAGGAGACAGACACATGGTGAATGCACCCTGCCGGCTTTGTCGCATGCACTTGCATCAAGCAGCACTTTCAAAGAACGTCTGTTCACTTACTAAGCCCGACACGACCCATTCACTTAACACCTTAACAACCCAACCACCTCTAAAAGGTCTAGAGCAAAGAACATTGCGTTAGCGCCCTCTCTCGCATCTTCAGCCGCGCTTATAAATTTCCCCCAGCTAATTCTCCTCTATTCCTTTCCACTCCACTCGATTTTCGCAAACCGCACCGAGAATCACAGCCTGTTCACTTCCACTCGATTTTTGCCAAACGTACCAACAAAATCACAATTCACAATGGACCACAACAGCGGATTCGGGTTCCCCCCTAACAACTACAATCACTATGGCAGCCATGGCGGAATCGGGTTTCCCCACAACAACTTCAATCACTACAACAACCGCGGCTACCGTAGCCCTCGTCCCTACGGCGGAACGGGACCTCTGCAAAATCGGATAGCACAATCAAGAAGGAAGAGACCCTTAGATAGGTAGGTAATAATGAAGTGCTACTGCCTAAATACTCGAGTCCTACTACGTCCGAATCATCTATGTCTTCTTCGCTGTATAATTCCTCTCAGAAACTCTCCTTTTCGCAGCCTGAACTTCTCTGTTACCACGCCCCACTCCGAGCAGACCCGGAAACCAAAATCATAATCGAAAACGAAGACGTTTTACACTCGTATGTCGCTCGGGAAAGGCACGGAAAGGAAAGCTTTCCTAGGGATAGAGAGGTATGGCGGGATAAGCTGCGAGGAACACAAGAGGGCGGGGGGGCTGCATAGGGTAGTATGTGTAACATATTTAGTAGGGAGTTCTTTCTTGGCTGAGTACTTGAGGCGTTTCCCAAAAAGAATGGAAGCGTGTAGGGGGAGACTAGGTTATATGGCTATAGATTGTTGGCTAGTTGAGAGGGTAGAGGAAAAAGAATGTAGGCGGGTTTAAAAGGAGAAGGGGGTTATTTAGGGACATATATCCTCGAGACTGACAGGTTAAATATAAGAGCGTTAGTTGAAGGGGGGTTTAGTAGGCTGTGCTTCGTCTTGCTTCGGCCTGGTGTCTAATAAATTAACATTAGGTGTTGGACTATCAGGCCATGTTTCTTCATGCATTATCCTCTATATTCACTTTACTTTTTCGTTGTTTCAACACCCTGCTATCCCCTGCTACTTTCTACTAGCGAGCACATGACTGCTCTGCCTCTTCATGTATATAAAGCTCGCTGCCAGCCACTCATTTACAATCAAGCCGCGTTCTCTCTTCACTCGCACGGTTTCAACCATTCAACCCAACATTAGGTGTAAAAAAGATGAAGAAATCGGGGTGAGTAAATAAAAACACAGTACAGATATTCGCGTATGCTTCAATCGTAGAAATATATCAGTATGCTTTAGTAGAGATTCCCCTCGAAGAAGAGAGCTTTAAAATCTTAATTATCATTATCATACACGCGGATCAACTTGTGTGCGAAGAACCAAGACCGCGCGGCGGGCAAGAAGCTGCCCGGACAAGGGAACTGCTGCCAAAACTTTTGCGCGGCAGGGACTGTCCAGGAGCCAGCCATGGCGACAACCCTTAGCTTGTCCCTTTGCTATACCCCCAACACGGCGTTTCATCCGCGTCTACACAGCTCATTCTTGTCTGTTGCTTGTCTTGTTGCCCTCCGCACGGCAGGCCTTCACTCTCTTGCCCGACGCCCCTTCCTCTCCCTGCTGTCACTGACTCACTGCATCACGCGCGCACTCACACCGCTCCGGCCAACAAACGCATGCGCTTACGGTGACGGCAGAGGGTGCTGCCACCGGGTCGAGTCACGAGACCAGCTCACGGGTCACAAGCCTGCTGCCTGCCGTCCACAAACAACAGCAGCCACGACCTTCCTTCCGCCACTTCTCCCCGTCACTCCGGCCGCCTGCTTCAAGATGGCAACACAGCTGCCTTAACCTCCACACCTGTCCTGCGACGCTCTTCAAACCTTCTCCCCCCTTCTCCCTCTTTGTGCTGAGCTGTCTCCACGTCAAGGGCTCCTTAAGCCGTCTCGAGCTCACCGTACGCGCATCTCACAGTGACCGCACACAGCTCACCAAGCCCGTCACGGACAAACAACCGCGGCCGCGACCTTCCCACCGTCGCTCTTCCCTGTTACTTCCGACTGCCTGCGGCCTGCCTGAGTCTCAAGCTCAAACGCCACAACGCAGCAGACCTCCACCTCCGGTCGCTTGCTTCCCAAATCAACAACGTAACCGACACCCACCACCTTCTTACGTCATTCTGAAGCTCTCTCTCCGACACATCAACCGCTCTTCATCCTCTTCATCCGGCGCTTGCTTGACCCGCATTGACCGTCCATCCCATTTTCGCCGCACTGGATCAGGCTGCACCGCAGGGCACAACTTGCCATGTCCTCGCTGCGGTCGGCTACTTGCGCCAGCTCTTCGGACGCAAAGGAAAGAACGAGCCTTCTTCGTCCTTCATCCGCGACTTCACTCTAAAACAAGAACCTTTCGGATTGCCCTCGACAAGCAAAACATCATTTTCGCCGCAACACCGAACATGCAACAACAATTTCATGTCAGGCTTTTAGCCTGCTTTCGGCGAGGCAACTTCAACGCTTGCTCTCTCGGATGCGGCAACATTGCTGTCGTCCAGCCCAGAGAAACTCAAGGCGCGCGTCTGCCGGTGAAGAGACAGATGGTCAAGATCGCGCAAACAACCACCTGCTTGGCTACCTTCTCCTGCAATCCGAGCGCTTGCAATCCTCTTCAACGTTTGCACCGTCGAGGAGGTAAGCTGTCATAACCTCCCATATTTTATACAGCCACTGACAAGTTTCAAGGAACACTAGATACTCGACACACATCACCGGCTCCACTGGTTCCCCCGGCGGCTCCACCAACCCGTACTTCGGTCCTACTGCCCAATATCCAGACGATCCACCTTTGGAACGGCTGGCGGGCGCAGGGCTCGGTCGGACATCTAATTAATATTGCGTCTTTTTCGCAGGCCGTTAAGCTGCGAGGTCACTGTCCCGAGGTGCGCTCACTTCCCGCTCACGGGAAAGTCCGAGATGGCGTACAGCTTCTCGGCCGTGGGCCGCTACATGAAGCTTGAGGATGACCGCACTATTGATCAGGCCGAACGCCTGATGCTTATTGAGGACAGCTTGGTCAACGGTGAAGAGCGTCGGATGACCATTCATACCCCTCCCTCGGACTAGACCAACCAGGCTCAGATCACGGTCTTAAACAAGTGGCGCAAGCAGTTCCGCATCCGCAAGCGCCTCGAGAACACCCGCCCGGATCGTCTGCACTAGTCCCCGGACGAGAAGACGTTCCTGATCAATGAGATGGCGAAGATGCTATTGACTAGGCTGAACAGCTTATGCTCGTCAAGGACAGCCCGGTGACCAACGAAGTCCCCTGCATGACGGTTTATACTCCCTCCTTGGATTGGAACCATGATCTTTCCAATCCGAGGGGGAGTATGAATCGTCATGGAGTGGTCTTCGTTGGTTACTTAGCTATTCTCGATGAGTATGAGCTGTTCGGCCTGGTCAATGGTTCTGCCATACTCAGGAATCAGCGGACACGGTTCTGTACTGCATATTACCCGCGCTAGCAACAAGACGTCTCAGATATCTCCGCCCTCGTCAGCAAGCACCTAAACCACGCAGCCGTCTACCAGCCAGCACAACCAGCGCCCTCTCACGCAGTCGGTATCCTGCACGGCATACACACACGAACAAGCACACGCCCACACCTGCACACGCCCGCACCCACACGCGCACATCCACACACACACGCACTCACCCACCCACATACTCACGCACACGCGCATACGCGCAGTACAGTGCGCCGGCAAGGCGGGACGGCGCGCTCGCGATGGGAGATAGGGGAAAGGCGCCAGCGGCGGATGTAGCTACTACTAATTCGGAGGGGGCCAAAAAGGCCCAAGGGGCGCGCGGTTAGGGAAAATCTAAAGCAGATAGTTGACCTTGGGGGACGATAAAGCGTAGGCATTACAGCCAGCACGGAACAAAAGAGGTGAAGATGTAAAAGCTTGATTGTTGTGTTTGTCTCGATGCTTGAGCCGGGAGTGTTCGAATCAAAAAATGTCGAGGATTGCCAGAACCGGAGCTGCCTGCTGAGCCACTAGGCATGTTAGGGAGCATGCCATTTAAGGATCTTGCTGACAGGTCGAGATACTGCTTCTGACTATACATTTGAAAGGAACTCTCGATCCTCAAACAGTTCCGCCATCAGTGTTTCCTCCTGCCATGAAGCCGCGCCCTGTATGCGCCATATCGTGCTCGTAGAGTGATTTACCCTGTAAGACCAAGACGACAAGACTAAAGAGCATTTCCACAGACAGAAGTACCGACTGCTAAGCTTGTATATCCCCTTCCTTGACCTAAAGAGGTGAATAATATACTCATATGCATGTATATCATGCCCCAAAGCCACAGCAGCAGCTCAAAGCGCCCCCAACATCCCGCGCCGCACAACCAACGCTCCAGAACCTTCCCTGACCTTCCTCACTGACGTCACCCCCCTCGCTTAGCACTCATCGCGCACGCACGGACCGTTTTGCCCAGCTCCCGCCGTCTATATAAACCGCCTCCCCCACCCTCCTTCTCTCCTTTTTTCTCCAGCTCTCTTTTGCCTTTTGGCTAAGATCTAAATGCAGTAAGTTCTCTTACAACGTAATGGTTGTCAGGCGGCCCACGGGCCGTGTGAGATCAACTGGTTTTTGGGACTCGGTGCTGGACGGGCTGGGTTTTTCCCAATCCGCGCTGGCGCCACAGTGTCGCTCGTATTTGCACTGCTTCGGGCTGACGCGAACGCGCTTTTTGCTTTTCGCTTTTCATTGTTGTTCCTGGCTTGTCTGGGACTGCGAGGAAGACGCTGCTGCTATTGCTGCTGATGCTGCTGCTGGTTGGGTTTTAGGTACTGGTTTGGCTGGCTGCTCGGTTGGTGTTGTGGTGCCTTGGACGCGTGGTGGGCGTGTTGATGCCGGCCCTGCTGCGAGGATCTGGGGATACAAAGCGACGCTGACCTGCGGCGCAGGGTATCAGGTCTCGACGTGCTTAGAACGCGTCCTAAGTCCAGCTTTCCAAGCAGTGGAGCCGCTCTCAGTACCCAAGATCGAACAGCAGCTCATCCCCAGCACTTCATCCCGCTCCCGACCATCCGTTACAGCGCAGAAGAGTCCACTACGATTGCCGTACGCGCAATAAGAGTCCTTTAGACCAGCCTGATCACCTGCTCACACCACTAGCTTCACTGACACTGACACTGACACGCAGTGAGGCCGCAACTGGCTCGGCCATGCTGACGCAGCGAACGTTCATACCTCCGGTGCCCCAAGCTCTCGACACGCACTTCCATGCCCACATGTACCGTATACGCTTCCGACTTGTCCCAGGAGTAGTCGGCGTCCGGAACTTCCAGTAAGTCGAGTACACGACGGGTCCTTGCCCAGGACAATGCTTATACTATCAGACCTTCAGCAGTAGGGCCGCGCAGCCACACTACGCACACCACTGACCAGCCACACAGGACGCGCGATGGCAAGACCGTCTCACAAGGAAGCTGCAAGTAGAGAGCATCGCCACCAACGAGCGCGCACACGACGATATATCTTAAGACAAGACCACACTACCTCCAACCGACAGCACCACCAGCGGCGCACCACCATCAAGCCAGCCGCGGCCACACACACCCACACTCAGACGGACCCCCGGTCCACCCAACCCAAACCCGACCCAGATCCTCACCACCCCGCTCCATCTCCAAAGACACGACAATGACGTCCCAGGCCGCCCCGTCGCCGCCGACAGCAACGGCTGCACCGGCCGGCCGCAGCTTCTCGCGCATTTCCTTCATACCGGATCTCGTCGCACGGCTCTCGTCGCCGCACGTGAGCACGCTTCGCACTTCCTGTCTGTCACAGGTACTTCCACCACCAGCGCTTTTCCAGTCAACGTTTTAAGCGCCGCTGCGCTGATATGTTTGCCTATAGATCTGGAAACGCACTCCTATTGTTCTACACTTACACAACCCAGCAAGATCGTATGTGAAGCGCCTCTTCCCTCACCTTTTCTCCCACCAAAATTCGGCGCGAAATTGACTTCATTCTTCCATCAGTATTGCTAGGCATGTGGTGTATACTTTCAACCACGTACTACAACCTTTCCAGCACCGCAAATCGCATGCAGAATATCCGCGGAGGAACTAAGCCGCCTGGCTCTTTTCACGGATAGGAGAACATTCGAAGTAGTTCGCGCGGGCAGGGAAAATAAGGGAAGGGGGACCTTAATGTTATGCATGATGCTTTCGTGCTGAGTTTTATGGCTGGATTATACGTCTCTTTCAGTTTTTAAGCGGCCGAGCATTCGATACCTCTCACAGACCGCAATGGAAAGTGTTCCTCTACCAACCCGTCATACCAGGAAACATCCATCTGATCTGTCCTCCCTAACCCTCACCTAATTATCTCGCAGTTGAAAGTTAGCCGCATACACAAAGCTGCTCCTAAAAAACAAAATCCCATCCACAACCACACACACAAAGAGAGAAAAAGAAAAAGAAAATGTGAAGCTGGGCGCGAGGAATTGGACGCCGCTTGTCCCCCTAAATTACTACTACCTATGGAGGTATATATGCTGCTATCTAAACGAACACGTTTTCTCTTTAAGATCCTTATTCCCTTGCAGTGGATAAACGTGTGGTGTAAGGGGTAAGGCTGTAGTGTAACAACTGACTGTAATAAGGCTGAAAAAACGAGAGTTATCGGAGTGATCCTGGCTGACAGAAAACCATCCTCCCGCCTCCACCCATCCACACGCACCAACCCCCCAAAAATCAAAAACCAAAAAGCAGAACCAAAAAAAAAAAAAAAAAGAAAAAGAAAAAGAAAAAGAAAAAGACAAAAAAGAACACTTCACAATTCAGCGACCAGCACGGGACTCTACACTATTGTTAGAAACTTGCTCCCCAAACGAATCGAACACAGAAGCAGCTTACCGAACCCGCAACCTTGCCCTTAGGAGGGGCACGCGCTACCATTGCGCCAACCAGCCAGCCGTGAAGCCTGTTGATGGGTTTGGCGTTCACTTGCGCCTCTAACATACTGCGCTTTCTTTCCCAGTGTTGGAAGAAAAGAGAAAAGAAATTTGTGAAAAGATTTCTTTTGCTACCCACCCTAGGAACGGGTGGCGGGGGTGAGAGAACACGAAGCAAAAGAAGAATCCCCTCTACAGGAGAACAAACTAATGCGTCGACGCGGGCAGGACTCGAACCTGCGCTCCCGAAGGAAATAGATTTCTAGTCTATCGCTATAACCACTCAGCCACCGCGCCGTCGATGTAGTAATTTTCACCCCTTTTCAATAAGTCGTGCGGTCGGCCGAGAAATTTGTCTGCCGCTCGTGCGTGTGCGGTGGGCTGGTGCGCGCGCCAGGCGGCGCACGGGGCGCGAGGCGCTGCCGTCCGGTGCGTAGGCGAGAAGGGCTTGGTGCGCGTGCTTGTGCGGATGGCGGATATTGGTGAGAGGGGTAGGTAGGAGGATGGATAGAAATGAGCGGGACGAGAGGGGAGGGTTTGGTTGGGGGTTGTGAGGGCGGTGCTGGTGGTTCTGTCTTTGTACTTCTTGAGGGGAATGGAGGAGAGAGGGGGCGGTTTGTGATGGCTGTGGCGAGCATTTTTGGGAGGACCGAGGTTGCGCCGAGGTGGAGGGAGGGATGGATGCGGTGCTGGACAGCGGAGGAAAGGCGGCGGTGATGGGCTGAATCTGTTGTGGTTCAGTTGTAAGACTTGTTGGGAGTTGGCTTCTCGTTTGCAGGAGAGCTTGTTGCTTTCAATTTTCCGATCCAGTACATGGACTATCATTGTGCAAGCGCCAGATCCTTTGGTAGCGGTATTTCTTTCCTCTTGTGCTTTGTCCCAGACATTGCAGTTGAATACAGTTGAATACGTGCGAAATAGTGGTGCATAAGCCGAAGGGAGAGCGACAAGTTACAACTTGCACCGAGGTCCGGGAAGGAAACCGCCATCATTTCCTTCTTAGCAAGAGACAGTACTGCATTTGCATGTGGATGATAATGTCAGCCTGCTTGGTAAATGACAACGCCGTCGGGGATAGGTATTTCCTACGGCCTCTCTACCTTCACGGCACTCCGACACGAAGATCTGAATTCCTCCAGTTGAAAGCACGTGCGGCCCCAACTCAACAGGGAAAGGATGGAAAAACATTGCAGGCAGAGATGAAGGCCCTGCATATGCCGCCATCGGGAGCTGAGTCTTTGTGATTGTCGGGCAAGCCAGACCGTCGGTGCTAGAATATAAGGACCGGATTTCCAAAACCTGCTGCTTTGTCCAACGGAATGGTGGAGAAGAGCCGCAACATTTTCCTATCGGCTGGATTTTCTTTATTCATGCGCAGAGAGTGGCCAACGAAGCAAGAGCAATGAGACTGGAACAAGAGAAAGGTCTCCGAGCTCCACGGATTGATTTAGTTTTTCAGCTTCTTTGTCGCAAGGCACTGGAGATTTCGTTTCAGGTGTGTATTATTACATCTTTGTCGCCCCATAGACCCACTCCATCTTGCGATCATTCGAAAAGCGCGGAAATTTTATAATTTTGAAGCCGCTGTTTGCGAAACGTGGTTTTGTCGAGCCAAATGGCCGGTTTTTGTTTGTCTTTTTATATGAATGTAATACCTATCAAATAATTAGCAAAGCTTGTCCGTACTGAAAGGTTGCATCTCCAGACCCGAGCCATCCAAGGAAGACTTGTAGAACAGTATAAGGGCATTTTCGAAGCTCGCGCATTTAGCCCCAATGGAAAGAACGCGATCGTTACATCCGCGACGGCATTTCCCTACAACACCAGTCAGCTCCGTACACAATTTCAAAGCAGGAATGCCCTCTCCACAGGCTTAGTCCTAGTTTGGTATGTTTTAGGTGTTTGAGGATCAACACCAGCATCGGTTGGAAGAAGGAGACGTCACTATTAAGCAGCGATGAATGGAAGACAATCATTATTAGCATATACATATCCAAGAATAGGCGTAGCGTCTTGTTTTATCTTAGAAGTAGCCCCCGCTTGTAGCGGCAGGCGTCTTTTCATGAGCCTCTCGACCACTCGGGCCTCCGCGCACGTCATCACCAAGCCGTATAGGTTGTGAACCACGTACGCCATGTATGATGTACTCGTAGAGGTTCACGGGCATAAGCGGCTGCATGTTCAGGAGATGGTTATGGAAAGGTATAAAGCGATCCTTATGGTCGCAATGAGTGCCTCAGGTAGGATTGAGAAGGTCGCTCGAGAGTTTTCGGGAGCGAGAACAATGGCGTCTTCGAAGGTAGAGGGCTCGGAGCTATGATGATATAGGTTTGTATAGAGCTGCTGTTGAGACATGTCAGCTTGTGTAGGGTTGAATTAGGGGGCTGGAGTTACGTACTACTGCTGTGGTCGGAGCTGCTGAGCACTAACGTTGGTAATACGAATTTTGTCAGCCGCTCTGGCACGCTGAGGTACTGCGCCTTGTGGGCGCGGTAACGGTAGCGGCGGTTGACGTCTGCGTAGAACGCCGTTTACTGGTTCTATTGCTGCTGTAGGCCATGGTTGTGCGTAGGCGCGAGGGCTGGAAGCCTGGAACGAGATGTGTGTGTCGGGGGTCCAGCGCGTGTGGTTGTAGAAGGACGTGCCGGGGAAGAACGGCCTCATTGCAACCGGAATCGTGGGCTGGGAGCGCTCAAACACGACACGACATGCGGCAAGAACAACAGTGTCGCAGTCGGCTAGGTTGGCTTTCGCAGCAACTGTGTTCCTGGCGGTGAGGTTGGGTGAGGCCGAGTCTGCAAAGTGGCTGCTGTTCAAATGTTGTGGGTGCTGCTGAGCCGTTAGTGAATACTTTCCTATTTCGGCCTAGTTATACCCTAAAGCCGAGATTCACGTTGTGTGAATATACCATCCGCATAGCGGCCCGAGCCGCTACATACTCTGGGGACGGGGCCGACGGTATTATCGCGGTGTTTGTCGCAGGCAGAGAAGCTCCGGAGCCAGCCTCTCACGTCTCGTCCGGATATCGCTGTGCTGGGTACCCTGGCGCTGAGAGGTGCTCGATAATGTGAGCCTTGATCAGTTGCTCAGATCGCTCCGGGATTATATACATGTCGTAGTTGTCCAGTTTGCTATAAAGTTTTAAGGGGCTGAACTTCGCATATAGAGAAAGGGGAATGCAACGGTCGATTCTGCGACAAGTTTCGTTGCCTATATAATAGAAGCCAGAGACAGGGACGACAGCAAAAATGATAGAGTATGCGACAACGAACTCGAGCATTTGACCTTTGTCTGTGAGGCTGTGACTTTGAACGCGATCACCACAAGCGCGATCAGGATATGGAACAACCCCATGGTTGTCCGCAACGTGAGGACTGAGGAATTTGATGGCTGTGGCCATTGGAGTCGCAGGCGAGTTGGCTTCCTGCCGTGAGACTGAGGGTGGAGTTCGTCGTGGCTGGAGCCTGGCGGCTGGTCTTGGCCCTTCTGTTGCGGCGGTTGTGTCCTATGGCCATCTTGGGTTTGGTATATACAGTCGTCGAGGACGATGTGTCGGCATCCTACCGGCCGTGTTCGCAGTCGAGGGTTTATAATGGCGTCGGTCACTCGAGAGCTGCGGCTGGCTGCAGCTGAGACAAAGGCAAAGACATCGCCAAAGCTTTCGAACCTTCTATAAAATGTTCTCTTACGAAAGACAGAATCTGATGGAAAAGAGAACCTTCTTCTCACAGGCGCGTGAGTGTGATATATCGGATTGACTTGCTGGTTCAGTGACGGGGTGTCTGACGGCCTTTTATAGTCCTCTAAACTGTTTGCTACACAGAGAAACGATTGCCTGTTTGCCTCTGCTTTCTCTGCATGCCACGTGACGCTCACCTGTGACCAGAATCACATGCAAGGCGGAAGCAATCTTGAGGAAACTTTCGTGACCGTCGACAATTATAATATAGAAGAATGGTACAATTTCAGACCGACTTGCTGTGCATTCTATGCAAACTACCCTTTGGAAGCATTGCTTCCTGAAGTAAACAGACACTCATCCTCCCAGTAATCCTTCTTGCCCACGAATATATTCTGGAATAGTATACGAAGCTTGTCCACCTGACTCTCAAGTCTCGAAATTTCCCCGCACAACTTGCTTCAGAGCACGCGACCAGCGCACACAGCCACCGCACGCGATCAACGCATGCGCAAGTAAGCACAGCAAGCACATTCCTTCTCGGAAGTCGAGGCCACGAGCGCCAAATGCGCAAGACAAGCTAATGAAGGAGCTGTTGTCTGTATGCGGACAGAGCCGTCGCGGCACCCGCAACCGGCGCGACGGGCTCGGCGGGTTTGGCGCAGCTGCTTGAGACGGCGAAGATGGGCCCGAGGGGCAGCGCAGAAAGTGGAAAAGGTGATGCAGGAGAAGCCTCCTTGCGCTGCGGCTGTTCGTGCCCGTATAACGTGCAGCAAGCGCGCGCGCTTGGGCGGACGAAGGGCGGCGGTGCTTGGTGGCTTTGTTAGGTAAGCAGGGTTGGGAACAGTGCCGAGGGGGTTTATTTCGCGGGGCTCGTGTACGGTAGGGCCTGTGGGAGGACACGTAGGAAGGCGCCGGGCGGAGGGTGTGGTGGTAGGATGGAAGGGAGCCTATCGGCCGAAATCGTGCTGGAGTCGTTGAAAATACTGGGATTAATTGGTGTGTCTGGGAGAAGTCAGAGAGACAGAAATTGGTGATTCAGATATCGCTCAAGGAGAAGGGGAGGAGGCATGTGTTGTCAATGAGTGGTCTGTGGTTTTGCATCCTGCTGGACTTTATGACAATGCCACTGGCCGGCGACCCGGCTTGATATTGTTCCAGCTTCCCCCGAAGGAGATACTCAACGATGAACTTCGGCTGAAAATGACAGATTGCGAAAGAGAAATCTGTCTCAGCTAGCTTCCGGGCATGTCGTCAACAATCTCTCTGCATATGGCTTCGTAGCCTGGGCAAGTAACAGGTCGAATATCCAGGAAAAATAGCCACACCGTACACGCTCAAGAATTTTGAGACCTCGGCCTGGGCTGCATGCTGCTGAGGGTTTTTGAAATGTGACTAAGCGCCGCATTTAGAATTTGCATCTTGCCGGTTGGTGGGGTCGTAGGTGTGCCTTTTGTGTGTCTTTCGGTCGAAATGCCTTGCACTGGGATATAATGGGGTGTCGCAAGCGCGCACGCCCTCGGTGTATTGTCCTTTCCTGTTGTGAAGCTTAAAATGGCTGTCTATGCGGTGCTACTGCCTAAGGTAGTGTGGAAGAGTTTGAGAGGAGGACGAGGCCGTTGAGGCAAGACGTGTCGATGGTTGGAAGCGGTTGGACAGCTTGGAGGGTAGGAGGGGGAAGTAACTTTTCAACCCTCAGCATGCGGGACATCCGTGACCCGGAGGGGCCCTATGGGGAGGTACAGCCGTGGGCATTGTAGGTAAGCCGGCGAGGAGCAGTCTGAATCAGTCTGTAAGAAGTCAGTGATCAGTGAGCGTCCTGGAAAATATTCTTTGCCATTGTGATTGCAGCTCAAATGCCGTGCAATGGCTTTGCAACGAAAATGTATCGGCTCAGGCTGATAAATAAAAGCCGCTTTCGTCCGTGGACAAGACATGCACAAAGAGGCCGCTTCTTGGGCTGTTTCGGGTGGGCAGTGATACAAAAGTCGCCGTGCTTAGTAGATATGAAAGGAGATTTAGCCGGAGTGCGAGTATTGCTTCTGTTGTAGAGAGAGGATGTAAAAGCCGCTGGAGCTGAACAGCTATGCCTCGAGGGACGTGTGAGTTGCTGTCAATGCTTCAGGTCTGGGTTGTCAGTGGCAGCGACAGGGAGCGGCGAGCAGTGCTTCGAGCAGCCGGCAATGACCTAGGTAAATGGCAGGCTGTTCTGCATCAGCATGAATGGACGAATTCGCTGCGAACACTAGTCGAGCATGGGAAAGTTGCACGCATCTTGCACTGCTCAGTGAGCTGTCAGCCAGGCCCCAGGCGGCTTCAAGGGCCTCAGCAGGGCCTTCAGCGCTCCAGGAGGCCTGTCGACGCGTTAGCAGGCCTGCGCGCCCAGAGTCGGTAGGGCTAGCAGGCGCGGAACGTTAGTGATGGGCAGTTGCGCACCCAAAACGGGACTAACGTGGAAGGAGGTGTCAACAAAGTCTACGCGCGCGCGCCCTTCTCTCTCCTTTCTCCTTCACACTCTTACACTCGACCGTCGACGCGCCGCCTTGCTTGTCTTTCGTTGCCACCTTGTCGCATCTTGTACTTTTGTTCTCTAACAACTTGTTTGTTCCTTGCTCTTCAAAGCGCCTTCGCTCTGCGGCCTGCCGCTGCTTTGTTGCGACTTGGACGCGCCGTCGCTTCTCAGAGCTTTTGTTTTCGGACCCGCGTTCCAGCGCGTCAAGGACTTCCTTCGTCGACATATCTTGCCTCTCTTCCGGCTTTCAGCAACGAGGCTTGTCCATCAGCTCGTCCTACCATCTCGGCCTTCTCTCCCACCAGACACACCGACACTGGCTCCACTCCACCACCCACGCGGCGGGCGGGCGGGCGGATTCCAGGTAAGTCCCCCTCCCCTTTTAGACTTACTAGCTGTGGGGTTGGATTTACAGGCGGGGATGATGATTCGAAAAGATCAGTCTAAGGAGCCTTGCGCTACACGCATGTGGGCCTTGGCTCCGATGAAACATGCTGCTACTACAGAGCCACAAAGCGTAATTGTCTGACCCGAGTAGCGGATCAGCTGTTCGCTGGCGAGAATCTGCGTAGCATTTTGTCACTGGCCCTCTGGCCGACCCCGAGCTGCAGGTAGAGGGCATGTCTTTATGGCTGCTGTCTAGGATTTTTCGCTCGGAGATGGACTTGGCTGGCGGTGGTGTGCGCGCTCTTGCACTGCTTGGTGTGCCTTGAGCTTCGCTTCCAGCTGACATGTGTTGTGAGGATTGCAGTTGTTGTAGATAGGCTTGGATCTTTCGGCTTGATGATGCTGTAGGCTTGCTCTTGGTACTTGAATTTACAATCCTCCACATGGCCTTCTTCGTGTCACTTGATGAGATTACTTGAACTCCAACTCCGTAGATAGTCGTTTGTAAATGTTTGCCTAGGCCGATGACCGAGCTGGCTTAACTAGTAGACTAACTCTTAGGCTATAGGAGTAAGTTTGATTGCCCCCCTGTATATATACTACGCGATCGTAGGGGAGGCGTTCATACAGAATTAACCGTATATGAATCTTGCGGTGGTGCTCGCATGGCCATTTCATGTAGCCAAATTGAGTCTGCCCATTCTTTGCTTACACGGTCACTGCATTCCTGCATGCCAGGCTGTGCGGTTAACGCCTGCTGCCGGAAGCACAGACAGCTTTGTCTCTGTACCTACGAGGCGGACAAACCAAGCGCTTTTAGAGGAATATAAATCCTCTCGCAGGGGCACATGCGCAGGGAAAAGCCCAACTGTGTGTTAAATATAAGGTGCGTGGTTCCTTCACCGCTTTCGGACATTCAGAGCGTTTGTCGTGGGAAGCGGAGTCCCCGTGCCAAGCCAAGCCGACTTGCGCCGCACCTTTCGCCGGGCATAACCGATCTTCTTGACAGTCCTTCCTGCCTGCCCACTTCCGTCTTCCTCTCACTCCATCATCGCCACTGACAACCTTCCGCTACACAGAGCCCGGCCTTTGGCCCGCACATCATTGCTTCCTTCACCCTTGCCAAACAGGGCTTCGACTGCTGCACCGCAAATCAACTACAACCACTCAAGGCCGCGACAATGGAAAGCCTTCCCTTCGACATCTACTACATCATCTTCAAGCAGGCCGAGGAGTTTGACGGACCACTCAGAGATGACCCCGCTCTGACCGAAGAATCCGTGAAGACGATCCTCATGATGCGCCTTGTCAACCGCACTTTCCACCGGGCTGGCATCGTGTCCTTCGTCCGCGTAATCAGCAATCGGTCGTTCGCCCTCACACCTACGGACATGGGCATCCTTGAGAAAATCGCCACGAATGAACTGTGGGTTACCAAAATCCGCTCGCTGCGCTTCTCTGGCACGTTCTTCAGCAGGTCCAACGAGACACTAGTCGCCAGGACAATCCTGGGAAGTACAGATCTCTATGAAAGGAAAAAGGGTAGCAACCAAGCTATCCTCGACTTCCAGGCCCTCTGCGAGCGAAACAAAGCCTACCGCAATGACAACGGTGATGCCCGCGACCTGGCACGCATTCTTCCTCTATTCACGTCACTCGAGAACATTCACGTACTCCCCATGGTCTTCTTCGACTTACTTGGAAGTGGATCATTTCGTCGACGCTATGCACGTCGACTTGCCGTTGTGGCGCAGCGGAATACGGGGCAGCTCACCCAGGCCATCAGTGACAACCAACACGATATCAAGAAGTTCCTCACCTCCGCCATGTCTCTCATGCACCGCGGACCGAAGATGCTCGTCCTCAGATACGATCTCATAGAACCTTACTTCCCATCTCACTCTCAATTCCCACCTTACAGCGTTCCACAATCCACAACGGTGACGACTCTGGTGATTGAGGAGGTCTGTCCTCTCTGGGAATACCCTCTCCCTCTCGACAAGAGGCTTCAGTATATCGAGGAGGCGCTTCCAGCCCTGCAAACATTCCGTAGGCTGTACCCTGGAAAGATGAGAACGGACGGTTACAAGATGGAGATCATCTACAACAAGTCCGCGGCGGGCAAACTGGTCGCCGAGATCAGCACGATGTACCAGAAGGAGCAGTGGGAAGAGGCGGTATTCCCAACACTCGGCATCGAGTGCAAGCCCTTCTACCTCGAAGACACGATCAAGGAGCTGCGCATGAACGTGCCCTTCGACAGCATCAAGAGCGTCGAGGACTTCACCACCAACCTCATCGACCATCCGTGGTTCATCTTCAACCCTCACAACCTGCAGAGGTTGTATATTGAAGAATCTTCCGAGCCGTGCATTCCCCAGCGGTTCTTTGATACTTTTCGGCGGAAAATGGCGTTTACGCCGGACGAACACCCGGCTGAGCGCATATATATCAGGTGTGCGGCTGGAGATTACGAACTTTGGACCGGTCGTGTTGGTGGGCATGGCCTCCCTACTTGGATCCCGGATCGTATCGACTTGTGGTAAGTACCTTCAATTCAAGTTCAGAAAGCTGTGCTGATAACATTACAGATAGGCAGCTTCTGGGAAGATTGAGCGGTTGTCTAGATCTACAATTGAGGAGCTTGGGCGTTGGTTAGCAACTCGGGCGGCCGCGGGTTTGGGACACTGAGACGCACTTTGCCTAATTTTGCAGACCTCTACTTGAGAGCCAGAGCTCGAGTGGATATTGTCACAGCGGGGATGGCATTTGGCGAATGTCTGGTAAAGTGCTTGTTTTTGAGTAGATGCTTTTTGGGAACACAAAAATGTCCAAACTACAACGACTTTTAGGTTAATCCAACTGCTTTGCAAGAAGCTTTGTTTACCACTCCCGGCTCAAATTGAGGTGGTACTCAGTCGGCAGCGCACGTCCAACACACTCCACCAATCTCAGGTCAACGTGGCAAACAGCAGCGTACTAAAACCAGCACAAAACGAATACCCATAAAACCAGACTTGAAGCGCGCAAAGCCACGTTGCAAACAAAGGTATGCCCAAGACCGTTCCTCACACAACCCGACAAAGTTTCACCAACGACTCTACCACCCCGCAAACCATCTAGGCACGTCATAAGCCGCTCAAACAGATCTGAGACAAGCTCCCGCGCCCCAGCCGACCGTTCCTCGTCGACCACACAAGAGTAACCCTCAGGCAACACAAACCCGCCGCCACACGCCCTCGCCCCCTCCTCCAACAAGAGCAGCGGCAGCGCCCCAACTCTCCACTCTCAGTCTCAAGACTTCAAAGCAGCCAGACAAGCGTGCGCAGCCTACACAGTCCACTAACCCTGCCCCCGAGCCCGACGCTGTCACCGCCTCCCTCGCATCAGCTGTCTTGCAGCGCACACGCGCCGCGCAGCGAGCACACAAACACACCACCCTCGCACCCCCCGCGCTCGCGGCACCACTGCACCAGTACAGTAGCCGCGCCGCCTCGGCGCCCACCCCGCCCAGCTCCTCCCGCGGCGGCACAAACAGGCGCTCGACGGCGCGGTGCTCGCGCAAGACGGCGGCGACGGGCAGCGAGTCGGGTACGGGCGCGTGCCGTAGCAGAGGCTGCAGCTTGCGGCGAGCGCGGGTACGCTCGCGCCCGCCTCTCGCGTCTACTCGAGCGGCGAGCGCCTCCCGGCGACGGGCGACAGCGGCGGCGACGGCGCGAGGATGGCTGAAGCGGGTGCTCGGGCTGCGGAAGAAACTATTCGGTTCTACGAGGGTGGGGTCATGAGGAGGGTGGAGGGGAGGGGGATTTGTGCTTGAGAATTTTATGGGTGAGTTAAGGTGCTGGTGAAAAGGACGACTGGCTTTGCCAGCTTTCTATTCGCAGGAAGGCAAGGCCGTCGAACGGACTCACGAATCCAATGCCATGCAGAGCAAATCCTTTTTCGCCCTCACACCAACCCAACAACATATGCAGATAGTCACACACACACACACACACACACACACACACACACACACACACACATACTTTCTAAAACCACAGCATCCCGCCGTCCGGCGGATCGGCCCGCCCCGATATAACTTCCGCTGCCGCTGAACCCACCTGGCGCGGTGAGCAAGACTTTCGCGCGCACGCTACACGGCGCCTCCTCCTGCGCACCCCGTCGTGCCGCGGCGTGGCGGCCTCACTGCTATCAGTCCGGTTCTGCGAGCAATGGTGCGCTACCATTGGCGAGGGCGGCGAGGATGGTGGCTGCGGCGGTGGGGAAGGAGAGGGAAGGGGAGGGAAGAGAGGAGTTGGGTGGGGGGTGTAGTGGGGGTGTTGTTCTATATGTCGTCCCTTTCGAAGGACTGCGCAGCCGCGGAAGGGGGAGCGGAGAGGGTTTTCTAAAGTAAGTCTCTTTCGCTTTTTTAGAGATTGTAGTGTATAAAAGTGGTTTGGCCTTGCTCTAGACCACCATGCCATTTACATGAATGTGTTCAGAGTGTTGTAGATGTACTCGGCTTTGTATCCTGTATTCGAATTCCTATTCGGTTAAAAGGATTCCTCATTTTTGCCGTGAGAGTGTATAAACAGTCACTCGAAAGCGCTCCCCGTGTCCGCACTGTCCTTTTCTTAGATGTTTGTAGATACCGCCTTCTCTTTGCTGCGCTTCTACGTGCTTCTGCGACATTTCGCTGCAGATGAATAGCAAACAGCGAATATCAAACGCCAGACAAGGACGTTCCTCACATGCATTATTTTCTTTGTTGGCAAACACTGTCGCCTGCGAGATAAAAGGCAGCACTCCCTCACAGATAGGTTGATTCTTCGTTTATTTCATTTCTTTTATTCCAAGGTTAAATAAAAAATGCAATATCCCTGTAGCAGATGCAGTATTGAACCTAGAGGGGGTAGCATGATATTTCGTTTTTATAAAGGCTGGGGGAAGTGTCCCTGGCTTCATTCCAATCTTTCCAAAATCAAAATGCACTGGCTTTTTCTATATAGCCTCGAAGTAAAGAACCCTTGAAGGCCGGGCCTGCTGCGATAAGCGGAGCGAAGGGTGGTGTCGGTCAACCGTTTCCCGCTAAACCTAATTTGGCAAGAGTACATGTGCCAACGCAACAACACTGCCGCCCTATATCCGCCTCTCTCACTATCTCACCCCCCCATATCCACTACATGTTCCTTTGGCTTCTTGCGAGGGTTTCGCCCTCACCTCTCTGCCCGGCATGGCTCTCAATCTTCCTTATGAGCTGTTCGACCTTGTCATGGACGACCTCTTCGAGTACGACCACACGACAGGTGAGAGGAGGCTCATGTACCGTTCCCAGCTCGACTTTTTCGCCATCAGGCTCGTTTGCAAGGGTTTTTGTGCTGCGGCCGGCGATCACTTCAGTAGTCTTGTCGTCAGAAAAGTCTTCCACTTGATACCCGCGCACCTGGAAATTCTACAACACCTCGCTCAACAGCCGCAAGTCGCCAAGCATATCAGATGTCTCCGGCTCTAGAGCGCTTTACCAGCACGTGTGCTCCCATTTAGCACCTTCTACGAGCTCTGCGACCCCCAAAGCCCCTACTATACCTCTCCCGGACGCACCATTGACCATACTCTGGACCTCATCGAAGCCTTTGACAAGATGTGCTTGGAAACAACATGGGTAGGGCCCGATAGGATGACGACGATGATTTGTCGCGTTTTGGAAAATCTCCCCAATTTGGAGTCTATTGAGGTCTTGGACGAGGTTGCGGATCCCCTTTTTGGCCTTGCGACAGGGGACAAAGCGTGGCTGCGGAAGTGCAACATTCCACAATGGGGCCTACATTGGCATCATTTTGAAGGGATAAGCAGTCCGCGTCTCAAAGAGACGTGGTGGGAAGGAGCACGGGCGTCACTTGTTGTTAACGAGGCTCTGGTCCTTACGAAGCCCTTGTTGACCAAGATGACTCTTTTGGTAAACGGAGCAGACGGTAGCCAACAGGACCTTCTGCACATTCCGACCTTGAAGGAATTAGACATATGGATTAGCGACGCATACCTGCTCGTTGAAGGAACCGCCAACGAAATCTTGGAGCGGCACAACGCCCAGTTCCCGAACCTGGAAAGACTCTCTCTCTTTCAAATCATGGCGTGCCAAAAAGGACTGGGAGATCTGTGGCACATATACGCAGCGCAAAGCAACCTCAGAATCGGGCCCATACGAAAACCTCCTCGAAGTACATGTCGGGTACCCCGTTGGTTGGATGCAACTAGATGAGCTTCTCTTCGTCAGGACCCTCGGCCAGCAACCGAACACGCGCAAGCATATCCGCCTGGATGCTCACCACACTGAGTATCGGTTCTTCAGAATCTTTGATCATTTTGGGTTCGTGGCTGACGAGCTGTTCTTGGAGTCCAACAAGCACAGCTGGGTTCGGTGTAACTTTTCAAATAGCTGGCAGTTCATTGCACAATGGAATGTTGGGCAATACGCAGTCAACATCTATGCTTTGTACTATCCCAGACGTATGGGGACAAGCGAGACGTACAGATTGTGGAATGACCCGAATAATGTCGAGCTTTTCGTTTGGAAGGGGCCGCAGATGTAGAGAGATAAGAAGTATAGTTAAAAAGGTTTTTTCCAGATTCCGGAGAAGCCGCAGCACTGTGTTTGGAGCAATTTATAGTTCACCAGATTGCTGATGATGCTGTGAGTCCGCTTGGCCACCGCATCATTGATGCAGATGTCTAGACAGCAGGGTATTCGCCCACAGTTATAAGAACCACGGACAGCCACTCGTTCGGAAAACCAAAAAATCAGATACGGAGATTCATTTCTCGTTTCTTGCATCAACTTATGCACCACGCATTCCAAAATATATGCTTACGATGCAACCGTAGTTGTAAGGGAGCCATGATAAACCACTCATAAAATCCATCAGATGCCAAAACTCGCTAACAGTCATCAAAGTGCAGCTAGATAAAGGCACAAAAAGATATCGAAAGAGCCATTCACTTTCAAAGGCAGGTTAAAATTCCTTTGCAGTCGCACAATCTGACAGGCACCCGAACATTCACTCAATAGGCGGCTTGTTCCGGCGCTGTGTGAAAGCATTGCAGTGCTATAATTTGAAATTCTAACAATACGTCAATGACGTAGGCCTAACCATTTCTCTGTTAAACAGAGCCAAACTAGCCGAGGGCCACCTATTTGTTTCCTTCTGATGCGCTCTGCCTCCAATTTCCGTACCATCTTCCGCAACCCAAAGCAAAGAAATTCAACATACTGCCACGCTCTGCCTCTACCACCTTCAACCACGTCTTCCACCTTGGGCAAATAACTCGATACTACTGCTACGATGTCGGACTACAGCGTCGATCAACAATCCAACCTCTTCCGTCTGCCCAACGAGCTTCTCTGCTTCATCTACGATGAGCTCGTTGAGATTTGCGACGAAAAGGTCACACCAGATGGCGACCTTACTTACCGATCCTGCAACGACATCAGAAGCCTGCGCGCCGTCTCCAATAGGCTGAGACTTGTCGGTCAACGGTACTTCGCGAAGGTGATCACCAACACCAGCTTCATGCTGATAGCCGACGACATCATCACCCTGCGCGAGATGGGTAAGGACCTCACGCTTACCCCGTACATCCACACCCTCCGCTTCAACCCCACTCTACCTTATTACGGCGCATTCGAAGAAGCAGAAAAGGACGGTATTGAGATCCGAAAAGAATTCAAGGACAGAGACTTCGAGTACCTCGCCGAATGCCAGCTCTGGGAAGACATCCGGCACTGGGGCCTTGATCATCATGGCTACGCATCCGAATGGAGCGAAAGCATTGCCTTCCTTGTGGGGATCCTATACCCATTCGAGAACCTCAAGCATGTCGACCTTGGTTCTTGGAGAGACTACAAGACACATCAGAGGCTGTACTTAGACGATACTATCTCTTCTTGGTTTGGCGACGGGTGCTCAAAGGAACTCCAGTCGAGGGTGTTCTTCCTGAACATCTTCCAAGCCGCGCTGGACGTTGTCGCGCCGCATCTTTACTTCCTCCGTGTCGGCGAGATGACCAACATCTACCCGGCTCCGCACTTCCCTATCCCGAGAGTCAACCTCTCTTTGGCGAACGTGCGCCACCTCGAGATCGGCTTCGTCGACCAGGGCGACGAGGATGAGAAGCACGTCTTCAGCGACCCCCGCCTCTTCAACTATGTTTCTACCATGAGGGGCTTGGAGACCTTGCTGCTGGTAGGCGCGCTCTACCCATCCGAGCTCCAGAAGGGACTCCGCGGTTTCTTCAAGAACCCATTCCCGAAGCTTCGCAACGTGAAGCTCTGTCTCAGCTACATCACGCACAAGTTCGCGGTCGAGGACTGGTTCCTGCACCTGCTGCCACCGCTCAAGGCTCACGCCAAGTCTCTCCGCCTGCTCATCCTCGAGATGGAGTACAAGTCCCAGGACTGGGTCAACATCCTCCCGTCCATCACGAAGGAACTCTCCCTTGACGAACTGCGCATCTGCTTCCCTGTCTCGCTTCTTGAGGCCGGGTTGAAGGACAAGTCGCCCAACCATGCTAAGAAAATGACGCAGGCGCCTGCGGCGAAGCGCGTGGACTTCTACTACGGCGGGAAGGAGAACAAGAACGTGGAATGCCGCCCGAGTGTCAAGAAATGGGTCCCGATCATCACGGAGGGCGAGATCAACGATTGCCTTCCTTACAAGCCTGCTCCGAAATAGTTGTTGTTGGTTTGGGACTTTTAGTGGGCAGGAGGATCTTCGATATGGGGTTACGGCGCTGGCTGATTTGGGCATTATGGTTGATGAAGTTTAGGTCGGGTGGGCGGGACTTGGTGTTTCTCTCCGGCATAGCTCTTGCAGCGATCAAGTGCTTTGATAGATTGCCCTTAATAGATAGAAACCTGGAAGCTCGTTTGCTATTTCATCTGCAGCATCACGTTCATTGCACACGTGAATATTGTGTTTGGCTGCTTGAATTATTCTTTGCCGTTACAAACATTGTTTGGAGGCAGTACATAAGCGCCGCCTGTCCCTACTGGAAGCATGTCTGGGCCTCCAGGGCCCCAAAAACGGTCCAGGTGTGGCTTGAGTTCTTCATCGAGACAGGCACAAGAATCGCATTATGGCCGCGGTTTGGTGGCTCTTAAGAGTTAAATGTGTCAGTTAAAGGGGGAATCATGTTAGGCATTGGGCAAATTCCAATGATCAGCACGGCCGTACTTTGGCTATAAGGGCTGTCACCCCAACAGCTAACAAATATTTCTCGCACACCGTCTGCTACCCATCCCTCACCGACCAAACATCCCTCACAGTCTGCCCACCACACTCTTTAAACGTCACATCCACGCCCCTCCAAGTCTTTTGGAACAGGAACGTCGCTACATCTCACTCATTTTTCGATCCACTGTCCTACACTCACCAAGGTCGCACCATGTTCCGCAGATTTCACAACGTCAACATGGAACGCCTTCTAATAGAGCTTCTAAACAATATTTGCGGATCACTCTGCAGGTACGGCAAGCCATGGGAGTTCGAGGACGACGTCGAAGGCCGAAAGCCCTGCGCCTCTCACCTCACAGCGAGTGCGGTCAAAGACATCATGAGTTTCCGGCTTGTCTCGGTCACATTCCAGCACATGTCGGAGCCTCACTTCGCCAAAGTTATAACCAACACGACATTCGGCATGAAGCGGCTCGAACACCTCTCGCACTTCGCGCAAAGCCGCTTTGGGCCGATGATGCGCGTCCTTACCCTGTCCGACGACATCTATAGCCTAGGCTTCTGTCCCACAAACTACAACGATCCACGTGGAAACGTCAGCGATCGCTGTGACTGCGAGACATGCGTGCAGTCTGGCCCGGACAAGATTACTGCTCAGCTCTCAGATGTCCTGAGGAACCTGACACGCTTGGAAGCGATCTTCGTTGGACAATGGTTAGGCAACACGCTCTTGTCCGCCCGCCGCTTCTATGGACTCCCGAGCTACTCTCTCACCAACCCCTACGAATTTTTACATGGAAGACAGTCGCCGTTTGCGGCAACGTGCGGCTCTAATCTGCTTTTACGGGGCACTGGGTTCGGCGCCCTCGATTCTCAAGACCCTCGTTCTTCCCACAGCCGTCAGCTTTCTTTACAACTATTTCGCGGCCAACATAGCTCCGTTCGTGGTCCTGCCGCCATCACCGCTCCCCAACGTCACGTTCCTGGAGATGGCATCATCCTGCGACATCGACTGCTGCGACGACGATCCCAGACTCTGCGACTATCTACACATTTTCCCGCGCCTCTCGACGCTCTCGCTCCGTCTGCCTCTGAGTCTGCATGTCATGAGAAAGCAGCTCCGCGACCTCACGGCTCGACCAATCTTGCATCTACGCAAGTTGAAGATTTCGCTCCAGAATATGCAGGAGGACTGTGATGACTGGACTTTGGAAGCTCTCTTCGACTTTCTCCACGCGCATGCATCCACGCTTAAGAGTCTGCAAATTGGGTGGACGTCGGGTTCTTGGCAAGATGTGGAGCTGGAGCTGAAGATTATAAAGGAAATAGAACGGACCCTGGACTTGTCTTTCCTGTCGGTTATTTGGCGCTAGGCTGCCGCTGCTTAGGTTTCGTGGTAGCCAGGGCAGTTTATCTTGTTTTACTCCATGTTTGTTATACTGTTTCATCCGAATATCGAGTCATTACCTTGTTTCTTGTTCTCCCAATCTTATGAGGTTTGCTCCTGTCGACATTTTTACGAACCAACATGGAAAATGCTGGAAGACACGAGACGTACGTACATACTGCAGAGACTTGCGCATCAAACATCGCCACGGAACAACGGATGTGAGAGAACGGATTCTTTGTTTATGAAAGCGAAAGACATTATGCATTATCCTATATTAGATGCCTCCAGTAAATACCCAATGAACAAGGAACGGCCCATGCTCCTCGGGGGTTCGATGAACGGGTCGAGACCAGGTGGTCAGAGAAATCTCAGTTCTCAAAATAAATCCTCCATTTTCTTTATACACGGTCGACCACACGCATGCCATGCTGGCCAGTGGGGACCAACTGACGCTTTTACACTCCATAAATCAGCGGCTGGCTCTCTGGTCTGAGTCGCAGACTTCGTGGGCAAAGCAATGCCGACTGCAACGACGACGTCTTATCCCGGCATGCAGAGCTTGCCGAAACCATCACAATATACTTTTTGCAGTCATTTCGCTGTTTCACCGCACTGCTCATCGGCTTGGGGTGTTTCTCAAGCAGAGCGTCGGCAGCCCCTTCGTTGGACAAATGCTTGACTAGCCCGCCCTCCGCCTTCGTCCACCCGGACCGTCATGTCTTCAGAAGACCCACCGCCGACCGCGGCCACCACACAAAGACAATCGGCGGCTGCAAGCCGTTGCCCAACTGGGACAGCACTTGGAGAACCTCCAGCGTCCCAACAAACCCCAGGGAAGAGGAGCAATGGAACCTGCAAGCGCCGGGGTTGGGCACATACGCCTCCTCGAGCTGGGTGACGGCTCCTGCCCTACCTGCTGCGTGTCCCATCTGTCGGGCGGGAATTGGACAAACGATTCGTGGGGGGATAGTCATACGAACCATCTTCCTATGATGGCTTCCGGATGTTGTGCCACATTCTTGGAGATCTGCAGTGGAGAAACTCCTTTGGAGAGGAAAATTATCTTACCCACCTTGTCCATCTTGTCCAGCTTGTCCCATGCGCCAGGCGCGCATCCACCTCTTCTCAACGTGCTAGCACCGGAGAATTCTACAAACCAGAATCGGCGAGCCGATTGCGTACCAATATTTATAATACGAGGCTTGACATGATATTGAGCGAACACGCGCTGAATTAAAGTTATTTGGCCCCCGGCACCCGCATTCGCGACCCAACGCACGCGCGTCCCCGCAGCAGTTCCGCCAGCCGTAATGGGCAGACTTTCGGCAGCAGAAATTGCCTCTCGCATTGTTGCGACGAGCCCATGAAACCCGCTCAGGGCATGTAGCATTTGGTGCTTGCATGATCGCTACATTCAATGCAGGCACGTGCGCGCCCGTCAAAGATGGCCTGTCCTATGCATCGCCGGCTGTGGGAATGGTCGCTCGGTTGCCGTCACTTGCTGCCCAGCGCGTTCTTGGGGTTGCTGCTTGCTGGTACAGCAAGATTTCGTTTCCTGCAGCTTTCTTCAAACGCTCTGTATGGAAAGCGAGGCCAGGATATCAGGAACCAATTTATAAAGCATATGATTTCGGCTCTACGTACTTGATCATTACGTATTGCCTACCGCAAACCCCATTCACATGTTCGCCGTGTACCCTCTATGCTCCGCCAGTGCCGCCTTGATCCTCTTTGTACCAGACTTGGTATCTTCGACTTTTCGTACATGACTCTGCCCTGCGGCCTGAACAAAAGAAAAAGAGCACCAATTTCAGAAAAGAACAAAGACCTAAGCCAAGCAGGAGTAGTGGTACAGGAGCCTCCGCTCTAGACGCTGTCGTCGCTAAGGTTGAACTAGTTTTCAATTTCCTTCGGCAAGTTGCCCTCCTCGTCAATGACCTTCCACTGCTTCCAGCTCTTCTTGTCGCGGTAGAAGCCCTCAACGTCAACAACAGCGCACTTGGGCGTCCTCCTCTTCGACCAGATCTCGAAAGTGACGTCGTGCAAGTCCGCAGTGGAGATGCGGACATTGACTCCATCCGCGAAAGAGAGGTCCCAGCGCAAGAGGTCGTAGCGAGCCTGAGAGCCGTCGTTATGCAAGGATGTGTACTCGATGCAGAGCAGATCCAGCTGCAAACGCGGATGGTCGATATCAAAGGGGTACCTGTTCAGGTAGGACCAGAGGTCCGTGGTGCTGATCTTGACAATGCGGAGGGTCTTGCAGTGCGCCTCAAGGAGTTGGCGCAGCGAGTAGTCGTAGTACAAGGTCGTTTTGTTGCTATCAATAGTAATCGAGAGGGACGTAAGGTGCTTGAAAGGCATTTCCCCCAGTGTCTGGGTCGCGACCCGGAAGTACTCGGCTCGTGATCCATGCTCAAGTGGAGTTGCCGGACCTTGGGGAATCGGCGCAGGTAGGCCGCGAAGTCGGAAGGCCTGAGGCAGGTGTAGCGCCTCTTCTCAAACTTGAAAGAAAGAGATGGTATGTCCAGGGTCGGGAGAAACGGAAAGAAGAAATCAATACCCGTGTGGCGGTCGTAGCAGCAGCGTATGTCGGGAAGCTCGAGATGCCAAAGGGCTGGCAGTTCGCCTTTCAGAGTAGCGAGCACGTAGTGCACCACCTCCACGGCATGACAGATGCCGGTCTCTAGGTAGAGATCATGGTAGGGGTGATACAGATCCTCGTCGTGGTTCTTGGAAATGCCTTTAATCAATGTCACGAACAAATCCGGGACGTGTTCCTGGTTATCGTAATACTGACTAACCATCCCCATAAAGTAGCCGGGGTAGAGGGTATGGGTAATTGGTTGCAAAAAATCCAGCGGTCCGTCGTGAGTAATCTCAAGGCTTTCGAGGTTTTGTCAGACCTTTGAGCACACGGGACAACAAGTCGATGTCTCCTCCGGCCTTTTCAGCAGCTTCCTTCATACGTCGGTGAGCGAGGTAGTACTCCTGGTACTTGTCCAAGGCCATATATAAGATGGCCTGGGAGCCAGTACAGTCTTGAGCTACCGTTGTGAGCGCCATCATCAAATAGGCTCTCGGTATGGATGCGTTGATAACCAGTCTCTTGATGGCAGGAGCAACAACAGGGCTCTGCGCAAAGGAGAGAAGCATCCTCATCTGATCGGGAAGGAACCGGATTCCCTTGTTGGTTACAGCTATGGCAAAGTGGCGCAGGATGCTGGCGCTGAGGGAGCGGCAAACGAGTCGGATGTTGCAAATGGCTCTGAGGGACTTGTTGCTGATGATGGACATGTAGCTCTGACCCTCACGGTGCGTCGCGCCGACAACGTGCTCAAAGATCATGCTGTGAATTTCGGGGGGGAGGTCGTCGAGCATTCTGCGGCGGGAGTACCGAATGGGCGGATCTTCGAAAGACATCGTGGTGGTTACTGAAGAAGAATGAAGGAAAGAACCGAGAGCAGTTGTTCAGCGAGGAGAGGCTGAGAGATCTAGGCCGGCGTTGGGGAGAACAAAGCAAAGGCTTGCTGCCAAAGAGATATTTGTAGGCCCGTTCATGACTAAGCTGCCTTAGCACGCCCTAACTACAACGACCCTCCTTGTGTTTAAACTTAACACGCGCCTCGCCTTCTTAACTGCGACCCGACATTCAACTTTCAAAACACAAAGTCAGCGCCGCTTTCGTCCAGCCAGCTTCTCGAACTTAAAGCCTAAGTACCAAACGCCAACAACCTCCCGAAACTCGTCATGGAAAACATCCCTGTTGACATCTTGTACGAGTTTTTCAACGCCGTCACAAATTATAAATCGCGTACGGACGTTCCCCTTGACAACAACGAAATCGATGATGTATTCAACCTTCGCTTAGTCTGTCGTGGCTTTTACCAAACCGCATGGACTGTCTTCGCCAAGGCTGTCTCCAGCAAGGTATTCCGACCCACTACAGGAGATTTAGCCAAATTGAAGATGGCCTCACAGGTGCCGATCCTTGCTCGGACAATCACGACGCTTACCTTCTCCACAATTGTTCCTCGTCGTTCAATCCTCGACGCGATTTGCTATGTGATCAGACATGCACCTCCCGACTATGATGCCATTCTGCCGATACACGAAATCGAGCGTATCGAAGAGGAATACGAGGTGGTCTACAAAATCCTCATAAAATCCTACTGGGCGGAGTTCAAAATACTGCTCCCGGCAGCACTGAGCAGCTTCAAAAGGCTCAGAACCATCAACATCAAGAACGAGAGAGTCGAATTCCTGAGCACTTTTGTCGACTTCCCCACTCCCTACATCCAACACGGTCTCCAGGGAGCAATCTGGAACATATTTACCGGGCTTATTGATCGCTCGTACCCGACCGAGGCATACCTGATCAGGGCACTCCTCAGTGACCATGTCTTGCCCGCCCTCTCCAACATTGAGAGCCTTCACCTCCCGGAAATCGGCTACTATCTCCAGCCCTTTCACAGATCTTTCGGCAACCCAACTCCTGCGTCCCTGCAAAACCTGCGAAAGCTAGATATCACGATTGACACCATGCGACGCAACGAATTCGGACCTCTAAGGGGCAGGGTCTCGGATCCCAAAAGCATCGCAAGATTCATCGGCCAGCTACGTGGCCTGAAGGTCCTAAAAATGACGTTCAGCGACAACTCCTGGCCATTAGAAGCTCTCCAGGACATGCAAGATTTCGTTCGACTGCCGCTGCTCGAAGAGCTCTCTCTCAAGTTCGTGGTGTACGTCCAGCACCTGACCGAGCTGTGCGGATTCCTCCAGAACCATGCCCGAACCCTCCGCCGCCTAAGCATCGGCTTCGACAAGGTCACCATCCCAGTGTGGCCGCTCCTGCGGCATCGAATCTCGCAATAACGCTGGACACCTTGTTCATCGTTGATCCCTGGTTCATGCAGGTGAGACATCCCACTCTTCACCAGATTCGTCTTTGGAATGCGCCTTTCCGGCCCTTTGCGGATAGGATCTTTATCAGCCAGCACACGCGTGAGAGCCACTTCTACGGTCCACTCCTACCGAAGAACCTTGGAGTGTACGAGCTCTGGACGGGCAGAGTTAAGAAGGGCGCGGAGCCTTGGTATCCGGAGCCAATGAGGCATCTTTATCCTTATGAGAACTACAAGCCCCTGGTTAGTTCCACATGGTTGGACGATTGGTACTAGTGGCCTCAGGTCTGCCTTTGTGTCGAGCATTACGTTCGACTGTCAATGGCAAGCATCGCGACGGTGGCGGTGTTGACGCGTCTTCCTTGATGGCCGCGTTTCTCTTTCAATCCTTTTCCTTTGTTGGTTTTTTCCTTTCTCGAGATCGGGCCCTGGGCGTGCGCGGGCTGACTTTGGATGCATAATTCTCTTTGCTGACCTCTGTGCCATCCCGCCGGTCATTGTCAACTGGATAAGCGCAAGGCGTGCGCGGGCTTGTAAACTAGAATGGTAAACTCTCCTACAGATTCTCTTCTAAAAAAAACCCTCATTTGCTTACACTTTGTCTGAGTGACCTGGGTCCAAGTCTGGTTTTCTTCCCGTTCTGAGCAGCCGAAGTTCGAACAGAACATGTCTGGGCAATGCCGTTTGACGACAAGCGGCTTAAGGCCCATCTACCTTCGAAATCATGTGCGCTTACAAATACCAGGTCAGTTCTGCAAAGCGGTTTGCCCGTCGACGTGGCGAAGCTGCGGCTTTGGCTTTTTTGGTGGAAAATTGTCCACCGGGCCACCAAAGCACCGAAAGCGCTGGTCTTTGGTTGCGACATAAATGGCAAACAAGTGCTTGTCTCTGGGTCAGGTAAAGTTTGCGCGATCATTTTTCGAAGTGGAACAACAGATTTCTTTGTTAGGGTGTGCTGATTTGTTGAAATGTAGCTACTTTGTCCGCTCATGAAATACTCCCCAGAAGCTCAGAAGAAGCCCATCAGCTGCTTTATAATACGTTTCGCATGCAGGTCTTGACTGTCAGACTTCCTCGCCCCATAAACTACGACGTGACTCCAATAGCGTTTATATATCTTCTTCACCATGGACTGCTCTCTACGATTTAGCCTTTCGAGTTGCAGTATTTATTGCCTTCGACAAAAGGCTGTCCCCCTTAAGCTTTTATTCTTGGGTTCTTTACTCTTGCAAATGCTACCTAGCCTACCGAATATCTTCCCACACAGCCTAGCCTACCACCCATGTTAAGAGCCGGCTTGCATTGTCATGCATTGTTACGTCATTCTCTTGATACAACGCTACGTTGTTCATATGTTATCTCTACTGTATAATAACACAAACAATTGACGAGTGCATCGCAAAGACAGACCACTCAGATCTCTTAAGCGCCATCGGTTCATACACAGACTCTTACCCAGAGACTAGCAAAAACGAACTGCTCAGATCTGTCGAACTTCCACGATATACACGCAATGGACAAAGTATCAGAAGACCTCCTCCCTGAGATTTTTAAGTATCTCGTTGACTTTTACGAGGTACCGTCAGATGTTATCAGAGAGTTCCCAAAGAGACATTTGCAATGTCCGCATGGTTAACCGCTCTTTCTACGTGTCGTCTTGGCCAGTCTTCAGGCACGCCGTTTTCGACAAGCCGTTCAAGTTCACCCCCGACAGCCTGAACCACCTAGAGCAGGCTGCTCACCATGAGCGACTCGGCCCTCTTACGAAAACCGTCATGTTTGTCACCGTTCAACCACACAAGTCGGTACTGGCAGATCTGTCAACGATTCGCGAAAGGCCACCCTACGTGACGGAGAACCATCCCAGTTATTTTGAGGAAGTGTACCAAGCCTACTCCAGGTACACACTCGCATTCAGAAAGAAGGACAGCCTGACTTCGCGCGTTACGGCAGTCCTTTCCCAGCTCCCCGCAATCGCCAATATCAAACTGGTTCCGACGTGGTGTCGGCTCCCGCTTATGGGAGACAAGTACTTGGAGCACTGTTTCGCCACCGAGTTCAAGAAGCCTCCAGAGTTCAGGGCGAGGTCAACCAACATCATCCTGAAGGTTCTCAAGGACCTCTTTGACCGGGCGCTTACAACCCTTGAGCTTCCCCCCATGCGTCTGGACCGGGGCCCTTTCCGGGACTTGCACAAGTTGAATCCGATGAGGGTTTCCAATCTCAAGCTCGACCTTTGCTTCGACAGGACGCGTGACCCCAGGCACAGGCACTACGAACAAAAAATGCGGGATTTCTTGATGCTCTTCCCGGATTTGAAGAACCTGCGGTTCTGGCTCCACTACTCAGACAAAAGGAGCACTCTGCCAGAGTATCCGTGGTTTTGCCAGCCAGCTCTACGGGCCGCCAGATCAAGTTCCCTGTCACTGGAAGAGTTGACCCTGGTCTGCTATCCATGCCCGCTGTTATCCTCGGTACCAGACATCTGCGAGCTTCTTCGGAGCCTGTCAAAGACTCTACGGCACCTGAAGCTGTCCCTCAGGATGTTGTCTACCAGATGGCACACGTTGTTCACTACTATCAAGCAATACTTGGAACTGGAAACTCTTTACATCGAAGCGCCGCGTCATATACGTGTGCAGTCTTCCAACAGCGTTCCCATTCACAGTATTATGAACCACATGGAAGGGCCGCCTTTGGCAGACCGGGTCTACGTTGCTTCTAGTGCCAGCAGCCGGACCGACGTAGATGTTATGGATTCGCCAGGTCTTTTCACCGATGTCGCCAAGCGTGCAGACTACGAGCTGTGGAACGGACGTTCCCCTCGTAACCGCGAGGTCTGGGATCCGCAACTTCTTCAGATCAGGCCTCCCAATTCGACGGTCGGATCCGGTCGGTCAGTCCGTTTGATTATGTAAGTAATCAGACCGACGGGTTGTAGGCTGCCCGACCGAGGGAGGGTTTGGGTCGGTCGGTCGGGCAGTCGAAATGGGATTGTTTAAGCGTGCACAAACCATGCAACTGTGCTGACCGTTTGCTGGTTGCTATTTGCTATCGCTGTTTGTTTTGAACACGTGGCTAGAAGGTTCACGTGTGAGTATTTTGTTCCTTTTATTATCCAGCTCTTTAGGGATGACCTCTCCAGAAGATAGTTTCAATCAATCGACTTTCCACTCGCACCGCTTCTCTGAATAATTTAATAGATTGAAAACATGTTTTTGTAATCTCTTCAGCTGTTGATCAAGGGCGATAGTTCATTTATTAGATTTTTTGACTGTTAGGGAAGGAAAACAGACGCACGAATTCATTTTTTTCCTCAGGTTATTAGAACCTCATTGCGAAAGCTTGATCCATAAACTTGTGACTAACATTCAAGATAAATTTAAACACCGAACCATACAGTATTCGTCGTAATGGCGACTCAGATGCCGACAGTTCAGCACCCAAAGGTTGCGCGAAAAAGTCATCTTACTAACACATTGTCCTGCCAAGTGACGATACAATGTTAGTTTTCGGCGGGGTATAATTTCTGGGCCGCGGCTGCTTTCCCAAAACAACTACTCACCCGCTCCAAACGCGCACTTCAACCAACGACCACCAACCTTCTGCACCGCGCCGCTTCAACGCTTTCACATAACCTCTTCCTAAGCTTAATACTGCGACAGCCATGCCGAGCTTCCGCGACTTTCGCAATGTGGCTGTGCTCGAGCAATTCGGCAGGATGGGCAGGGAACCTCCCGGCCGGGACTGGAAAAGCATCTTCAACCAGCTCATGCACGATCCTGACGCAGCGTACCAAAGAGTACCCAGGCTTCCTAACGAGCTATGGCTATTGATCTTTGAGCAGCTTCCGATCAACTTCGAAGAAGGCGATCATGGCTACACCTTTGACCAGCTTATCGATTTGCTGACGGTACGGCGCGTCAGTCGGCCATGGTACCAGCTTTCCATGGACACTTTCATCAAAGCGATGATGAAGAGGCCTTTCAGGATCACTCCGGTTGACCTTCTCTTCTTGGACATGGTGACTGACGACGGCGGGCCGGCCGTCCACACCAAGGAGTTGCTCTTCAGCTCCCAATTCCCGAGCGGTCGACTTCTCAACATCTTGCAGAAGTCACTCAGCAACAAGAAGATGACTAAGGGCAACGACAACTGGATTAAAAGACTATGTCAGAGGTACCAGGTATTGCAAGAGGGCACTACCTCCGTCCTCCACAACGGTTTCCAATTCCGGGTCCCGCTGCTCGAAACAATACTGTGCAAGCTTCCTGAGCTTGTCAGCATCCGCGTTGTCAACGATCACAGACTCATGATGGGACTTAAGGCTCCGGATATAATCAAGGGGAGACTAATCCTCGAATGGGTGCGGAAGGGCTTGCGGTATTCCAAATACTCTCAGCTAAACTACCATTTGGGCAACGGAACTCCCGTGCCGTTTATCATCTGCGAGGCACTCCGCGGTGCACAATGTCGCGTACAGACACTCTCGCTGCCACTTGGATACCGCAACGGTATTCTTCCGGTCTTTACCCATGAGGAGATGGCCGCCCATGCGCACAGGAATGGCTGGGAACTGGAAAAGGTCCCAGATTTCTATCTAGCTCTCGATGCGCTAACATCTTCGACTACTCTACGCCACTTAGACCTGGACTTGTGGTTTCCGCATTTGTTTAACAGCGACTTAGTCAGAGCCTTGGCCGACTGTTCAACTCTCCGGTCACTGTGCATCCGCTCCCGCGAGAGCATCCAGTTCTTGCAGCACATGTCGCTCATGAACCCTCAGCTCCCTCTGACCTCGTTTACCGTGGATCTGCACCAATGCACACAAGACGACGATTTGGAGAGTCTCTTCAACATGCTCATCCTACTAGGCCCCACGCTGATGCATCTATCCATTGCAATCAGCCAACGCCCCCAAGAAGACTGGAACGACCTCTTCCAGGTCCTCGGGAACGCCTGCCAGCTCGACACGCTTTACTTCGAGTTCCCTGTTTGGCGTAGACACCCCTCGGAGCCCGTGAGAACGGCAAACCTCCCTCCGATCACTGTCGCCAAGCGCATCCGTGTCAGCGTCTACTACGACACCCCTCCTCCTGGGGACGATGGCGACCGCTCAATGGATGTCGGCTTCGAGCTGCGCACCCCTTGGTCGCCTAGTTATCATGAGGTCTGGAATCCGCCGCGCATCGTGCGGCCCGATACGCAATACCTCTGAAGGGAACTTCTGGAGGCGGCCAGACGGGCACACGGGTACCCATGGTGGGGCTCTGGGGGGTTCTTGCTCTGCTCTTTCAGTCGGCTTGTTTGCTCTTTATGGCTTTGTGTTTCCTTTGTCCGCGGCGTATACCCCCCTCTTTATCACCCCAGCACCTTGCTCTGCGGAGCTCCACTGCGTCTTTCCCCTAATACCGTACGAACCGCGTAGCGCGGTGTAATGCTCTTCTTAGTCCGGCTTCATGCGCATTTTGTGCGGCTGGATGAATGCCCCTCTACGCGTGCACGGTTTCATGCACGCACTCCCCCATCCCCTTTTCTTTTGTAGAAATTAGATTGAAAACCATATCCCATAACTTCTTCCTCTTCTTGCTACGTGATTCCATGTCTTCAGCCAGGGCGACTCTTTCAAGCACGGCTTCAAATACAATGAAACTGCCTGAAACGCGGCATATACCTTCCTGTGCCTGTTTAGTTATGTATAGCTGAGTGGATTCTTAATGGTCTACATGTCTCCGCTCTCCACATATCCATGCTCGCCCTTTGCCGCTCGGATATTTACACTCCTTGTAATCGTAATTACTCTCTATTATATCGCACAACACCTCCACGAATCTTTACAAAGCCGTCCTAACTTATTCGAAAATAGTAACTAATCAAACATCTCAACCCTTCTCTCACAAAACAACCTCCACCCTCCTCCGTCTATTATATCCTCTTAATAAATATGTATATCCTCTTTAAATATACCTATAACTCCTCCCTATACCTCTACGCAATACGTCCGTTAATCCGAATAAAGTATTCTAAGCTACGAAAACAAGATGTGTATGCGCTAAGGGCTGGGACGGAAGTGCGTTTGTGTGCTATATTAGTGACAGTAAGTTCTGAGAGAGAGGCGTGTATGCGACGAAGGTATAGGAGTAGGTATGTATTAAGAAGCACCTGTACCCACCCGAAAAAGAAACTATCTACGCCGCAAACCCACCCAGCCCTGCCCAAACCCTCTACGAGTCCTCCCTCCGCACAACCAACCCCACAAGCCCACCAACAAGCTCTACGGGGCCCCCCACCATCTCCCCGACCCCCTCCCTATTCACCACCACCCGCTCCTCCTCCGTACACCCCTCCCAGCTCTCCCTATTCGCATGATTCGCATCCATTACCTCCCGCACAATCGTCTCCAGCACGCCATGGATGCGCACGCCATTCTCGAACGCCTCAGCCGTGGCGCAGCGAGGGTCTGCCTCAGTCCCGATGCGGTGCGGCGCGTATGCGCAGTCGGGACAGTAGAGAGGGGAGGACATTTGGTAGGGTTGCGGCGAAAGACAGTTGATGGCGCTGCAGGCGGTTGTGGGCTGGAAGGTGCCGTGGCCGCAGGTGAGGTAGTGGTAGGTTTGGTGGCAGTGGATGTGGACGAGGGTGAGGATGGGGGTGGGGGCGGGTGAGGTGGTGTCGGCGATGGGGGGCAAGGGCTTCACTTCCTGCTGCTTAGTTGTTAGTGAGAGTTAGAGGATGGTGGACTGAGGTGGAAGCGTGCTTACCTCAGACGAGAGAGCATTTCCGACGGCGAGAGAGCTCGGACGAGGCGCCGTGGTGGCGTGGCCCGCGGTGCTGCTGGTTCTCTGCATATCCGGACGCGGCGAGCCGGCGATCGTGGGGCGGGGCGCGAGCGGGAGCGCGAGAGACGTGCTCCTTGAGCGAGGGTGAGACGGATTGGTCTGTTCGTCGTGCTGAGGCATAATGAAGCTTTAGGCTCAGCGTGGTTGCGCGTGATGCGTGGTGAGGGTGTATGGTACTGTAGTGGATCTGTGATGGAAAAGGGTGGGTGAGGAAGGAACGTGAGGAGCAGAGGGATGGGTATTAGTAAATTAGTGTTAAATGCGCGACGTCTTGCTATGACGCGTGGGGGGGGGGGGGAAAGGCGTGCGCCTGTGTAGTGTCTGGGCATGTTACTTCTTAAACAACTTCTGTGCTATGCGGCAAACGCATAGAACAAGCGGATTTAGTAGTAAATGTTAAAGACCTTCGTCGATAGCTTTGTCTTTCTTTTAAGAAAGCTCTTCCCACTGCTGCGCAATGCACTTATAAGATCGCATCTATCACTTCCAAAGCTCTTAGGTCCTTAGACAGAGAGAGGCACTTCTCATACCCGCACAAGCACAACATACAACCACGAACAGACTGAACCCCTCATACTCCATTCACATTAACAAGAGCTTATCCAGCCCTTCTAGCCCCCCAAACCGCTGCACCGCGCATTACGCGCCAAACCCAAAAGGCGCCAATTCGCCCAGCCATCGCGCCCAAAACCCAAAGCCAAAAGCCAGACGCGCAACGCACACCATCGCCGACAGCCTCTTAGGCTCTGGACCCCACAGCCTCACAACCATCCGGCCTTGCGAGCCTCACGACCGTTCGACCTGCGGCCTCACGGCCATCACCCCCTAAGCAGCCTCCTCCTGCGGCACCCTACGCATGCTCAGGCCGAGGTAGTAGGTGACGCGCGCGTTCCAGTACTTGATCATGGCCCAGGTGGCCAGGAAGACGAGGGCGCCGACGGCGAAGAGGATGATGACGAGTTTTTCAGAGGAGTTCATTGTTGCGGTGGTGGTGGTGGATGTGTGTGGTTGTTGTTGTTGTTTTTGTTGTTGTTGGACTTAGGAGAGTTGGGGACGCAGGACGGAAACGCCTTGTTTGTTTGCTTGCTTTCTTGCTCGAAGTTGAAATCGTAGAGTCTACTCAGTCGCGCGCAGTGTCAGCGTCAGTGTACGCACACAGTTGAACGACAAGGAAGCGGGAATACGGCTTACACTTTGCGGTATCGTGCAGGCCACAGGTTAAGATTCAGGAAGAAGAGTCTTTGGATGCTGTTGTGGTTGTGCGCGTCAGAGCACCGTGTAGCAGCAGGTCGGGAGATTTAAGTGCGCTGGCGCAAAAACACCGGCGAAGCAGGGCGGCTGTTGACGCCAAAACGCCGTGCATTCACGCGGACGGTCTTAACACGGACAGGCGGGTTGCGTCATGTCATGTCGTGGTCGCGGCGCTGTGGCGGGCGCTAGTGTGAGGTGCGTAGTGGTGATCGCCCGGGTGTGGTGCGGTCCGCGGATGTCGCCGTGCGTGCGGGGGTGAGTGAGTGATGGGCGTGGGCGTGGGCGTGCGGCGTGCTGACGCTCTCTGCTGCTGCGGTACTGCGGCGGCTTCGAAAGCTGTGCTTTGATAGGTAGGAAGTGCTGTTCCTGCGTTGGGTGGAGGAGACGGCTTTGTTTGGGGCCTTTGTCGCCGGATGGCTTGACGGCTTTGTGCCGTGGCTGTGGAAGATTCGAGCACTGTCGCACTGAAGCATAGAGGAGGCTGTGGCATGTTCGTCTTACGAAGAGAATCTAATTGAAATTCATAAACTACGTCTAGAAGCTGCTAATGAGAAGCAGGTTCAGTGGATACGCCTCTGCAAACGATTATACGAACATAATCAAGGAAATCCATTCCGTACAACCCTTAAACTGCTTCGATATGCCATACCTGCCTCAAAGCTCCACTCCCTCACAACCGCACACTGTCACATCAAGACTACATCCCTACTCTATTTCCAGCGGCTCCGCCAGCACGCACACACCCACCCCAACCCTTCCTCACTCGCACACACACTTATCCACCACACCGCCGTACACGCCGTGTCGTCTTCGGCCGCAACCTACGCAGCAGCACCCATTCCCAACGTCGCGCACATCGAGCGCGCGGCCTCACGCCGCGAGAAGTCGACGTGCTCTGCGACCGCCGTGCTCGAGCTTGTGCTCGTGCGTAGCGGGCAGGGCGTCCGTATGTTGCTGCGTGCAGAGCGGCGGGGACGCTGGCGGCGCGCGGGATGGGGAGGAGGGGAGTGGAGGGGAGGGCGTGCTAGCTTATTCTGCTAGGATGAGTGAGCGCTTGCTGAGCGGCTGCTGCTGCGTATATAAGTGGTGGTTTGTGCCTTGCCCGGTTTGCTCGGGCTGCTGGGTACTGGGTAAAGTTTTAAGGCTGGGCATGTGCTAGTGTTGTTCGTGTGCGGGCTTCTTCTGTGTTGTGAAGGGTTAGACTGAGTCGAGAGTTTGACGTTTGTAGTGTTTGGTGTTTTTTGACGAAGGTTATGCTTTTTGTTTGCTTGTTGTTGTGTCGGGTATTTCTCGATTGTTCTTGCTCGTGCGGTCCTTCCACGACTGTCCTCACTGTTCCGAATGCAAGCCATGCGGAGCTTACATGCCTAGTACTCACCTGGTCCTCGTCGCGGCGCTGCTGAAAATATTGAAGGAAGCCCTGCTCCGCGTCGGGTTGTGCGGGGGTGGTAGCTTTAGAACAAGCGCCGCATGCACTCTCGTCCGCTTGGAGATCTGTAACCGCCGCTTGGTATGTCGAAAAGCGCATTTCGGTGTTGTCGGTATTGTAGAGCTTCGAGGGGAGCAGGCAGGTGGGTACAGTGGGGTTTTCCTAAGGCAACGAAGTCTCAAGTCAGGTCCTGGAAGTCTTGTTCAGAAAACTCCTTCGGCCAAAACCAGCAACACTGGAAGGTATACCACATTTTCTAGCCTCCCGGGCGGCACAAGCCAGCACGTCCTCTCTACTACTGTGTTCTTACGTTAGTGAGGCGCGTGGGAAAAACGAAAGCAGTGAGACTCACCACAGTGACGCATCTGTTAAGTCGCAATGTCAGAGTAAGATCGCGTAACATTTTGCTGAACTTCTGTCTTTTGCAGAGGACTCTCGAAGCCTGTAGGTAGACAGCACTGACTTGCATTTGGCGAAGTCGGTAGATACGAGGGTAGCAGCGCGTTGAAGGATGCCGCGGAGGCTGGAGACAGTGGTGTGTGGAAAGGCGGCCTTGCCCTACTGCTGCGGGATGTGATGTCGCAGGATATGATGCGCGTGCTTGATGGTGGTGATGCGGAGTGGAGGAGACGTTGTTCAAGTGTGGTTGGCGGGTGGGATGACGAATGGCGAGTGAGTTGGGACGTTAGATGCTTATGGTTTGGGAAAGACGACGTGGAAGCTGGAGTTGAAAAGATGGTGGGCGCGGCAAAGCAGTGAAGCTGTCGAGGACGCGGGGATGCGGATGGCCGGCTATCGAGCTTCCCAGCAGGCTGTCGAGCTCTGTGTCTGGCACGCGGTCGAACTGACTGACGGGGCGACGGGGCGACAGGGCGACGGTAAGTGGGAGCTTCTCCAATACGTGGGCAAAAAGAAAGTAAGGGCACACCCGAGATTCGAACTCTCAACCGCGGAGTTTTCCAAAAACGGCAAAAAAAACTGGTAGTTCTACTTGATTAAGCGTGTCATCATTAGTGCAGGGGCTATGCTAATTTTCTCTGTATCATTTCAATTTGACCAAAGGTGCCCGAAGGCGAAAAACTTTCTCGCTGGGAATAATTATAACGCCTCTTCTCTGCTGGTGGGGCGGGAGGGGGTGATGCAGCGCCGGTGCGGTGCAGCTATCGCTGTTAAATCTCGATGTTCCCGTCAGCTATAACAATGTCTAAATTTCGACTCCTTCGTCAAGATCAAATCGCAACCTGCACCATTCCGAGTCCTTCTTTTCCAGTCAACATGCCTATACGAGAAGCTCATGGGCGGCGCTGGCGCGGCGCGATTGCCATGCTCCACTACGGAGACTTTATGGAAGCTTTCATGCGGTTGTTTTAGCCTCATTGATTCCTATTCGCTCACAGCTTGAGCCTTGTCGACGCGTTGATCTTGCGCTTCACCCAGGCCAGACGCCTCTCTCCTCAACCTACGTGCCCGAAGCTTAAAGATGGCATGACAGCACCTGTACTGACAGCACCAACAGCGCCATGTCACAACCTCTCCGATCCGATGCAAGATATGTCACTCACCGCCGTCCATCCATTAACACTGCGCGACCGTCTCACTGAACGTCGAGTGTCCGACCGCAGAGAGCAAAGCTACTAGCCGCTGACAGGTCGAGCTCAAGCAGAGGTCCTTCAAAACCTTCACCACTACGTTCAGGACTCGGTGCACGCACGTACCAGACCACACAGGCATAGTTAAGGGAGCCGCTACAGCAGCCCTGCTCTTCATACACGGCCTCAGAAGGAGCTAGACGGGGGAGAGGAGTTCTGAGCGACAGGCGGTTCAGCCTGCTTCGGGACACAGGATACCAGGTCAAGGGGCTGACAACAGTATGCCCGCAGACTTTGAAAGCGCTTTATATATCCTAAAGGCCAAGTATATTCCAGTGACTCTTGTGCATCCACCGAAGATCAGCCAACGTGATCGAATTTCAAGGTCGCTTTATCCGCTCACCATGGTCTTTTCTTCAGCAGCGTGGCATGGCATGGGAAACCACCATCACCAGTCTCCCGCGCGACCTGCTGCGGGTCCGCCATGCTCAAGCCGCGCCCGCACCCCGAACTATCCAATTCATCGTACGCCAGCGGCAGCACCGTTCCAATTCTCCCATCCAGATCGCCCAAGTCAACATGTCTCTCACCGCGCGCGCCCAACTCAACGAAGACAATCCTCACGATGTCACCGTCGTCCCACACTTCTACCCTAGCCGCCTCAGAACGTCACCTTCCTCGCCCCAGTCATGTCATGCAGCTACTTCCGCCAATTCATCGTCTGCGGACGAGCCCTACACCACCATAAAGGCTGAAAGTTTGCCAGGAACAACCTCTTTGTGAGTCGTCCCTCCAGCGAGCCGTACACTACTACAAGTACTAACAGAACCTCGACAGACTCAGTAGTAGCCATGCCGGAGCGAGCGCAATTAGTTACACAAGGACGAGACCGATCTCGCGCTTAAGCACCTCCGCGACATGCTCCACAAAATTACGAGTGCGTCACCCACGGTCAGAAGCAGATATGCCCGCACCTTCTCACCCTAAGCAGGTCTCGGAGGTCGCATGCGCTACTCTATACGTTTTTCGCGTCAGATACGAGTTAACGGGGATAACAAAATGGCATAATGCTGCCATCGGGGTACCTTAAGGCGGGCACACCGCCGTCCTCAGCGTGCTCGCGAGTCGCCAGCACCGGAGAGGGAGCGAATTGCATAACTATCAGCCTACAGACTTCCCAGGCGGCTGCGATGCCATGCGCATGTTGAGACAAGGAGGCTTGCGCATAGTCTCGCATGCTGCAGTAATGAGGTCGGGAAACAAAACTTTCGTGTTGTTTGGAATGCATGGCGGAAGGAAGAAGACTGTATGACTTGAAGCCAGTAGCCACTCAAAGACAAGACGGAAACTGATCTTACCTCTCTCCATAATCCCTGGATCCGAAATCAAAATTAGCTGCTTCCGCTGTACCGCAACCTCCCCCATGCAGAGCCTCACATCCTGATTCCAAAAGGCAGGATTTATCGTCGAAGAGCGTCCTCGTTCCCACGAACCGCATTTTCCAAAGCTCTGCACGGCCTGTCTTTAAGATGTTTGCAAATCTCACCTTGTGACCTTGCACCGTGGGCTAATGCTCTTCCACGCCGAACGATGGAGATAGCGGTTACTATGGCTATCAGGCAAGTCATGGGTGGGTTCTCGATAGTGAACTTTCCAGCTCAGTAATGCGCTCCAATGTGAACCCGAGATTTTGTCTTCGCGTAGTTTCCTATGATGATGGTTGTCTTAACTACTCTACCACGGTGATTGTGATATTCCGTTAAACCGTTTATAGTGTATTTCGCGCCCAGCGCTCCGAACCTACCTGCTAGTGCTTAGTCTCTTAGACTTCAAAGCCGCTGGGACTTCAATAGCCTAATAGCAGGAAGAATGAGGTAATAAATGTGCCTCCAGCTATTGTTTCAAATGCATAGAGAGTAGACATTTCTTGTAAGGCTTCAGTAATCCAGACATTGCTAAATACACTTGCTCATGCATCTCTCTTCGAAAAGAAGCTCCTCCAGCCTAGCTACCGGCCCCTAACAAGCACCAACCGCAGCAGCACAGCCAGCAATGACGTACCGCGCTTCCACATGCTTCTCCCACACGCCAGACGCTTCCATGCCCTTCTCCTAAGACGTCACACCCCCTCGCTTAGCGCCCGCAGCGCACGCACGGACCCTCTACGCAGTCTATATAAACGCCTTTCCCCACCGCCCCTCCTCTTCTTTTTTTTTTCTTCAGTTCTCTTTGCCTTTTGGCTTAGATCTAAATGCAGTATCTGTTCTTGCTTAGTTTAATCGCTGGCAGCCCCCTACGGAGGTGCATTCGTAATTAACAGTTTTTGGAACTCGCCTGGTGCCTGTCCTAGCTTGCTAGGCTGGCGCTGGGCACAGTGTCGCTCGTATTTGCACTGTTTCGGGCTGACGCGAACGCCTCCTTGAGGCTACTGCGCTTTTCATTGCTGCTTCCGGCTTGTCTGGAACTGCGAGGAAGATTGCGAGTTTTCTTGGTTCTCTTAAGCGGCTTGCTGGCTTGTTGTTGTTCGCTGCTACCCTTGCCGCGCCGGTATTTGTGAGGGTGATGCTGAGACCTTGCTTGCTTGGCTTGCTGCTTAGTAGTGATGTGCGCTTGGGCCTGAGTGAGAGCTGCTGCAGCGCGTGGTGGATAGACAGGTGCTGGTGGGCGGCAAGAATCAAGATCCTGGGCCCTGGCTGTCTTCATGGCGCGCCCGGCTCCGACATAGACTGGAGCCCATGGCATGGCGGCCAGTCGTCCCTCCCAGGCATTGCACAGTATCAATCGTTTCCCAACAAGAGCAAATCTGGCAGTTCTCTCTTCTATTAATCTCCAGTATGCCCTCCTCCGCGCAGTCGGAGCGTTAACATATCCACCGCCTAGAGTCGCGAAGTCACATGCTGCTCCTGCCGCTTTGAGCTCCGACGCGTCCAGCAGTCTCCAGCTCCTCACCCGCGCCCACAAAACCCATAACCGCCACGCTCCCACTCCCAGACACAGCATCCTTCGCCCACTTTAGATCCCGATCTTCATTGCTTCGACACGTCCTATGCCGTGGGCTTCGGCCGCGTAGGTCCACCTTCCAGAACCCACAACACGCAAAGCCAGTGACTAGAATTGCCGCTCCAGGGACCAGCGGCGCCGATGGTGCGTAACCGCACCACGATCAACTTTCCACGCGACTCAACTCAATGTAACGCTGGGCGGGAACGTTGCTCTACTACGGCGTAAGTCTTCACTGCTGTCTTGCGTTGCTTGTCTTCGTCGCTGCATCTTCACCGACCGTGGCACGCCACAGTCCCTTCACACTGTTGAGCCTTGGACACTTCTAGCGGGTGCCGGCCCCGTCAAACCCGGCGAAGGAACCGTAGTCATCACCCTCGGAGCACCTTGAGTTCTCTAGAAGCGCATGTCACTGTGGAAGAACGCTACTGCAGAAGCCGCCCTTCTTGTCGTTTTCTTCACGTCTCACGGCTCGCTGACAAGTGACAATGCATCAGGCAATCGCGTTGCGCTAGGGCGGACGCCCCTATCCGTGTCTGCCGTGACGCCGTCACCCGTCGCTCGCGCGGCTACGCCTACGTCAACTACAACAGCTCCGAGGAGAGCGGTCAAGGATCCACTACACAGACTCCGGCGGCGACTTCGGCGGCGACAGCTTCACGCCGGTCGACGCGCTCAAGCGCGTGGTTCCAACAAACGCCTGCCCAGGAGGGCCCGCGCAGTGAAACTGGCCGCCGCCGTAAGGTAGCTGAACCGAGTGGACCAAATGCTTCTCAGCTCGAAGCGGCACCGCAGGTCAATGCAGTGCCTCAGGACCAAGCAGCTCTGCCAAGCCATGCGTCCAGTCTTTCAGAACTCCCAAACACTGCATACAGTTTGCCTATAAATAGACACATGATTTAAGGCAAGGTGGACTCTACAATAGCCCGTCCAACCCCTGCGGGACACGTCGAATGAGCAGTCATCTCAGGCATTTAGCTCCGGACCTAAAGATCAGGTCGTGACGGGCCTAGGATCTAAGTTGTTTATTGTTGAACAGTGCGAGAAAGCTGGACACTGCTGTCGCATTAAATTGAGTGAAACTGTCTGCTTAAATACACGACTTC